ATAAAGCTGACTTGTCATCATGGGTAATTCACACCATATGGGATGCCAAAGTTAGCAATCACTGATTTATAGTCTATCATCGGTGCTACATTTTTCAGTTTTATCTTCCAATTCTCTGTAAAACTGTAATGCTAAATTCTAGGCACATTTCTCAATAGACTCCAGTTCTGTGTGTTATGTAGTGAAAAATTCAAGGGTATAAAATTATAATATAAAAAGCATATTTGTCTGTAAGTATGCAATGTCTGAGCATCAGAAAAATATCCTTGTATAGCCAATATATAAATCTACCCCTATCAAGAACCACCAATAAAAAAATTATGGTATGATGGTATCAATGTAAATAACAAAATATATACATGGAAGAAATACATGTAATAACAAGATTAGCATTATACATTACAAGTCTGGATTACTGGAAAGAGGAGACTTGTGCATTTGGATTCCACCGAATTGGGATTTGCCTGTATAGCTAAAATCCGTAACTCTAAAGCACCATTCGGAAGTAAAGTAGAACAAATGACTAGTGCAAAATAAAAGGAGGATGAAATGAAGAGGAAGGCAAGGGAGGGCCAATAACAACTGAATTTGGCACGATGGAAAAGAGGTATGTTTAATGATGTGGGCACCATCTCCTGTCCAATCAAGATGTGAAAATAAAAGAAAATTGGTGATTCAGGAACAACTGCTAAATGCTCATTTTATTCACAGATCAAGTGAGACGTGACAAATAGAATCTAAATATAAATCTTGGGGGCCCGCCCCTGCTGCAGTTCAGTAATGGCTGAGCTGGGAAGTTAAACAATCTCCGCAGCCAGCCTGCACTCAGTAAGGAGCCTACACAGCTCTCTGCCTGCCCCTGCTGCTAATAATCTGCTCCCAAAAACCATCAGTGTGCCTGTCTCAATGTGAATTCAGCAGAGCCTCTGCAAAAAGAGGAACACAGCCACACTGAGCATGTAGGCTGTCAGTAACACTGCTCAGGGCAGCTCCGTGTGGCTGGTTCAGGAAGTAACATCATGTCATGCGGAGCTGCTCTGATCTGTGTTACAGGAAGCATGAGGCATATGAAGCATCTCACGCAGAATAAGGAAGCCCCTCTCTCTCTGGCCAAGGTAAGACTCAGGGAAGGGGGGAATATATATGTATATTTTTTATCTTTTTTTTTTCTTCTTCTTCATTAAAAACTTTTTAGCATCTCCCCCACTTCTGCCCCTTAACTGCTCCTAAACTCCACCCCATTACCAACCAAAGCCCCACATACCGCTGATCCTACTACAACTCCTATTACCCCCAGGCACCCACAACTATTGCTTATCACCCACTAAGTACTTACCACAACCTCTACCCACTGCACCCACAACAGCCCCTACCCCCTGCACCCACCACAGCCCATACCCCCAGACACCCTCTAGACCCCTATACCCTTGCACCCACTACAGCCCCTACCAACCTGAACATACTACAACTAATACCCCTCTCCAGCCCCTATTTTCCCATTACCCTATTACAGCCCACTATACCCACTACAGCTCGTACCCCCCTGCACCCACAACAACCCCTACCCCCAGGCACCCTCTAGATCCTCTATAACCCCTGTACCCACTACAGCCTCTACCCCCTGCAGCCCATACCTCATTTCCCCCTCCCCAGCACCCACTACAGCACCAACCCCTCTGCACCCACTACACACCCTACCCCCAGGCACCCTCTAGATCCCTATACTTCCTGCACCCACTACAGCGCATGCCCCCTCTACAGCCCCTATTAACCCCTGCACCCACTACCATTGCTATCCTCCCCACCTTGCATCCCCTACACCTCTTACCCCCAGGCACCCTCTAGATCCCCTATACTCCCTGCACCCACTACAGCCCATACCCCCTTACCCCCTCTACAACCCCTATTAACCCCAGCCCCCTATACCCACTACAGCCTCTTTCCCACTGCCCCCACCTTATTCCCTACCCTACTTTATTCCCTATGCCCCTTGCCTCCACTAAAGCCCTTATCCTCCCTGTGTCCCATATTCATCTGCACATAAAAATGTGATTAATGGCATTTACTGTCCTGACAGGAAAAGTTGTGCAGAGCAGCAATCAATCCACAGGAGGGTTTGTTCTGAGCAGCAATCATGCAAATAGGAACCTGGTAACTGCCTTTTGGGTCAATGGCCGGTTACAACCAATCAGATCCACAGGCGGGGTATTCGTGTCTCTTTCTGTGTCCCTTGACTGCGGCTATTTCTGACTATTCTTTGGTACGTTAATCCGGCCATTCTAAAGTCCGGTATACTTTACCTATCAGTCCTCTGTGTTACACAATTCTACGTGCTGGATCATACTGTAATCCTGACACCCTGCTACCATTACAGCCCCTATCCCCCCTGCATCCACTACAGCCCCTAACCCTGTCCTACACCCACTATCCCCCCTACCATTACTACTAATGTGATTTAGTGGTGGTTACTATTATTGTATTAAATCACACTAACTCCCCGGCATTTAAGCATATTCACCCCTATATTTACAGACTGTACACACATGACCGTGCACTCTGACCCTGCACACATGCAAACTATTGATTCAATGCATTTCTATGAGGAGATGCCGATTGGCGCAGTATGGCATTTTACCGCGCATTTGCCTTCCAATACGTTTCTATGGGAAAGTATTGGATTGTTTGAGATAATTAAATTTGGGGGCAGGGACAGCCACGAGGAGACCTAGGCTGCACGTTTTTAACAGGGGTGGGGCGGGGGGGGGACCTAAACAGCTATTTTTAAACCTATAGTGTCAGGAATACAAGTTTCTATTTCTGTGTTCCTTGTATATATATATATATATATATATATATATATATATATATGTATATATATATATATATATATGTATATATATATGTGTGTGTGTGTGTGTGTGTGTGTAGTCAATTTGTATATCTGTATGTTGTCATTGTGTGTATCTGCATGTGTGTCAGTGTTTGTATCTGTGTGTGTCTGTATCTGCATTTGTGTATCGGTGTGTCTGTATGTGTGTCAGTGTGTGTATCTGTATCTGTGTATCTGTGTCTGCATGTGTGTCAGTGTGTGCATATGTAACAGTCACCTGGGGATTATGTAACAGTTTATCAGGAGTTGGAGCCCAGTTGCAGGAGATGGCACAGGAAGGAGGCAAAAACCAAAAGTGCAGTACAGATTAAGGGGAAATCCAAAGGCAGGGTCAGACGAGAACCAAAAGTCAGGGCTGGCAGCAGAGTAACGTAGTCGGTAAAGCAGGCAGAGGTCAGAGTCCAGGAAATCAGTCAGTAGCGAAGCAGAGATCCAGCAGGAAACACCAAACAGGCAAAATGACCAGATGCTAAGTTTCAGGCAGGGCTGGCTTTTACAGCCTGCTTATTAAATGCAGCTGACCTTAATGTATGTGTATACATCTCATTCAAATGCCAACGCTACACAAAACTACACCCCTGCATTCAAACTTCAGTACTACAAAACAAACACACTCCTGCATTAAAAATGTAACACTACATAGAAACACACCTCTGTGTTTGGAGACTGGGCCACAGGGCAGTATTCCAACATGATAACAACCCCAAACACACCTCCAAGATGTCACCAGTTCTTCTTTATGAGAAGCATTGACTTGGCCAACATTCATTACATTCATTAGTATTCATGACTTCACAGGAGGCATAGAGTGTTTTATAGTGATTTTTTTTCTTTAAGGGAGGGGGCAATATTGTAAGCTTTAACATTAAACATAAACATATTTATTTTTAACATTATGTTCCTTTAAGTAAATTTTGATCAACAGCAGGATGTGTATCAGGGACAAGTTATATGTTGAATGGACATTTAAAAATTACTTAAAAATAGCCTTGTCATTTAACTTCAGTATTATCTGTAGTCGTGTTCTGTATTATAGTAAAGGAAACATGTGTCTGGAAATTCCACAGTGTTAAATGTTAAATCTTGAGAAAGACAGGTCTTGTGTTACAGTCCCTTTTAAGGAAAGAAATAAAAAACACAAGCTGGTTCCAATCTATTTATAATATGACGGTTATTTAGCAATTTGAATGCAAAGCTGTGATTCAGATGATGGCACAGAATATCCGAGCAGATTTACATTGCATCACAGTAGTTGTGTTTCTTATTCAAATGTATTACAAGAAATATATTGGTTTTCAACTAACATATGATTCATTGTAACACAGTATCTTGTGTTTTACTTTTGTAACTGAAGAACCATTATTTTTATGTGCAGATATAATCAGCTAGTTTGTTAAATATACATGCTATGCTTAATGACCAGTATTAACCTTGTGTTTTAGTTTCTTAAAATGTATTTCCTTCATTTAGACATTTGATTATACTTAAGACATTTCTAAAGATGCAGATAGGAGCCGCACTCAATTCCATTGAGCACCCGCTGCACTGGAACAGGACCAGCAATCCCACAACGACAAGGCAACAAAAACGAAAATCTCTAGGAACTCAGTGTGTTCAAGCCGCAGGCAGATTTAATGGTCCAAAAAAGAAAAGCAATGTTTTGACCTGCCAAGTGGTCTTTGATAAGCAGAGTTCAGACATTTTCCAATCCTACTTTTTACCTTCTAGATGTTACTCATTATGCAGGATTAAACACAGCTTATAAAAATTTTAACTCCAAATAATGCTTTTATCAAAATGACATCAAACGATATATTTGAAAACTATGGTAGAGTTTTTAAAAGAATTTCTAATAAAAGTACAACATTCTAAATGTGGAGAAATAACCATGGAAACAGATTCAATAGTAATATTCCATTTGTTTCCATGATGAATGTTCCATTTTGATGACAATTTTGCATTACATTCTATTATCATTAATTTAATAAATACCACTTTGTTTTTTCTAAACCTCTGTAATCTTAAAGTTAAATGTTTTATTGGGTAAACAGGCAGAAAAATATTAATCCATCTTACCTGCAAACTGTAATACATCGTTCTGATTCTTTAGTTATTTTATTTTGCACAAAAGTGCAGCCTGGTTCAGGGAAATTGTGAACATAAGTCCTGGTGTTTGTTCTCCCTAAAATGAATAAAGTGTACATTGATAAAGGCATATCTTTGTAACCAGACAAAACTGTACTGGAAGCAGGTGCAGTAGGTTTTTCAATATGACAAAGCAAATTATTAGTGTATCTTAAGAGACTCTGCTGTAGAAAAAGAATCTCTATTTTTTTTTTACAAAATTACCATGTTTATATCTTTAGCTTGAACAGGTATTTCAATGTAATGATGAAGAGTTATCTAGATTTTAAAAGTGCTTACTAAGCCACTTCTGGTTAGTAGCTGCACCAAATAAACACTGTTGGTCTTGATGGCTGGAATGGCCAGCTTTTTCATAGTAAATACATATTTACTGGGGATGGCTTTCAATGCATAGCTGGTCATGATACATATGCTCCTGATGCTGTGAGCATATGTTTCATGACCAGCTATGCATATATCAGTCAGTGTCAGAATAACCAGGGAACATGGAAGGTTTGCTCTGGTTGATAGTAAGATGCAGGGTGTATGGAGCAACCATTCTTACCAGAGCAGGCACCTGCCTACCGGCAAATTGCTGATAGTGTGGGAAGAAAATAAGAACCTATAACTGCAAGATAAATCAGATATATTGCACTGCAATGGTTTTCCTATCTCCTCTTTGAGTCAAAAACAGTAAAGATATGTTCTTCCAACTTGGTCCCCAGTTTTTACTGCTGAACTTTCCTATGTTCCATAGTTATTCACTGAGTGTTATAATATATTTCTGGTGAAAGCATGTCACTGTGCAACCAGGGAGCATTTGAGCCCAGTAGAGATCCAGTTAAGTGAGCAAAACATTGCGATATGATTTTTTTTTGTCAATCATTCATAATAAGGTAGTATGTGCCAGCTGGCATATTACATAACACTGCTCATATACATGTTTATGAAGAATTCTGAAACATACATATGCGGGAGGTTGTACATCTCCAGCACTTTAGAACTTGGGTCCCGTGTAGCTTGATGCCTGGCTCCAAATCTACTGTTCACCATCATGACCTCTTGGGCCTTATCTCGTGTTAGTCTAATAGAACTTTCTGGGGAGGAGCTAGCAGTTCCGTGGCTCAAGGTATCATCCAATGCCAACATGTATCTCTCCACACATGTTAAGAAAAAACTCTCAGCCGCTAGGTATCATCCACAGACGAACAATATAATACAATACCTATGGATTATGTACATGCTGGGTTTGGCTTCTGGCGTATGTCCCCCTTTCTTATATTTGCCTAGGTCTGTCAAGAGTTGTCAAAGTAGTGGCGAGCTGTTGGTTGATCAACCAGCTACGTCTGTTGTAGTGTGGTGTACTTGTGATAGTGGGATAGCATGTAGTCTTGCAGTCCTGGGCAAGTAGCCTACCGGTGTCTGTTTTCCCCCTATCAGCGTTGTCACATGCCTCAGTGTGTTAGGTCCTTGTATCAGTCATGACACCCTACCCATGGGGGGGCCTAATCCTACCCCTCTTTCCAATATCGTGGTCTGTTGTATGGTGACCTAAGTATCCAGCTGTACGCTATCCCAGGATTCTTTCCCGTCTAAACCATGTGACTTGCGCGGCCTCTGGTTCTGCCAATTAGTGCTGTGTGAGTGTAAGGGGGAACTCGTCTGTGTGAGCAATACATCTGAGTCCCAAGAAGTGTTGAAGTGAGAAGAGGTGAAGAGAGAAGTAACTTAATGGTGATGAACTGTGAACAACGAAGACAATGGTGAAAGGGAAAAAAAAAGAGGGGGAAGGAGGAAGGGGGGGAGGGGGTGCTGTGGTGGAAGGGGGGGTGCTGTGGTGCAAGTGTAGGCATGTGCCAGGTACCTCCGGGCTTGCAGGTGAGTGTCGTCCATTTTATTGATGTTCCACCCTCCAGCTCAGCCCTAACTCTGTCCGGGGGTCCCGTCAGCATTCAGCATTCTGTGGTGGACCCTAGGCTCCCTCAATGCTTTATTTTCTGGTGCATAGATAGAATGCCTATGGTTGCCATATCTCCTCGTATTTGTCTAATCTTCCTCCCCCCATGGCTGCCTCCTCCTCCACTTGTCGTATCTCTTCAACCCTGTGACAGAACCATCTTTCTATCTATTGTGGTGGATTCGTCTATTTCTGCCCCCTTTTCGTGTAAATGGCTGTTTCTATAGCCCAGCCATACGAATGACTGTTTTCACCGAACAAATTCACCAAACGGATGGCCACCCAGGATAAGAAGTGTGCTGCTGGTTAACCTCTTGATCCCAATTAGAACGTTGTGGTTAACCGCAGACACTTCTCAATTAAACGAATTCAGGGTAGCCGTCGTTTGTATGTCGACCACGAGGCAGCGGTAATTTTAAAACGCACGAAAGCCCAGCGGTGTTTGGCACCGATTCCATGGAACTATAAAAGGACACTTTTTCTGCCGAACACCGCTGAAACAACGGGTTCCCTGGCTGCCTCGACAAAAGCGTACGAACACCGGCCGTTCGGGAGTTTTGAAACACACAAAAGGATTTAACCCAGGTAGCCTTCCCATGGAGTCAATCGCATACCGAAAGACTGTAAGGATTTTGACTCCATGGCGATTGAACTATGTGTGTGGGATCTGAGCGCTATTCGCTAATAATATGCACTCAGATCCAGGCTATCTGGGGATATGTGATGCGCATGGGAAATGTTTGGTTATTTTAAAGTTATGTATTTTTATGTGTTTTCTGGTATTGTATTTAAGATGGCGATTTTTCTTTGTCCTGGAGATAATTGAATTACTTCTCAATTATCTCCAGGGCAGAGGGGAGGAAACCATATTGCATTGTGGGAAAAGCTTGTGATTGTATGTCTGAAATGTCCCCATGTCCATCTGTAATTTCAGTCTCCCATTTGGTCCCCTAGGGGAGTGTCCACCAAGTGGTAGAGCTGCATAAATACGGGCAGGTAGCCCACAGTAAAGACAGATCCTGTTTGACCCTCAATGCGGAGCTTCTGTCTCGTTATTGGGGGGATTTCTTCTTTGCACTTGGAGACTGCTGATTAGAACCGAAAGCCGCTTGGTGGATATCGTTGTTCGGCGGCTAGCAGCAGTTCGTGGATTTCCATTCGGGAGTTTGGAGCCTTTCACAGATTCCGGTCGGGAGATTGCCGCTTCCCCTGATGTTGGTTCGTATACTGCAGTCTATGCGAACGGAGTTATTGGTATTGCGAAAGGGGAAGGCTAACTAAACGGCGGTTTCTCTTAAAGACACCAGGGGTGTCTTAACAAACCCTTCCCAACCATGCCTCGTATGACTGGGGTTCCTTACCCTGCCAATATAGTGGGAACACTGAGCAAATGCTTTAAGCAAATGACTCGAGAGCTATTTTTTGTATGGTGAGACAGACAGATTTGTTCAACAACATCTCTGAAGGATTGAAGTTCACTCCCTCGTCCACCACCTGTGCCATGGTGTCAAAGATCTTCCTCCAGTAGGGGACCAGGTGTGGGCATTCCCAGAAGATATGGATAAGTGGAGGTATCATGTTCAGGAGTCAAATGCAGTTGTCCTTGGCTTCTTGCCCAGGGACGAAGCTGATTTGGTTCGGGCCAATCAGAGATGTCAGGGCCGGTTTCAGACGGGCCGCCAGGACCTTGGCTAGTAGTTTGCAGTCACAGTTCAATAAGGAAATTGGCCTATAACTAGCGCATATCTCGGGGTCTTTACCCTCCTTTGGGAGAACGGTGATATATGCTGTCAGCAACTCCATCCCCAGCTTCTCTCCCTGCAGTAGGGAATTAAACACCACCAGCAGTACTTCCCCAAATTTTTTATAGTATCGCAGGGAGAAGCCATCCAGGCCTGGCGCTCTGCCTGTTTTGGATGTTTTGATGACCCCCTGTAATTCCTCAATGGTAATCTCTTCGTCCAGTGCTGCCATGTCGGCATTGGCTATGCGAGCAGCCTCCACCTGAGGAGATTTTGCCTCCCGTAAATTATATAGGGCATTGTAATAATTGCTGAAGGCTTCTGTCATCTCCATGGGATGTTCTGTGTGCCTCTGAGACCCTAACCATGTCCTATTGATCTGGAATCATTCTTGTTTTTTCCCTCAGTATTTTCACTAGTATTCTCCCACATTTGTTCAAGTGTTTGCAAAAGAAGCGTCTGGATTTCTGCAGCTTGTGTAGTTGTTGCTGGGAGAGCAGTGTCTTCAGGCTCTTTCTGGCATCCAGGAGGAGTTTAAAGTCCGCTTCTGTCAGCATGAGTTTATGTCTCTGTTCTAACTACTCTAAAATTTTGAGCAACGACTGAAGTTCCGCCGCCCTGGCCTTTGTCCTGCGTGCTCCTATGGTGATGAACTTTGTGTGCTTCCTAAATTACCGTTGGGGTCATATCTGTTGTAGCGTTGTCCGCAAAGTAGTGGGTTAGTGAATCTTTGATTGTTGAGGCCACTTCGTTCAGGCGCCAAATTCGTTCCTTGGGTTTGACCAAGGGGGATTTCATGCATATTCCCACGGGTGAGTGGTCCAACCACGTCATGTTCTCCCGATGTGGGCATCTTGAAGGGCTGTCAGGAATGGTTGCATAAGGAACATGTAATCTATCCTGGAATAAGATTTATGCACCCCCGAATGGTGGGTGTAGTCCCTACCCTCTGGATTCAACGTCCTCCAGCAATCTATCAGGTGCAGTCTCTGCATGGCTTTTTTGACTTGTCTAATGTGTTGGTAAGGGATAGCGCTGTGCCCTCGAGATGTGTCCAACCTAAGGTCCAGTGACATGTTGAAGTTGCCACCCAGCACTAAGACCCCTGCTGTGAATTCGGCTAGTTTTTGCAGCATTGACTATAGGAAGAGATGTTGCCGATTGATCGGCGCATGGAGCATGGCAAAAGTGTGTATTTGGGAGTTGATGTGCCCCTTCATGAACAGGAAACGACCCTCCATCTGGTTGGTGGTATCAAAAGGAGTCAGGTGGGAGAAGAGGATCACCACCCCCGCTTTCCTACAAGTCTCATGTGAGGCAAAGTATCCTTTGGGGTATCTCCAGTCTGGTAGTGGGGAATCTCCACCTCTTCTGAAGTGCATTTCTTGAACCACAGCGACTGACGTGCAGAATGCACATATTTCTCTAAGGAGTTGCGATCGACGTTCCAGCCTATTGAGTCCCTTGACATTGAGCGTGCGCACCTTCAGTGACTTTGGGATGAACCCTGATGTTCCCATCGTCTCACCCCCAATATGGGAGATAATTGGTGTGGGAAGGAAGGGAAAAAATTGGAGGGGGGAAGCTTGTGGGGTGTGGGGTGGGAGGGAAGAGGGAGAAATAGAGAAAAGTACTTAAGTTAAAGTAGGTGGTCTAGACACCACCTCTGCCACACGTGTCTAACAGTAGAGCGAGAATCCCCAAGTGAGTTGGGTTGGTCACTCCCCTGTTAGAGTACTTTGTTTAAAGTATATCACGTTGATGACTTCTTGGAAGCCATACCCTGATGTTGGGCCAAGAACTGATTTTGAAGAAGGTCCTGCCTCCCCTCAACCTTAAAGCTAACTCCATGTGTGTAGACCCCCATCCACAGTGTCCCCATGGGCAAAAAGTGCCCCAGTCCTGATGGTCGTGTTGTTGTGTAACCTTTAGGTATGCATGGTCAACCCTTCCTGTTCTGTCCCCGTGTCTCGATTGGTGAGCACTTCCCTGGTTGCTGCGTATTACATAAATTAGTGTGAGGGTTGTATGTGATGCGAAACTCTGTTTGTCAACTGTAGTCATCCTACTGCTTGTAGTGCATCATGTCATGAGTGTATGTAGTCTGCTTGCATGTGGTTGGTGGCCCTGCTGGAGGCGGTGTCACACGGGTGCCCTGGAGCACATTTGGGGTGCTGTGGGAGAGTGTGTCGTTGAAGTGCTAGATGGTCGTCTGTTTCAATAAGAATCTCCCTCTTCACACTGGTCAGTGAACTGGGATGTGCCAGCCTCAGTCCGCCCTCTCCCTCTGCCACCTCGCGGCTCGTGTCCATGTATTTGCTAAACCCCCCTCCATCATGGGTTAAGTAGTGGTGTATGGTATGGTAGTAAAAGCTGCATCTGCCTAGGTAGGTCTGCGTGTGGTGTTCTGTCTCGGTCCAAATGTACATGAGGGATGACCCATCTCTTGGTACACCCATATCCCCTCTCCTCTAAATGGGCTGTGGTGGGTTAGCATATCTCCTGTGGGATGGACATAGGAACAACCTTCTCCTCCCTGGGTGTCCCCATCCCGCACCACCTTGTTTAGTCAGGTCATGTACCAAGTTGAGGCCCTGACTCGAGTGCAAGCCCCATGTGTCTCAATATCATCATGATGACCTCACCATGGGAAACTGGCAGGATTCAAGGGGTGAAAGTAATTGGTCGGGGAATGACAGTATAAATGCCATGGATCATACCAGATAGTTAAACAACTACTATAATTACCTGACAATAAGTTATCATAACCAGTTATTGATAGCCATTAATAAAGCATTATTCTCTTACATAGCTCATAGGTGCATTATAAAGTTATGTCAGTGAAGAATGTCACATTCAATTTAGCTCACTAGTCAATGTTTCTCAAAAGTTAAGGCAAGAAATGTGTCGATATTTTTTTCAGTGTGTGAGAGTATCCACAGACGAACAATATGATACAATACTGTCATGGTCACTTTAAACGGAGTTTCTAATAATTGTCACATATTTTTAAATTGGCATTGAAGCCTTAATGAAGATGCAGTGATTACCAAAAAAACTGCTTTTGTACATGTCACAAATTTAAATTGATAAGAAAAGTAATCAAAATTCAATGGTTTCAAAAAAATAAACTAATCATGTTTTGAAGGAGCTAAAACAAAAGTAGATGCTTAGGAAGAAAATAACTTAATGGCACACCCACTTAGCAGTTTTTCAGCTGTCAGTTTCTCTGCTAATGTTGTGACCCAGGATTTTCAGAATTCTATCATCATCAGAGGTTTAGCCAAATAGCTAAGAAATTAGAAATATTTTCACGATCAAAGAAGCTGTATGCACCCTGGCTGTCCCAAATGTTCTACTAAGAATATGCTCTACTAAGAAGTTTCCTTAAAATAAGTAAAATACTGAAGAACCTATTAGAATGTTTGTTACCTACCAAATCATTTGATCAGAGGAATGTGTGTATGTTTCATATTTACTTAATTGCCATTTTGCATTCTCTCGAATAGGGTTAAGGTAAGAATTGACCAACACTCCAAATGGTAATGCTTTGTTAATCACAAATACCACAAAATTTGTATAGCCATTTGAAATGACAAAATATTTTAATTTCACTTTTTTTACAGCCTAGAATTAAGTGTGTTCACTGTCTATAAATGATTCAGTGTTGACTTTCTAGTATGTATCCAGTTTCATTTGTTTTCTATATACTATATGTAGAAGCATATAGGCTTTTTAACGGATCGAGGGGCACCCCGACTGGGTACCTCCATTGAAGGATGCTCCTAGCGCTTCCTGAGGACTTCAAGCACTGCACCGGACACCACAACCACTGTAGACTCCACAACCGCCGTAGCTTAACTGGAGTCTCGCCGTCTTTGTCCACCCTGGATCAACTTCTGTCAACCAGGACCGTGAGGTGAAGACCTCTCCTCCAGGAGAGCGTAACAGGAACAAGCTCTTAAAAGAGCTAAGTGATTAAAGCTCAGGGGAGTAGGCAGAGCATAGCAATCCCCAGTGTGAGTATAGCTGTCCCCTCCAATCACGAGACAAGACTATGTGTTGAGGGTGAAGTAGAACTGTCTGTACTGGGACATCCAGCCTCTTTTATTCACATTCTACAAACATAGTACAGCCCACAGGGTTTTGAAGAACAACCAATCAACACATTACAACACAGCTAACACTCCCATTAATTACATCAGAAATCCTCCCCTCTGCCTGTGATACAATTTTCTCAACACAATAGACTAACTTAATTATCACAGGCATGGAAATACAGTATTATAAAACATATCACAGGGACCACAAAACATGCAATAACCCCATAAAAATGCATCCTCGGAAACCAGGGGATCTGGGTGAACCACATATCCAAAATCTGTTCAGTAGTTTGGAAGATATGGTTTAATGCAGATTCCGCAGAACATATACAGGCTATATGAAAAATAATTACTGTTAAATATGTCCCCTGTTCTGTAGTTTAAAACTACTAAATGATGTCTTTGTGCACCAAATACCGGCGAGATGGCACCGTGTAGAAAAGTCAAAACAGTGTCTGTGAGTTAAAATGGCCGCCATCCATTGTTCTCACCATGTGCCTCTGATACATGAAATGGTGGCCACCCAGTAACTACACAGTTTGTCTGGTAGTCTATCCAGCCGAACCAACAGATGAAACACATGGGGGAACAGTGCAACAAACGAAGGGAATCATAAAACATATGGATAATAGTCATATTTGTGCACAATCTCCAGTTTTGTCACAGGGCACAAATAGTGTTTTCAAATGCCATATATCCCAGTAGGTAGGAGGCGGACAAGCAGCCCCCTCCAAGAACACGTGGCTGTCTGTTCCGCCACAGTCTTCATTACTATTAAAAGAAGATTCATAGAAACCCTGTTGTTCTTCTCACATATACATTTATTACCAAAATTCCACACTGGTTACATGTCTGTCAGAAAATGGCTTACTTCCAAGGACAAAAATAAGAGTTAAGTGGAGCAAAAGTAGAAAAAAATAGGGAGACAGTTTACTACTGAAATGCAGTAAAGTTAGATGGGTAGAGAGGAATACGGAACCTATTAACCTATAATTGAAAATACAAAAGATTAGAAGTGTTCTCTCCCAGTCATGTAAAGACTCTGTTCCACGAATAATACAAAAATACAACAAAGATTGTCAAGTAAAAATGCAAAAATTAAAATTAATACAAATTTAAAATAAACACAAAAAAATTGACTTTTTTTTATAATTTTTTTTTTTTTGCATTTTTAATTATCAATCTTTATTGTATTACTTCCAAGGACACCAGTAGATTGAAAAAGCTGGCAGCTAAGGAATGCAGTAAATCATTAGTAAAAGAGATTCCATTTAACCTTTACTCAGTAATATTCTCTCTCTGATCCAAGGAAATAAAATATACAATATTGGCCATAAAAAGGTATACAAAGAAAATGAAACATATTAATTGTGGTGCCACACTGTACAATTTGGTATTTTAAAACATGCTCTGCCTGTTAAAATATCAAAATAGAACATTTAATCTAGACATAGTAATAAAAAATATATAATGTATTGTTCTTTTAATATTAAACACCGAGTGAGAAAAAAACACTCTAAATCATGTGACTAGCTTCATGATTGGAAATTTTGCTATAGCAACAGATTGACAATGAGTGGGAGTAACAGTGTGAAGTGTGGGAGAACTTAATATTCTATAGTGTTATACTGAATATTCATTTATATAATGCAGCTTCTCCTTGTATTGTGGAATGCATTTGTCAATAAGAACATAATTCCTGTATAATTTCCCTGTAATTTTTAGCTGAACTTCATAAATCGGTTCTGATGTTTTTGCATTCTCTTCAAAAAATATTTTATTTTGATTATTAATTTGTAAACTGTATGAACAACAGTTCTGTCAAAAAAGGAGATGAGTTTTGTTAAACAATTGAAAAATTGTGTTAATTTCAGAAACTAGTGTATTTGAATATAAAGTTAGGGGAGAAAATACAGTTTTTATTTAATCAATAATCACAGGGCAAAAATATTCCCCATAGACCAGTGTTTCCCAATTGGTGTTCCGCAAGAATAAAATTGGGGTTCTGCTGTGAATCGCCACATCCAAGATGACCGTCATTCCATGCTGTTCCCGGAAGGACAAAAACAGCAGAGATCGCATGGCTGCGATCTTATTAAGAAATTGTGAGATTGCCACACACTTATGCATGCCTGCCCTCTGTCAGTCCGCCCTCTGTCAACCTTTTCCTATCCACTGAGTGATAGAGAGTGGAAGCATTCAGGTTCTCAGTTCACAATATAAATTAAGAAAATTGTATATTTTACTGCCATTTAGACTGATACTTCCCTTTAGATTAGTGTCCATTGTGACACCTGTGGATAGGTTTTGTGACTGTGTTAAAAGTCTGCATTAGAAAACAAGTTATTTTAGTTGGGCTACTACTTTTTTTGTTAAACATATTTACAAATAATTTTATTAAAGAAATATATATAGTCTGCTTACTATCTGTATAAATCAATGATATACCAAAAAACACAAACAAAACATTGCTTCTGATAGAGTTGAAGCATTCAAAGCCTCTGTTAGGTGCTCAGCTCACAATATTGGCAATAGAAAAAATGATTTCTTATACTGCCATTTAGAAATTACAACTCTTTAGATTAGTGTCCATTGTGGCATATAAGATAGGTTTATTTATTTCTATTGTCATGTAGAGACTGTTAAAAGTCTGCAGCTGAAAACAAGTTACCGTATATACTTGAGTATAAGTCGACCCGAATATAAGTCGAGACCACTAATTTTACCCCAAAGAACTGGGAAAACTTATTGACTCGAGTATAAGACTAGGGTGGGAAATGCAGCAGCTACTGGTAAATTTCTAGATAAAATTAGATCCCCAAAAAATTACATTAATTGAATATTTATTTTGTGTATATAATGAATGCAGTGTGTGTATGTATGTATATAATGCAGAGTGTGTGTGTGTATGAATGCAGTGTGTGCAGTGTGTGTGTAAGAATGCAGTGTGTGTGTATGGATGCAGTGTGTGTAACCTTGGTGGGGATGGGCATTTTTTTTTTTAATTATTATTATTATTTTAATATTACTATTTGTTTTTTTAATATTATTATTTTTATTTTATTTTAATATTATTAAATTTTGTATTTTATTATATTATTATTTACATTTTCATTTTATTTTTTTTGTCCCCCCTCCCTGCTTGTTGCATGACCAGGGAGGGGGGCAATATTATTCCCTGGTGCTCTAGTGGCATGGACTGTGTAGGAGGGGGGCTGGCAGCGAGCTGTAACTTACCATTCCTGCAGCTCCTGTCAGCTCCCTTCTCCTCCGTTCCGGTCAGCTCCCTTCTCCTCCACTGTAAGTCTCGCGGTCTGAGTGCCGTGCGGAGCGTTGCCACTGTAACCCGTAAGACTTACAGTGGGAGCTGACCGGCACGGAGGAGAAGGGAGCTGACAGGAGCTGCAGGAAAGGTAAGTTATAGCTTGCTGCAAGCCTCCAACAGAACCGCCGGGCTTGTAATGAGCCCAGCGGTCCTGGTCTATATTATGGCAATGTAAATTGCCATAATACAGACCTTGACTCGAGTATAAGACGAGTGGGGCTTTTTCAGCACAAAAAATGTGCCGAAAAACTCATCTTATACTCGAGTATATACGGTATTTGGGTTTGGCTTTTCACATTTTTATTTTGTACTTATTTACATATAATTTTATTTACATATAATTATATACACTGCTCAAAAAAATAAAGGGAACACAAAAATAACACATCCTAGATCTGAATTAATTAAATATTCTTCTGAAATACTTTACATATTTGAATGTGCTGACAACAAATTCACACAAAAATGAAAAAATGGAAATCAAATTTTTCAACCCATGGAGGTCTGGATTTGGAGTCACACTCAAAATTAAAGTGGAAAAACACACTACAGGCTGATCCAACTATGATGTAATGTCCTTAAAACAAGTCAAAATGAGGCGCAGTAGTGTGTGTGACCTCCACTTGCCTGTATTACCTCCCTACAATGCCTGTGCATGCTCCTGATGAGGTGGCCGATGGTCTCCTGAGGGATCTCCTCCCAGACCTGGACTAAAGCATCTGCCAACTCCTGGACAGTCTGTGGTGCAATGTGACGTTGGTGGATGGAGCGAGACAGGATGTCCCAGATGTGCTCAATTGGATTCAGGTCTGGGGAACGGGCGCTACCACTAGAGTGAAAGCACCAGCAGCATTCAAAAGTGACGAAAACATCAGCCAGGAAGCATAGGAACTGAGAAGTGGTCTGTGGTCACCACCTGCAGAACCACTCCTTTATTGGGGGTGTCTTGCTAATTGCCTGTAATTTCCACCTGTTGTCTATCCCATTTGTACAATTTTATGACAAGACACAGAGGCTCATATTGCATATCCCTTTCTTTACTGTCCACCAATAGCAGCAAAGGATATATACAGAATGAAAAAACAATGAACATACAGTGCCATAGGCCCCTCCCTACCCTCTTTCTTTGCTGCTCCAAAGATAAGTAACAGCTCACATTTTTCTCTCATACTACCTCGTGTGTGTCTGTGTGCCTCTGGTCTGGACCCTGGTGAGATCCCTATCGTTCTCTTTCCCTATAGTTTGGGTGACTAACCCTTACTACCCTGTAAACTCACTAGTAGGAATATTGAGCTGCATCCAATATGCCCAAACCCAGGATGCCTTCCAGCTCACCACCCTCTGGGGTGATAGATGCCCTTTTGCCTCTGGGAGAGACCCCCGTCATCTATGACACGCCATCTACTCTGGCAGATAGACCCACCCAACCTGAAGGGGACCAATTCTTGGCACTACAGCGCTCGATGACAGATGCCATTATGGCACCAATGGGGTCCATGTCTTCTACTCTCTCCCATACCATCTCCCAGGTCCTCCTGGGACCTGTGCAGGGAGGGGCCTATGTCACTGTATGTTCATTGTTTTTTCATTCTGTTTATATCCTTTGCTGCTATTGGTGGACAGTAAAGAAAGGGATATGCAATACTCGCCTCCGTGTCTTTAATAAAATCATGACTTTTCGTCATGTAATAGCAAAATCATGTAATTTCCACCTGTTGTCTATCCCATTTGCACAACAGCATGTGAAATTGATTGTCACTCAGTGTTGCTTCCTAAGAGGACAGTTTGATTTCACAGAAGTATACATTGAGTTACATTGTGTTGTTTAAGTGTTCCCTTTATTTTTTTGAAAAGTGTGTATATATATATATATATATATATTAATTATTTCTGTGTACTATCAGTAGAAATCTGTGATCTACCAAAATAATTTCTTTCTAAGAGCTGTTTACTACAGGTTTTACTACCTGACTGCAAAGGAAGCTGTTTTGATGTGTTCTCTTTACGCCAAGACTGAGCCAAAATCCTGCTTATGTTCATTTCTTTCTAAGAGCTTTATAAAAAAAAAAAAAAAACAGCATCCTTTGCAGTTAGGTAGTGAGACCAGTTTAAAAGTGTTCTAACCTTTTTGCTCTAAGACTTATTCAAACTCCTTCTTACATTAAGTTCTTTCTAAGAGCATTATAAAAAAACAGCATCCATTTCAGTTAGCTAGTGAGATCTGAATTTTTTCAGGTTAGAGAAGTTTTGTTTTTTTTTTGCTTTTTTACCAACCAACAACCATGAATTTGGACATCTGGTTAAAACAAGGAACTATCAAGTGAAAAATTATTACTGTTTCCAACTGTTGAAATAGTTGAATCTGCTGTTCCAAAATAGCAGAGACAAGTGACAAGTCAAAGAAAAAAGAAAAGCACACAATGCTACCCAATCTTCTTCTTAAACAAGGAAAAGAAAATATGACGACAGCTACTTAAAATTTGGATTCACAAGTGCCAGAAATAAAAATATACCTCAAGCACAATGTTTAGTTTGCAAGAAAATATTGCCAAACAGTTCGTTAGCACCCACTAAATTACATCGTCATTTTACATAAAGACTTTGCCTTTTTTTAAGCAAAATATTTAAAAATGATAATAAAAAAGCCACTTACTAAAAGGTTTGTGCTACGGCGCAAATTTTCTTTTTGGGGGGGTTCCACGATGTTGGTATACTATGTCAAAGGGTTCCACAGGAAAAATTAATTAGGAACTCCTGCCATAGACAATGCATTTTTAAGAGAATATTGACCTATACCAGTAAATGCAATTGTATATGTTATTTTATTTTATTTTTTTTACTAAGGAACAGAATACTACAATATGATAAAATAATATCATGAATCAGTGGTAAAACAACTGAAATCTAGCTGTGATGTTACCACATTTTTCTTTTGTGACTGTCAAATTTGTTCTGTCACAAATTTATCTATCAAATGATTTATCTCAAATATAATACAATAGGAAATCCAGCAAGAATTTGATATATATCAAGGTGCAGGGCATCTTTTATTATTTTATTATGACCTGGAGTCCATTCTAATACATTATGTTTACACAGGTATGTGTAATATATGAATAAATGTAACCTTACTTGTAAACATTAGATTAAATGCATTTTTAAAGGTTAAATTGTCCACCATGGATAGGATTCATCTGAATAAAGGGACACATTTTATATCTGGACTAAGGTAATTATAATAATACACACTTGCATTTTACTGAAATTCTTTTACAATAATAGGGTTATGTTAATCAAAATGTCAGTGTTGTAAACAGATTTGATAATAATGTAATCTTTATTAAAGGACCACTCTAGGCACCCAGACCACTTCAGCTTAATGAAGTGGTCTGGGTGCCAGGTCCAGCTAGGCTTAACCCATTCTTTTATAAACATAGCAGTTTCAGAGGAACTGCTATGTTTATGAATGGGTTAAGCCTTCCCCCAAAGCCTCTAGCGGCTGTCTCATTGACAGCCGCTAGAGGCACTTGCGTGATTCTCACTGTGAAAATCACAGTGAGAGCATGCAAGCATCCATAGGAAAGCATTGATAATGCTTTCCTATGCGACCGGCTGAATGCACGCGCAGCTCCTGCCGCGCATGCGTATTCAGCTGATGGGGAGGAACGGAGGAGGATCGGAGGAGGAGAGCTCCCCGCCCAGCGCTGGAAAAAGGTAAGTTTTAACCCCTTTCCCCCTTCCAGAGCCGGGCGGAAGGGGGACCCTGAGGGTGGGGGCACCCTCAGGGCACTATAGTGCCAGGAAAACGAGTATGTTTTCCTGGCACTATAGTGGTCCTTTAAATAAGATAGAATGATGAAACTATATAGTTTAACTATAGAGTCAACATAAATTTTTCAAGGAAATACATTGAGTACTCAAAATACAAACTACAAACCGCAATACTGAATACAATATAAAGTCATGTAGCTAAATAATTAATTTCAATTACTCGACAACAATTTACATTTATATTTTTTCAGACTAATAGTGTTGAATTTTAGAATATGTTTTTATTTTCCTTATACTAGAAGTGGTTATGAGTTATGTGCAATTGGTGTTACTATAGTAACACAGCTTTCTATTTGCAATTTTGTAGAGCACAATGTTTAACATGTAGGTTTCTATAATGCTTTGACTTTTTTCTTTATATCTCTACGAACACAAAATACACTCAGTAGCCACTTTTTATTAGGTATACCTGAACACCTGCTCAATAATGCAAACATATCAGACAAAAATGTGGCTAAGTAATTGAATGTAAAATATTTGTTGGTGCCAAATGTGATGGTTTGAATATCTCAGAAACTGCTTATTTCCTGGTAATTTCGTTCATAGACTATAGCAGCTGAAAACACAAGAGGTTCTACTCCTGTCAGCAAAGAACAGGAAACTGATGAAACAATCTATGGATGCATCAACATTAGAAGATTCCAAAAACATTTTTTTCTTCTCATTTCTATGGTTATGAGAAAAAATTGTAGTGGAAGTGGGAAAAGTGTGGTGCAATAACCATAAGTGGAAATTTACCTTCTATGAATTATACTTCTCTGAGCACAATAGATACAAATCCGATACTGCTGTATATACAATACTGCTCTAGGTATTTTTATTGTCTTTATATCTGTAGATGTTGTGTTGTTATTTTCAATTTGAAGAGGTGGACAAATATTTTATTATCTACAGAGAGAGTGTGAATAAATGATATAATTATTCCCACTGCTGGTTTCAGACAGGTGGTCTTGTTTTTCTTGAAAAATTTTTTAGGTAAACACATTACTTGGTCTGACACATCTCAGTTTGGGTCGGGTTTGGTGTAAACAACACAAATCAATGGATCCATGCAACCTTCTGTCAATGGTCAATGGAACTATCTGGTGTAGGTGGAGTAATGTTATAGAGAGTATTTTCATAGCTCACATTAAATCTTTTAAAACAATCTGAGCATCAATAGAATGCTACAGCCTACCTGCTGTGATGGAAAGAACTGAATTAATGGAAGCATATAGGTATCGGTGTCTGGTATCTGTTATTTAAATGACCTATAGGGAGAGGGAGACATCCTCTCTCTCTGCAACATTTGTCCTTGTAAATAATGTGTGGTACTTATGATCACAAATGCAAATAGATTCTGCTAATTGTGACTGTCACTGTCACAAATCTCTGGAAGACTGGGTCAAATAATTAAATCTGGCTTTGGTTTATATTAGACTTGGAAATCAATTTAATTCCAAACTGCAATTAAACCAAATGTGGGCCAATCGGGTGTTTGGCTGAATTTCTGAATTCCAAATCAGAAAATACTTGAATCATAAATCAACCATATAGCGAGGTAGTTGAGCCCTTTTGGTTGACTCAAAATTCTGTCTCCAAGCCCTTTGATAATGAGAGTCAGGAATCTTACTTCCCAGCTCTCATACCGTAACATACCATGACTTCATGTACTTCAGGAGGCACACCTCTAGGATGATGCACCCAAGAAGGAGGTCATGGCAGCGCTAGAGACAAAGTGAGTAATTGTTTATTTTTTTATTTTTTCATTTTTATTTTTGTACAGATGGGGTGCAGAAATGTTAAGGGGCAACAGGACTGTAGCATTAGGGATTCATATATGTATTCACAATGCTACATTGTTCATTTAACACCAGCTTTGAATCACCAATTTACAGTTTGAAAAAAAAATTTGTTTGTTAAAGGGACCCTATATACAACTTTTGTTTCTTCATAATTTTTGTGGTCAAAACTAATTTTTTCACTAAGAAACACATTTCTTCTGGCTGCAATACTTCTCATCCAAATGTTTATCTTTCAGCTAAATCAATTAACTGGAATAAAATCATTCGCAATGCACAAATCTAGATTATATTAATAATAAATAAATAAATACATTATCATACTTTTTAGTGTTACTAGGATCAATATAGAAAGTCAAATTCAAGTTTATGATATCCATAGGATCAATACATAGGGACATAATACTATACCAAAGTGTGAAAAATATCTGATAATTTATTTGGAACAAAATCACTGGCACTGTATTTAACTTAAAATAAATTTATAAATGAATGAATCTCATCATATTATATTAGACACAGGTCAAATGAACTGTCTAGTTAATCAAATGATTATAAATGTTGTTGAGAAGGTTAATGTATCTCATAGATGATGCATCAACAATAATCACCAACATTACTATAAAACAATAGCCTTGTATAGTGTAAATCAGCTGTCAACTACAGATGAAATTAAAATTTCATGATGACAATACAGGTTCACAGATTCCAGAACTAAAGGTGAGAGTTGTCCTGCTTGAACTAACTAACAATTCAAAGGAAGTGGGAGATTAGTCAAACAAGTAGTAAAGTGCAATAGACTGATGTGTTTCTGCCATGCTGGCTTATACAATGGTGAAGATAAATTGCCAGGGGAGCAGTCAGAACACAACTATAATCAGTGTTTATGTATAAATGATGCAACTAAAGAGATAATAACTCTTTAGATAATGATTGGATGAATGGTTTATGGGTCATAATTGAAGAGACTTAAAAGCATAGAAAAACTGTGCAGAACCTAAAGTGTATCATTAAGTGATTTTATATTTATTTGTACAGAAAATAAGTTGCCAGCATTTTGAGTTTTCCACATATTTTTTTAATCAAAGTAGAAAAACAAAACAAAGAAACAACAACACAAAACTTTAAGTGGTACGAGTAAAATATATAACCTTAGTGGAGAGCTGTACTAAATATAAGGGTGTGACTTAACCCATGTTATATTGATGATACCATGTACGTCAGATACATAAAGGATAATACAAGAATAGAATATAGTGCAGATGGTAATAAGATTCGAATGCTATGTTTTGAAAATTGGGTCACTCACATGTAAAGGAGCCTATAATATAATGACTCTGTTAGAAGGGTTTTTATGCTCTTAGAGGATCACACCACTCCTCCACTCTGATATCACTTTGGCAAAGATAAAAAAAGAGAGGCGTCCAATGTGTAGTATATCCAATAAAATACCATAAAAGTATAAAATAGGCATCAAGCTCACCTTATATAGAGCCTTAAAATCTTGGCTTTGAGTATAACCGGTATAGTGTCAATATAGAGGGGATGGCACCACCACAATAAAGATTATTGATGCTTTAGAGGACTTATAAAGTACTAAATGTATTGTGGAAAAAATATTAAAACATATGAAATAAAACATAAAATAAACAAATACATTTTTAATGTTAATTTTATGTTTTATTTCATATGTTTTAATGACCCAATTTTCAAGACAAAGTATTTAAATCTTATTACCATCTGCACTATATTCTATTCTTCTTGTTTTGTCTTTTATGTAACTGAGGTACACGGTCCCATCATGATAACGTGGGGTAAGCCACCCCTTTAATATTTATTACAGTGCTCCACTAAGGGTATAGGTTTTACTAGTACGACTTAAAGTTGTGTGTTTATGGAGGTGTGTGGAGAGGAAGGTATTTCACACAAGTGTATAGAGCTGCTTGTTTAATTTTATCTTTCACTAAATAACTTATGTATTAACACACTTCCTCCTAAAAGAAATTTGTCTGTCTAGTTAAAAAAAAAATATTTAAAAGAATTCACCTCAAAATATAGCCCTTACCAAATATTTCAAATACGCTTCTATATCAAAGGGGAATGCTTTCAGAAGTTTTCTGTAAAAATATGTATCTTCTTATAGTTTATTGTAAGGTCAAAGGAATTAAGTGCACATTCTGTATATTAAAAATGCTGCCACTCCAGGGCGCATACAGCGCTATCATGACACTTGGTACCACTGGCTCCAGAGGCTCGCCTCCCCCTCTGCGGTTAGGGGAGACACACAACCCCCGGGAGAAGCTAGGAGGCTCTTGGCCCTCGACGGGAACAAACAACAACAACGAGACCATGATGGAAGGGTCGCCAGACCCAAGACGACTCCGCGGATGCCAGACCTGAGGGCGGGGGGAGCTAGGATGGGGACCTGGGTTCAGAACCCTTTAACCTGCCCTTATCCCTTCACACCTCACCCCGCCTAACCCTAAGTCTATCCACGCCTCCTCCACCTTTCCCACCCCTGTCCTTCACTACCCCCCTCACGCCCCGGCAATTCCAACTACACATAACCCACTACTGACACAACAGCGGGGAAATGAAGCAACACAGAACAACTCACACATGCATCCCCCCTCCCAACCCAGGAGGAAAACCACGCAACACAACCCCACATGTTCCCATGAGACACGACCACGACACACGGCAAATACACATACACGACACACTCCAGCGATACACCCCCCTGCCACACCAAATACTGACTCACTGACCTTTGACTACAGAACTCATACCCCCACGCACCAAATGGACCCGGCCACAGCAGAATCACGACCTGCGTCTCCCTGCTGCCCACAAGCTCCTTCCCCTCATCTCCGAGCATCAAATTTTATGTTTCATGTTCCATACCTCACTGTAATACCTACCTAACTATACACCCCACAGGTATTGCTAACCACAGCAAACCCCTACCACATTCTGTAACCACACAAGTACCTCACTAAATGGGAAAGCAACTCCTAGCAGACAATGTTAGATATAGGACTTGCCATATATGTACTTTACATTCCAAAACTGAAGTTCGAACTGCATACTCTGCTTACCTGCCCAGCACTGTAATCTGTCATGTAAAAGCTCATATCCATCTGTGACTATTGAATGACTTCAATAAAAACCTTGAATAAAAAAAATAAAAAAATAAAAAAATAAATGCTGCCACTCATTAACTAAATACTTCTGACTTTCGGTTAATATTGTAATCAATGCAAAAAATATAATTAAAAGTTCTCCAAGCATGTGATAAAATTATTCAAAATAGACTTGCAACATACACAATATGGAACTTAGGATGTGAACACTATCAGTATTCATGCCCAGTGCAAGGATTTCTGCCGCCCTAGGCAAAGATCCATTTTGCCGCCGCCTCATGCATGCAAATACAATCTCACAGAGGTTTATTCACTAAACTTTGAATTGCACTGAGTTGAAAACCAAATTGCAAAATTTAAGTAAAAACAGCTGAACTGTGACTGTAGCCCGAATTGAATTCTTTTAGATCAGCTATTTTTGCCTACATTTTGCCATATGGTGTCCAACACACACTGCCTAATACCTACATCTATACACACATACTGCCTAATACATGTATCCATATATACATACTGCCTAATACCTACATCCATACACAAATACTGCTTAATGCGTACATCAATACACACATACTGCTTAATGCGTACATCCATACACATATTATTATTTTATTATTTATAAAGCGCCAGCAAATTCCATATCACTGTACAATGGGTGGACTAACAGACACGTAATTGTAACCAGACAAATGGATGCACAGGAACAGAGGGGTTAGCGCCCTGCTCAATGAGCTTACATGCTAGAGGTAGTGGGGTATAGTGACACAAAGGCTATAAGTAGGGGTAATGAAATAGGTTGAGACTGAGACTGGGTGAAAGTCTAACGGAGAAGGGAAAGAAGTTCCACAGAAAAGGTGCAGCCCTGAAGAAGTCTTGGAGGTGAGCATTAGATGTGGGAGTATGGATAGACATATGTATTCGGCAGAGTGCAGGGGCCTCGACGGGACATATTTGTGAATTAGGAAGGATAAGTTGGAGCAGCAGTATGTAGGGACTTGTAAGCAAGCACCAGAATATTAAATTGAGCCCTATATCTAACTGGAAGCCAATGTAGGGACTGACCTAGGGGGGAGGCGTGGGAGGTTCAGGCGGGGAGGAAAATGAGCCTTGCCGACGCATTCATTCTAAATTGCAGTGGTGCAATCTGGGAACACGTAAGACCACTGAGAAGGGGAATGCAATAGTCAAGGTGAGAAAGCACAACGGCATGGACCTGCACCTCAGCCGCGTCATTGCACTGACGAGCGCGGAATCCATACTGAAGCAGGTTAAGCAGAGAGTTGGATTCGAGGAAGTCTGTCAACCTTGCATACACAACTCTCTCAAGGATCTTGGAGGCAAACGGCAGTAGCAATATAGGGCGGTAGTTGGATGGGGAGTTGGGGTCAAGGTTGGGCTTTTTCATACTCAGCGTTATGGTTGCATGCTTGAAGAGTGAAGGAGGAAAGGGAGAGATTGAAAATTTTTGTGAGAGGAAATCAAGAGAGGGGGACAGAGTGCGGATGAGATATGAGGGAATAGGATCGAGGGAACAAGTGGTGGGGCGGGAAGACCGGAGCAGAACAGAAACCTCTTTTGTTGTGGTAGGTGCGTTGAGCATAGAACAGCAGAGGGAGTGGGGTTGGGTGATGTATTGGAAAGGGGAGGGAAAGAGGTTAGAGGTCTCTTCCCTGATTTTAGATATTTTCTCAGTGAAGTGAGTTGCAAAGTTTAAGGCGGACAGGGTTGTAGGAGGAAGGAGAGCAACAGGGCGAAGGAGAGCATTAAAATGTGAAATAGTCATTTGGGTTCGCGGGAGAGTGTGGTTATGAGAGTATTGAAGTAACTTTTGCAGAGGAAAGAGCTTGATTGTAGGACTTGTAAGCAAGCACCAGAATCTTTAATTGAGCCCTATAAATTTATGAATTTATAGTGGAGTAAGTCAGGTGTAGAGTGAGAATTTCTCCAGCAGCATTCAGCAGTTCTTGAGCATTTTTGGAGATATCAGGTCAGCTTGGTGTGCCAGGGTTGTAAGTGGGAATGTTTGTGGCATTTAAATGTAGGAGGTGCCATGATGTCTAGTTGAGAGGAGAGAGTGGAGTTGTAGAGTGAGGTTTCAGAGTTATTTTAAGTAATTAATTAATTAATTAAGTAAGTAATTAAAACACAGAGCGTTTCGCTCTATTAGGCTTTTTCAAGTGCTTAAAGCGTACATCTATACACGCATACTGACTAATACCTACATCTAAACACATACTGCCTAATACATGCATTTTACATTGAAAACATAATTTATCACTGTAATAAATTATGTATTCAATGCATTTGGTGAATTTAATTTATAATAATGGTGGGATTTAAGTTATGTTACAGTGAACTTGTCTGACAGGTTCACTTTAAGCAAAGTCTTTTTTTAATACAAAATATAACTGTATTAATATATATTATAATTATAATTTAATATATAATGATCGATTTACATGGTCATACACACTCACTGGCACACACATACACTCACTGACAGACACACACACCGACTGACACACACAAATACACACACACTCACTAACACACAAGAATACACACACACTCACTGAAAAACACACACATATAATGACAGACACACTCTCACTGACAGACACACACATACTGACTAACACACACTTACTGGCAGACACAAATATACTCACTCACTGACAGACACATACTGACAGACACACACTCACTGACAGACACACACTCACTGACAGAAACATACTAAGTCACTGACAGACACAAACATTCATAGACACACTCACTGACAGACATGCTCACTCACTGACAGACACACAATCACTCACTGACAAACATACACACTCACTGACAGACATACTCACTCACTGACAGACATACTCATTCACACACACTCATTGACAGACATACTTACTGACAAACTCACTGACAGACATACTCACTGACAGACACATACTGACAGACACACACACATACTGACAGAAACACTGACAGACACACACTCACTGTCAGACATATACTAAGTTATTGACAGACACAAACACTCACAGACACTCACTGATAGACCCTCACCCACTGACAGACACACACTGATTGACACACACAGACACACACTGACAGATATACACACTCCCTCACTCACTGACAGACACACTCACTGACAGACACACTTACACTCACTCACAGACATACACACACACACACACACACACACACTCACTGACAGACATATTCACTCACTGACAGGCACACACTAACTCACTCACTAAGAGGCACACACACTCACATATACTAGCCCCAGGTAGCTGAATTATAATATATTTAACACCGGCTGTATACTTTGGCATTTGGCACTATATTGGATGACTTCATGTAGTCATTTGCTCTTTATAAATTTCTGATTCTGATTCTTGGATTTTTTTAATAGGCATTTTAGTTTCTTTCAATATTCCCAGGACTCTTTACCAGGTACCAGCGTGATTTAACATGATGTATTATTGGACTTTGGACTTGGTTCCGGATTTAATATTTATCTTCTGTCACTAGCTTAAATAACAAGAAACTGGTTACCCCATCTTGTGCTTTCAAGCCTAGAAAACTATTAGAACAGGGGAGAAGAGTCAGCGCTAGATAACAGACTAAAGGGCAGCAACCCAAAAAGGGAATCCCTCAAGACCCTTTTTAGAACAAGATAAAAAATACAAGGGGAAGAGGGCTGCGCCCTAGGCAAGTAGCAGTAGTCTATGATAGTAAACAACCAGACCAAATGGTCTAAATGAAGAATACAACAAATAGGCCTATGTAAATAATAGAACAGAAAAGAGTAAAAAGTCCCAATTGAACAGTAGAAATTAATAAAATAAGATAAAAGGGGTAATCCTCAGGAGTTAGTCCATCCGGATAGTAAAATTATTTTATAAAAGTCACATAAATAGTCTCTCTATATACCAGGATGGGGGGGAGAGTTGGCAATCCTCAGGAGTTGATCCGTCCGGATGGTTAAAATATCCGTATATGTGGAGAGAAAGGGAAAATGACAGAATAGCCAATGGTGTAATATAGTCAGGATCCAGGACCCCTTTTATCTTATTTTATTCATTTCTACTGTTCAATTTGGACTTTTTACTCTTTTCTGTTCTATTATTTACATAGGCCTATTTGTTGTATTCTTCATTTAGACCATTTGGTCTGGTTGTTTACTATCATAGACTACTGCTACTAGCCTCGGGCACAGCCCTCACCCCTCCCCCCCTCCCCTTGTATTTTTTATCTGAAAAATATTACACTATCATAAATTAGATGCTTCCTTTTCATGTTTGATTACTAAGGAGGCATACAAGACTTCCCATCTGTTCTAGCTGAATAGAGTGTTGGCATATGAATGGACAAATTAAATACACAGATGCTAATGGGCAGTTGGATACCATAAACCTGTTGACATAACTTCATATTATGCTGTCATTAATACCCCAACAAACTCACACAAAACACTATTGGACATGTTATGATTCCATTTTTTTTTTCAAGAATTGCATAGACTGTATAGCCAAATGTTTATTACACATTAAAAAAGTAAATTTGAGAATAAATAGGAACCATGATGGTACTGAGTTGCTCCAAAAATAGTTGTAGGCAGTATATATATATTAATGCAAAAAATATAGTGGCATAATAAATGCATAGTATCTAAAAATATTAAAATCCAGCTCTTAAGCAAGAAACATCTGCAATTAAATGCATTTTTCATACTCTGCTGCTAGCTAAAGTTATTCATAGAGTGCAAGGTAATGATGTAGCCATTCCACGGAGAGCAGGTGGCACAGGGATCTAAATATTTTTTTATTGATAAAGCTTTTCCCTTACTATATACTGCAAGCTTTATATTAAATCTCTGTATATTCTGTTTTATTCCAACTGTTTTGAATCAGCAGAGTTTCTGCACTCAGCTTATGAACCTCAAAGAAATATAATAAAATGCCAATAAAAATTTTGATGCAACTCTCCCTGTTCACTGTTACCCACTAGCTAGCGCTTGCTTAATTCAGCTCATTTCTTCTGTAATGGTAAAATTTACTCAAACAGCACAGCATAAACTAAGCTTCAAGAAAATACATTAAAATCATTAGTGGTTGACTATACCACGAATTTCAATAAAGAAACAAAATAAAAGCAATACATGGACCATATCTCTTTCGCCTTTGGGGTAAATAATAATGGTGGGCTAGGCACTCTAACCCAGTTATTAAAAAAAAAAAAAAACAGATACCAAGCTCTATGGCTCCAATAAACACGAACACCAGTCCAACAGGTAATTACAAAATAATTTCAAAACAGTCATCCAGTGTGGCCAAAGGTCATTTGGCACCTACCCTACTTAACCTTCCATTACTTATCTTTGTTCACCCTTTCCATTTACGATAAAATAAAATAAAAACTCCCTTCTAAGAAACATTGCTTTGTGATGTAATCAAATGCTACAATACAAGAAAATATGTTTAACTAACTTACTTTCTAATGCCTTTAAAAAACCTCTCTCTTCGATCAATGAAATAGGCCACAAATAAACAACACTTAGATCCATAATACTAGTGATTCGACATAAAAACAAAACAATCACAAACAAAAACCACAACCTCACATGTAAAAAAAAAAAACCTGTGGGTTTTTGAATTGCAATATAAACCCATAGCTGATTCACTGAGCTTCCTAACTTGAAGTTGCTTAAAAATTGTCTCTTTTAAATAGGAGCTAGACAAATAGGAGTTCACTTACAGAAATGCAAAATTGTGGACAGAGATTGGTATTTTTTTTTCTCAGTAAATCTGCTTTAACTTCAAAGCAGTAAAATGTAGTGTTTTCTTTGTTTGAAAGTGTTTTCTTTGTTTGACTTTCCTTGTGTGCTGCTGTTATTTGAAGGAGTGGTCCCATAAAGTGATACTATAGTGCTAGAAATACAAAGCTGTAGCTGTATTCCTAGCACTATACTTCCCTCTTGCCCATCTCCTAACTCGCAGCACCCCCCCACTTCCCCGGCAGAGATAGGTGTAATAAACCTTTACTATACTCACCCGATTCTGGCATCAGTGTCCCTTAGCATTGGGTTGGTGCTCTGCCCCCCACTGACATAAGGCATGTAGCGGAGCCCTAGTCTTAGCAGGGACTCTCCTCCACTGGGTATTCCAATATATATTCAGAAACAAGCAACACAATCCAACGGAACAACCAAACACAGTAAAAAAAATGAAGGAATCTCCCACCTCATCCCCAGCAACTGGACGACATTCAGCTCTGGGGGTATAAATGTTTTTTTGTCACATACATGGCTTTTATGCAATCTCCCATGCAAGGGGTTACACAGGCAGAAAATGCAAAGGTTTCAATCCCAGGATCCTTTGTGCCTGAGAGATAATTACCTGTGTAAACTCCTCCAATTTAATTATCTCCCAAGCACAAAAAAAATCCCCAAAATATCCCGTACCCCAAAAGTCCCCCAACCATACATAGAAACCCCACAAAAAGTATATTCACTGAAAGCACCAATCTAAGTGACCAACATATCCAAGAATCACTCAGATCAGTTCAGTAGAATGGGAACGGCATTGTGTTGAAGATTTGACCGGGCAGACACGAGGTGGGAGCCGAAAATAGTTCCAGACGAATAGGTGCCCTGGCTGGTCTCTGCTTATGAGGTTCCTGTGTGAAAACCATACAAGGGAATCTCTTGCTTTCATGATACAAATGCTCCCCCTGTTCGGTACTTTTTATCTCGCGAATGCCGTTCGTGTAGGTGGTTGGGAACGGGCAGCGGTTGACAGTTTACCGGTGTTTGCGCAAGTGCCAACCCGAAAATAGTTCCAGGCACTCGACGATCAAGTACCGCTGCCCTCGTTCGGGAGACAAGATGGCCACCATGCTCCCAGCCATGTGTTCGGTTATACAAAATGGCAGCCACCCAGGAGATCATTCATTAATTGTTTTCCTTGCAGTTTCGCACTTAAGTGGTTGGTGTTAACATTCTAATGGGTTACAGGGGTGGTCCTTGTTCGGGAAACGAATGGATTCAGTTTGTATGAAGTCTCCCTAATGGCCAAAGAAGAACTGCACGAAATAACTGGCAAAACTCACAAAATAATAGTGGGGAAGATACGGACAGCCAATATAGGTAAATAAAAGTAACTTGCAAATGTCCATTCCGTTACAATGCACATAGCGATTTAACTGATGCTGGATGTCTCTATGACGAGTGTGAGGACGTCCATAATTAGTTAGGAAACTAAAAGTCGCCAAGCAAACAAGAAGTGCCTCTATTGGCTGTCTTATTGACAGCCACTTGAGGCATTCTACACCCTGCAATGTAATTATTGCAGTTTATCAGAAACTGCAAAAAATAACATTGCAGTGTTAAGGGGACAGGGTCACTGCACTCAGACCACTTCACTCAGCTCAGGTGGTCTGGTTGCCTGTAGTGTCTCTTTAATTTCCACCTGTGTGGGATTTTGTACAGCTATATAAACCACAGTTGACTCATTGAGCTTGCTAACTTGGAGTGGTTAAACCTCTTCCTGACAAAGGGCATGTTATGCTGTCCTACAAAATGAGAGCTTTAATGCAAAAGGGTAGCATAGCACACCCTAACAATCAGGCCTTCCCTCCAGCCCATCTACTCACCCATGCTGCTGATCGTAACTGGGGGTAGTTACTGACAACTGAGACAGTCACCCTGCAGCAAATCCCACCCATCCACATCATGTCCACAGAATGACATTGCAATCTTTTGACTGCAGGGAGACTGGGTAAAAAAATACATTATCGATAGATAGATAGATAGATAGATAGATAGTGTCTTTTTTTACCCAGAAACAAATAATAATATATATATTATTATTATTATTTGTTTCTATCTATCTATCGATATATATATATATATATATATATATATATAATTTAACCCCAAGTGTGTTTAGATAATATTTATAATTATGAAAATACACTTACAATGAAAAGAAAAATGAAAAAAAAAAAAAAAAAAAATGTAAAAACAATTATCATTCCCTCACCATGGCATACAATTTGCAAAAGTAATATATATTCTATATTGTATACTTCTGATCTGTCTGATTTAAATGCACATTTCTTATTTGTAATTTCTTTTATTACCTTTCCACTAAGCCACATTGGTTTAAATTTGTTTCTTTTATATTATCCAAGAAATTGAATATCTTCAAACAAATAATTGAAATGTACACTTCTCAGTATACACCATTGGATAATATAAAAGAAACAAATTGAAACCCCCCCCAAAAAATGTGGCTTAGTGGAAAGGTAATAAAATAAATTAAAAATAAGAAAAGGGCATTTAAATCAGACAAATCAGAAGTATACTACATAGAATATAAGGTGGCAAATAATTTATGCAAAAAGGCAATTAGATAGGCAAAACTAAAAATGAGAAAGTGATAACCAAAGAATGTAAATTCACCCCCTCCCCAATTTCTTTAAATATAATATAAGTTGAAAAAATATTTTTCAAAATATTTTTGTGTTATGTAACAACACAGAAGACAACATACAATACTTAGAAAAGTTACATCCTTTTTAAAATTACATTATATTAACATATATTTACACTACAAGACACGCCATCCAGGCTATACAGCTTGTTCCTAAAAACAATATTTAAAAAATTAAAGACAAGCAATACAGCATGAACCACAATCTTTACTTAGAATGACTCATTTTAATGTCCTAAGTTTGTTAGTCAATTCTAAGACGGTAAACCTCAGTGAAAGATTATTATATTGGAATATTCCCTTCTTTATTTTTAGCTGAAAGAGAAGCTGATTCTTAAAATGTATTTCAGTAGGTACCGTTATTGCTTTCACTGTCTTGCTATCAGAATCTTAGCTGCCATAAAGGAAGTCTGAGAATACCTTGATAATTTCTCCAAATTAAAGTGTAGAATAGCTATTTCTGGCTGTTTATTTATTTTTATATTTATCATCTGTTTTATCACTGTATATACCATATCCCAGAACTCAGTTATTCAATTGCAACTCCACCATATATGTCCCATAGTGCCATTCTTTTCTAAACATCTACAGCAGAGTGGATAATTTTTCAGGGAGATTTTTGTTCATCTGGAGGGTGTTAAAACCACCTCTGCATAATCTTATATCCCTCAATTTTTTTAAGTACATAAATTTAAAAGAAAAGTGTAGGTACACTAAAATCATAAATGGGTATGTTATATAATGAAGACCAGGAAAAGGCAGTCATTTTAAATAACTATTTTTCCTCAGTACATATTAAAGCGGCACTGTCATGGACGAATCCCGTTTTTTTTAACCCCCATCCCGACTCGACTACATCTAACTGACCCCCTAGTCACCGCCAAATGCCCATAAGATCCCCATATTACCTATTTTTTAATCTTTATTTTCTGCCCCGATCTATATTCAGGGCGCCACCATCTTTGTGTGGGTAGAGGAAGTCCCTGTGGGATACGTCTTCTGCCCACACTAGATAGCACTAAGATTCCGGCACAAGCCCAATGAAACACTTGGGCATGCGAACAGGAATTTCATCTATTCATTCATTCGTCAGAAAGACAAATAAAGGAATAGAAATGTCAGACGAACAAACAAACACTGAGTATCAGTGTTCGTTTGTTCGTGCAGTTTATTACAAGGAGGGAGTTACCGGCACGCATCTCCCTCCTTATAATATGTATAGAGAGAAGCGGCAGGGAGCAGTGCTCCCCGCCACTTCCTAAGACCCCCATAATAGCATAAGGGAGATTAAAATCTCCCCAATGCCCCTACTCACTATACCCCTACTCGCTATATGCTCACTGTAAAAAAAAAAAATAAACTACTATCGGGCCGCCACCCCTGCACAGCAGGAGGGGGCCCTAAATAACAATAAGGGAGGACCTATTGTACTCCCCCCCGGCCCCCACCCCTGCACGGTGGGTGGGGGCCAGAAAGATAATGAGGGGGAAGGACCTACTGTCCCACTGTGCAGGGGTGGGGGCCATAAATTACAATGGGGGGACCTACTCTCCTCCCACCACCCCCACCGTTGAGCGGTGGGTGGGGGCCATAAAGATAATCCATCCAATCAGAGTGCTTTGTGTCATTTTACATAGCGTGGGAAAGTTCTTTGGAATTTCCCCACGCTGTGTAATTTGACTCATAACACTCTGATTGGTGGGCTTGGAATCTAGCCAATCAGAGTGCTCTTTGTCATTTTACTTTGGAATTTTCCCACGCTGTGTAAAATGACAAAGAGCACTCTGATTGGCTTAAACTAGCCAATCAGAGTGTTCTTAGCCTAATTGCAGGGCGGGACAAGGCTTTATAAGCCTTTCCCCGCCCTGCAGAGCTCAGTCTGCGCGGAGCCCTCCATAGGTGAAGATGTTTTTTTTTTGTTTTGTGCTCTGCTTTTTTCTTTTTTGTCAGGTTTTTTTTGCGCTCGTTTTTTTATTTTATTTTAAGTTCGACGGGTATGATGGTTTTTTATTTGACCTTTTTTGGAACTGAAAAATGAAGATTTTAGAAAAAAGAAGATGTCAAATGGTAAGTTTAATTTTTCTTTACAGGTTAGTTATTTTATTCCCCCTCACTTTTTTTTAGGGTGAGGGGGGGTAGGTAGGGGGTTACTTTTTTTTGGGTGGGGGGTGGGTGACTAGGGGCTAGGGGACCCCTAGTCACCTTTGATGGGGGGTGAATTTGTCTTAGGGCCCCCACCCACCACTCAAGGGTGGGGGAAAAAGGGGAGGACAGTAGGTCCCCCCATTGTAATTTATGGCCCCCACCCACCGCTCGAGGGTGGGGGCCGGGAGGGGAGGACAGTAGGTCCCCCCATTGTAATTTATGGCCCCACCCACCGCACCTGGGAGGGCAGGGGAGGACAGGGGTGGGGGCCAATAGGTTTTTTTTTGTTTTGTTTTTTACAGTGAGCAGCCACTGGCGGTATAGCGATTAGGGGCAGATCATTTACTAATACTAAGTAATCTTTACTTAGTATTAGTAAATGTGGCTGAAAGACCAATTAAGGTCTTTCAGCCTTTTGGAAGATAATTCCCTAATACCGTGGGAATTAGGGAGCTATCTACTAAGCAGCTGCAAGATGCAGCCGCGGCACAAATTGAATCGAATTTTCATTAATTCGAATGAAATTCCGATACGAACAAAGTGCTGAATTGAGTTCTAAAACAAACGAACATACTGTTCTCATTGAGTTAGAACGCAATTCGGCAGTTTCGTCTAAAATGACAGGAAGCATCTCGAGATCACAGAGGAAAGGTAATAATTATGGGAAAATTGCTCTGACCAGCGGTAATGAAGCACACTTTGTTCCTCAGCTGGTCAAAGCTGGTCAAGCGGAGGAAACCTCCATAAGGCAAAGAGTTCCTACTTTGTCTTATGATTTTAAAGAAAACTAAAGAAGACAGGAAGAAAAGAAGAACAGATCCTGAGAGAGGGGGAGAATATGAAGAGATTGAGGAAAGGTAAGTTCAGCATGACAGTGCCGCTTTAAAGCAGGACCCATGGTAAGAGTAATGCAAATGATTGCTGGAAAAAAAATATACACAGAAATTGTGATTGGATGACTCAAGACAAGTTGCTACAGCAACTAAAGAAAATTCATATAAATAAAAAACCCTAGGGTCTGACAGTGTAGCGGTACTTACCCTCTCCAGGGGCCGGGCAAGGTCCTCCTTCCCTGCCGCACATGGTTCTGCAACTGAACAAAGTCCAACGGGCAGGCGTGCACTGACTGCGAGAAGCGGCCACGTGACGCGCCTAGCAGTGGGAGCAAAAAATAAAAAAGGTCTCCCATTGGCCCACTCACGTTTTGGGGGCATGTATATGACAAGGGACAATCAAATTAAACTAATAGGTATTTATACTCAACTTTCCCTTAACTCCCTGCCCTATCGTGGTTTATGATTCAGTTCCCTTTAGTGCTTTCTTCGTGTAGTAGTGTTTTTTTCGTGCTTGACCTTGGCTTTGTACCTGACTCTGTTTTTTCTCTTTATCCCTGCTTTGTCTTGTTCGCTGGTTTCCTGACTCCTGTGTACCAGACCTTGGCTAGTTCTTGTTTACACTGTCTCTCTGTTCCCTTGATTTCGGCTCGTTCTTGACTCTGTCTTTTCCTGTCCACGTCAAAGTCCGGTCATTCTAAGGTCCGGTAAGACGTATATTGTTTTCTTGTCTCTCGTTGGACTATTCTTGCGTGTTGGGGTATACTACCGTGACAGACAGTATTCACCCACTAGTTCTTAAGGAGCTAAATGTGGAAATAAACAAACCTCTGCTTTTAATCTTTCAGGATTATTTTCTTTCAGGAATTGTACCAGAGGATTGGAGAAAGGAAGATGTGGTTACTATTGAAAAAAAATGGTTCAAAATATATGCCTGGAGACTATAAACCTGTGAGCTGGGAAAGTATTTGAAGAATTATTAAGGGATAATTTTCAGGAATTAATTGGGGAGAACAAAAATCAGCATTTTTTTGAATTATAGGTTATGTCAAACTAACTTAATTGCATTCTATAAAGAAGTATAAATCAAGGTGTTGCAGTGGATGTGATTGCCAAGGCATTTAGTATGGTTCCAGACATTAGGTTAGTCTTCAAAATCAGAAAAATTGGTCTAGATGAAAATTCTTGTTTTTAGGTAGAACATTGGCTTAAAGATAGAGTACAGAGAATTGCCATTAATGCTAAAAGTGGTAAGTTGTGTCCCTGAGAGTTCTGTTATGGGTCATTTTCTATTCAACATATTTATAAATGATCTTAAAATAGGAATTGAAAGTCATGTTTTAGTATTTACAGATGACACAAAACTCTGTAAAGTAATACAATGTGAGCAGAATAATACATCAACATAGAGGGATTTCTAAAGGCTGGGCACTCAAATGACAGGTTAAATCTAATGTAGATAAATGCAAAGTTATGCGCAATGAATGCACCAACTGTACACCGTGAATGGTAATGAATTATGGGTAACACATGAAAAGGATTTGGGAATTACTATAAACAACAAACTACGCAAAAATTCAGTCAGCAGTTGCTGAGGCCCATAAGATATTGCCATGCATAAAACGGGGGAATTAATTCTCAGGATGAAAATGTCAGTTTGTCGCTTTATAAATCAGTGGTAAAACCACACCTTAAATATGTTGTGCAATTTTGGGCACCTGTTTTAAAGGATATTATGGCATTTGAAAAAGTGCAGAGGAGAGCTGCAAAATTAATAACAGTTATGGAAAGCTTTAGTTATGAATCGACTAAAATTACAAATACAAACCATTGTCTGTCATAAGCAGGACCACACTTAGGACACAAGTTCCTTATTTTAGACTGGAAGAAAGGAGATATAATCTAAGGCAAAGAAAAGTAAAAAAAAAATTATGTTTTTAACCCCTTAAGGACGTTCTATGCCATGCTTAGGGAACTGGCTCTAAACACCGGAGGGTGGCATAGAACGCCCTAACCGTCCTTTCTACGTACCCGGTCGTCGGTGATCCCACGCAGGCAATCGTGATATGGGGACTTACCTGGATGCCCAGGGAGTCCCCCTCTGTCCTCTTAGGCCCCCCTGGGCCATGTGATTGCAAGGTCCTTGCGAGGACCTCACAATCACATGGACGGCATAGCCGTCCAAGGCAGTGCCTGTAATAAAAATAGTCTGCTGTCTGAAAATAGTAAATAGTAAATAACAGTTTAAAATAAAATATATACTTAGATCATATATATATTTATTATATGTATATATGATCTAAGTATATATTTACACATATACATACATACGCATACACAGACTAAGTGTATTTTAATATTAATATATATATATAATTATAAATATATATTAATATCAAAATACACATACAATGATTGATTAAATATATATATATAAATTATATAATTGTCATTATATATATATATATATATTTATATATAATATAAAATAAATAAATATGTAAATACATTAAAAAATAAATAAAAAAAATGTAAAAAAAAATGTGTAATTTCCTTCTAACTGTATTTTAAAATTATTATATATACATATATATTGATATCAATGAAATAATATATATATCAATATACATAAGTATATACATATACCTATATGTAAACAAAAATAATAAAAAAATTCTATACATATATATACATATATATATATATATATATATATATATTTATATATATATAATTCTACATATATATTTATGTAATAATTTTACATAATTAGGTCATTTTATTAATTACAATTAGCAGGACCTGCCTGACAACCCAGGCCAAAAGTCCAGGGAATTTAATTTGCTAGCACTATATTTAACCCTGTAACTTTCCAAGACATCATAAAACCTGTACATGGGGGGTACTGTTTTACTCGGAAGACTTCGCTAAATACAAATATTAGTGTTTCAAAACAGTAAAGTGTAATACAACGACAATATTGTCAGTGAAAGTGACATTTTTTGCATTTTTCACACACAAATGGCAGTTACACGGAAAATATAATTGTTGTGATACGTTTTACTGTTTTGAAAAACAAATATTTGTGTTCAGCAAAGTATCCTGAGTATAACAGTACAACTCATGTATAGGTGTTATGGTGTTTTCAAAAATTACAGAGTCAAATATAAGGCTTGCATTTCAGTTTTTTCACATTGAAATTCGCCAGGTTGGTTATGTTGCCTTTGAGACCGTACGGTAGCCCAGGAATGAAAATTACCCCCATGATGGCATACCATTTGCAATAGCAGACAACCCAAGGTATTGCAAATGGGGTATGTCCAGTCTTTTTAGCAGCCACTTAGTCACAAACACTGGCCAGAATTATCGTTCAACTCTGTTTTTTGCATTTTTCACACACATACAAGTGGCTACTAAAAAAGACTGTACATATCCCATTTGCAATACCTTGGGTTGTCTACTTTTGCAATTGGTATGCCATTGTGGGGGTAATTCTTATTCCTGGGCTACCATACGGTCTCAAAGGCACTGTAACCAAGCTAGTGAATTTCAATGTGAAAAAACAGAAGAATGTAAAATGCTATATTTGACCCTGTAACTTCCCAAAACACCATAAAACCTGTACATAGGGGGTACTGTTTTACATGTGAGACATTGCTCAATACAATTATGTGTATTTTATTGCTGTAAAAGCAAACAGTATTATGACATTTACAGTTAGAATGTCACATAGAAATAAAAAAAAATTATAAAAAAAATCTTATTTTCTCCCATTTTTAAAAAATATTTTATTCATATTAAATTACGTTTTATACTTAAATATTTGATGTTAAATGAAAGCCCTGTTTCCCCTGAATAAAATGATATATAATAAGTGTGGGTGCACTTAACTTAATTTGAAAGAGGCGAATTACGCCTGAACAGACATATAGCACAAATTCAAGTTTTTGTTTACGTTTCGTTTTGATCACAACGTGTACATTTGGCTCTGTCCTTAAGGGGTTAACAATAATGATGTTGAATTCTCTGTCTGAAGTGGTGTTTTTATCAGAGTCTTTAGAGATGTTTTAATAGCAACTGAATACTTGCAAAAATATAATATTCAGGGATATCAGTTTTAATAGGTGGGTATGTTAGTATACCTAGCACCTGTTAAATGGACATTGTAGGCACCTAGACCACTTTATCTCATTAAAATGGTCTGGTTGCAGTGCACTTGTTCTCTTAACCCTGCAATATACATTTTTTTTACATTGCATGGTTGAGACACACTCTAGTGGCTGTCTCCTAGGCAGCCAATAGAGGTGATTCCTGGTGCATTTAATGACTCAGTGCTTTCCTATGAGGAAGCAGTAATACAAATGTGGTGCTGACATTAGGTTCCTCCATCATCATGACAACACTTGAGGAGAAAACCGAGGGATCTCAGTGCTGAAATTCAGGTTAAGTGTTAAAAAGGTTTTTAACTCTTTACATGCCAGGTATGAGGGCAGCCGACAGTTTTGTATTCCTTACACTATAGTGTTCCTATAACTATAATTATAGACAGCTGGTACAAACCACTTGTAATACAGCTCATTAAGAAGTCTGTGAATAGAAAGTACAAGACAACTTTTATGCATTTTATGGATACAACAAAATATATTATAAATATTACTTAGGTTTATAATACATATTTTTGTATACATATAGTGTTTTGTTTCAATAGAATGTCTTTAGATGAAAAAATAAGATAGATGTATTTGAAGTAGAAAAAAATATACTGTTTATTCTGGTTAGTTTTAAGAACATCTGTTCCTTCTAGTTACTGAATGAATTGACTATTAATTGAGCCTCATAATAAATGATGTTCACTTATTATATAATAAATATACTTGATTTATTATATTAAGACAATATTGTGATTGTATTGTTTAGAGTGTAGAATCAATAATGAGCTGGTAACAATCTCGTAAATTTCATATCACTTTATATTGCTGTATGAAATTCAATGGAAACTTAAATACACAATATAACAGAAGGAAGAAAAGTTTTAATTATGTGCCTAAAATAGCTTTGTTAACAGACATAATTAGGGTATGGAAATCATTGAGATAAGATACTACTTTGAACATCATATTAAAATCAGATTAAATAATGCTATTTTCTTTTAACTTTTCACACTCTCATTACTGTTTTCTAATTACATTAAGTCCTACTTTTTAATATTGACAGCTAATTTAAAACTGTACAATATATAATTTCTCTATTATTTTTTTCCCTTTCTGTTCAAGATATAATGCAACTTGTTTGATTACTGCCCAGCTGAAGCAGGTCCTGCTTTATATATATTTTTCTTTTTGTTCTTTAAAGCATACCTTTATTTGCCCTGTCATTTAATTGTACATACCTCACAGTATATGCTGAAAAGTAATATGCAAGCTATGATAAGACGATGGCGTTATCAAAAACAAAGTGATATTTCATTGTAGGTTCATGAAATTACATTAGGGGTTGACACACATGGCTTACACTGCAGTTCCACATAAGTGGATTATTTGCAATCCTCATGACATGTCTCCTGTTGTGTTTACAATCTGCAGAATTTTCACAGAAAACTAATCACATGCCCACGTAATGAATGATTATTTGTGTTTTTTTAAAGTTGTAACAATTCACTTAGAACCGTAGAAAGGATATCACATAGCAGTTTCCTTGGAGAGCTTACAATTTATTAATTTGATAAGATAAGGCACAAGGAAGTAATGTACCTTTACAAAGGTCAAATTCATTACCTTTCCACCACCATGCTAGTATATCTGAGCAGAGCACCTTTCATTAAGAAAATGTGGCTTTGAGATTTTCCTATATTGAGCATCTTCGTAAAAATTTTATATTAAAGATTCTTTTGGACTTCCAATAACCCAAATAGCTGATTTTCCACAATCACGAAAAGCAAAAATCCTGATGACATATTTATCATATTGGTTCAAATGGGATAAAGTAACCAGTAGAGGAAAAACAGGAGGTGCACTAAAAAAAATTCTGTATTTATATGTTTACAGATTATACATTTATTAAATATATAATATATAAGTTATAGATTGTTTTACTACTACCAATTTTTTTCCATCTGTAGGTCACTGCTCACTTGGTCTGTGAATAAAATCAACATTTACTGACTGTCCTCAAATCATCAACCCTTTTTCCCATCAACTCTCTCTTTTTATTTTGCGCCCTGGGTGGAATTCAGAATTCCAAAATAAGACATTTTCAGCATTGCACAGTTCATTTGCTTTGTGATTTAGGTACATTTTGGCTAAGAGTTTGGGAATTTGACTGATCACCTGATTGGCCCACATTTGAATGACACATTGGAATTCTCACTTCAGTGAATAACCCTGCAAGTCTTTTAATATGTGTTAGTGTAAATTTAAAATATAAATAACACACCCTCAATATACAGGTAAAAGTGCTGTAATAATTCACTGTTCATAAGCCCATCCTCCATACATCTCCCACCTAGCTTTGGAAATGAAATATCTACAGTAAAGCAGAGTTTCTTGATTCAATTCAATTCAACAAAGTGAATGTTTGCTGTGGTGTAAGCTGAGTCTCCTATGCAGAGGTGAGGTAGCCATTCAAAATGTAAGAATTATACGTTGAGTTAGGTTCATGAATTAATAATAGAGAAGATGGACAATAGGGAAGTGTACAATCAGACCATCTTTGTGTGTAACAAATAAACATTCAACATCTTCTAATTTTTTGAGTGTTATCCATAGTAATGACATTATTATTACTAATAGCAAACTAAATGCTGCATATGAGTGAACAGCTATTGGTCAAGATTCACATTTTTAATTATCTCCAAATGTGTGCAGTGAAGCCCTCAAGATTATTTTGAAGATGAAGGATATATACTTTCACATATCCTATCCAGGGCTAGATTAAAGAAGCTGAACAAAATTTGTGTGAACTGTCTGACTACAAATGAGTTGATATAAAGTTGTCTTTGCGCATTGTGCAAATGCTCTTGTGCTGCAGTTCCACTTTCTGCTACATTCACCACATCCACTTTTTTTCTCTGTCTCAGACTACATATAACACATACCACTGCTCCAATGCCTTATTTCCCAGCAGACCCCAGGTAAGTTGTCAAACTGTTCTTAAACGGTTTGACTACTTACTCTGGGATGGGATCCTGGCACTACTGGCACCATAACTACTACACTGAGCTGTAGTGGTTATTGTGCCTGGATTATTTCTTTAAATAATCTACAAGTGCCCCTCCCGAGATCAGGCTCTGGATCCGCTACTGAGCCCAGGAGTAGGTGACAGCTGCTCACTTCCTCCCAGAGAGACTGGAGCTGCAAGGGAAGGGAGGGGAGGAAGAGAGGAGTGGGGCTGGGCCAGGAAAGTCAGATGGACAGAGGACAGTGCTGGAGGGGGTGCAGACTGCAAGAGACAGCACCTATTTCCCAACAGCCTCAGCCTACAGACTGCCAGACAACAGGGAAGCCACCCTTCAGCACCCAAAAAAATATATTTTAACCTGCATATCTAATCTGTATGTCTGTCAGTGTGATGTATCTGCATGTCTGTCAATATGTGTTTGTATGTACATCTGTATGTTTGTCTGTGTATCTGTATGTCTGTTATCTGTGTGTGTATCTGTATGTATCTGTATGTATCTATGTATGTGTATCTGTATGTCTGTTTGTGTGTGTGAGTGAATGTTTGTGTGTGTGTCTGTATGTCTGTGTGTGCATTTGTATGTCTGTCAGTGTGTGTGTATCCGTATGTCTGTCAGTGTGTGTATATCTGTATACAAACAAAAAAGTAAATCACTATATGCTCTGAGAACACGAATATATCCTTTCTGGAAAAAAGTTTTCCCTTGAAACACTTAAAAGTACTAAAAAGTTACAAAACAAAACGTGTAAATATCACCAAAAAGTGAATACTAAAACAGAACAACCTGTATATGAATGCTGAAATACAATTGGTAGATGTATCTGTGGAAAAAAGAAAAATATAGTGCAGTATTATCAGCACAGTGGTGGGGGGAGGGGATGATGGAAAACTCATTAGATGGGTGCAAAATCAGGCGTATCTCCCTCTTAAATAGGGTGGAACAGAATAGTGATAAACAATCTCCAGATGGATATCTTCAGAAAGTGTATCTTCTAATAATAAATAAGTATTAATAATAAATAGATAATAATAAAGTCTTGGGTTTTAAAAGGTTATCCTCCCATATAAATCGTTATATCAGGAAAATCAATCCTCTCTAAATGGCAAAAGGATGTCAATTGTAAATTATATTCATTCTGATTTATATATTGGATAAAATTATTTAAACTAATTTGGTCACCTTCCCAAATAAGGAGAACATCATCTATGTAGCTTAGCCACAGGACAAGGTTTCCCCCCAACCCCCAGCGTCTGGACCAACTTGACATAGCGTGATACCCAATGGGATACATACAGGTTGGCGAAGCTAGGGGCGAACCTCGTCCCTATGGCGACACCACATAGCTGCAAAAAATACCTATTGTGAAACAAAATATTTTTTTTTGTTACTACAAAATGGATACAGTCAATAAGAAAATTCATTTGTTTAAGATTCAAATTTTCATCTTGGGTTAAGATGTCCCTGATGGCTGATAGACCTTTTTGGTGAGGAATATTGGTATATAATGAAGCTAAGATGTATGTTGACTTCCATTCTACTTGTTGTAAATCGTTTAATAGATGTTTTGTATCTTTAATATAAGTGGGCATGGTGGGTACATATGGTTGTAGAAAAAAGTCAACATATTCTGACAGATTACATGACAGGGAACCAATTCCACTTATGATCGGAGGGTCGGGAGCAGTAGATAAACTTTTGTGGATTTTTGGTAAAAAGTAGAAACAAGCAGTCTTACAATGGATATTGAGCAAAAAATTAAATTCGTCTTTGGAAAAAATTTTATTATGCAAGCCTCTTTTCAACAATATGTCAAGATCTTTAATATCAATTTCGGTGGGGTTTATTATTTCAAAGTTTATATATCTGACTATCACCTAAGATCCTATTAGCTTCTTGCATATCGTAAGCTTTTGACATTATTACTGTACTCTCACCCTTGTCTGCTTCTTTAATAACTAGATTGTAATTAGTTTATAGGGACTGTCTGGAGGGCTTTATTTTCTGTTTTAGTTAAATTAAAAATTGACTTTTTTATTTTTCTCTGTATTTTGATGTATAAGTTTACCAAAATCCTCAGCTTATTAAAGAACTCCAGATATTTATTGCAGTCTGACCAAGAATAGAAATTAGATTTTAATTTAAGATTTGAGTTTAGGAATTAAAGAGCTATCATTCTCTGATTGTACTTTTTCTGGAATAGGGTCAGTGCAGTTTGAGTCAATCAGGGTTATTTGCTCACTTTTTGTTCTTTCAAAAAATCTTTTTCTTGTTAGTTTTTTTAAAGAACTTTTGATTATGCAAACATAACATAAAAGTATTGGGATTTTTTGTTGGTGCAAATTTTAATCATTTGGATAATAATGAAAGAGAACCTGTTTTGGGTAGGAATAGAGTAGTGTTGACGATGTCCTCTTTGGTCTTGCCCCCTGTCTAAAAAAATATTATCTTGACTTTGGTGAGAGCATAGAGGGGTATGAGTATTAGCTTTGCAAAAACTAGGTGAATCTCTGACTGTGGTCTTACTAGAGGAAAAATGGTTTCTATCATGATTTCTAGAAACATTCTTCTGATAATTGGGTTTTACGGCCTCTAAAAAGAGGGATTGGTGGAACGTTCGCTATGGTCATTATGATGGTTCTTTTTCAGCCAATTTTTTGGGGTTCCTGTTCTATAATCTCCTTGATCTCTCTTGTATATATACTATTTATATATTCTTTTTTGCATTTTTGTTTTTGGTTTTAGATATTATCCAGCTATGTTTTGCCTTATTTTATTACATTTATATCTGTAGTGCTCATGGTGTCTATACCAAGGTTTTTCTTCTTGATCTACCTAGCTACAATAATTTGTTCATTATATGATCATTATATGATCGACTTCTGCACATATTTCAACATTGCTGCTAATTACAAGTGTAACCGAACACCTGGAAGTTTGTTTTTGCGTTCCACATTGGAAAGCATGCCTTTGTAAAAGTCTCAGCATAGCAATTTATATCTTATATATATATATTTTTTTACAATTTTGTATTATTCTTTTTTTTTCATTTCTCTAATTATACATTCTATACATATTTTTTCATTCACTTTTTATTATGTATTTTTTATTATTTTTTATATTTTATACATATATTCTTAACAAGTTAGATATATCTCTGCTATGTTTTGCCTTATTTTCAATTATTTCTTATTACATTTCAATTCTTAATATATATGTTGGATCCAATAAGGGTTCTCCTTTCAGCCCACTGTGGACAATAACACTACACTTCAAATAATGCCTGTCACAATGAGAACGTCATCTGCACATCTCCGCCTACCGGAAGTGACGCTGTTTGCCCCTGAAGTTCATCAAGTGCTCCACAGTAGAGCGCACGCCATCGTGACCACCAGCTGGAGAGATTTCAGCGCAATCAAAAGCATATTTAAGAAGAACCCGGCGGATCAACATTATACATCCCTGAGGAAGGCCTGATAGGACGAAACTCGTAGGACTTGTTATTTTGTTTTATCTCGGTTTTATTACTGTTTGTTTTATTGCATCTTCCATTCTGGGAGTTTTTTCCTGGTACTTGCTGGAGTCCTGGATACCACTTTTATGTGGAGATATGCTGATTGTCATTGGACATCTTGTATGTGCATTTGTATTCAGTAAATGTATTACTTTTATACAATCTGCACTATCTTTTCTCTCTATTCTCTTAATTCTGAGTGATATTAGAAGATACCCTTTCTGAAGATATCCATCTGGAGATTGTTCATCACTATACTGTTCCACCCTATTTAAGAGGAAAATAAGCCTGATTTTGCATCCATCTAGTGAGTTTTCCACCATCCCCTCTCCCCACTGCTGTGCTGATTATACTGCACTATATATTTCTTTTTTCCCCAGATACATCTACCAATTGTATTTCAGCATTCATATACAGGTTGTTCTGTTTTATTATTCACTTTTTGGTGATATTTACACGTTTTATCATTTTTGTTTTGTAACTTTGTGTATATCTGTATGTCTGTCAGTGTCTGTGTATCTGTATGTTAGTGTGTATCTATGTGTCACTGTGTGTGTATCTGTATGTCTGTCAATGTGTGTGTGTATTTGTATGTATCCGTGTATGTGTGTGTATCTGTATGTCTGTCAGTATGTGTGTATATTTATATTTTTATATGTAATTTTATACCTTTACTTATAAAGTGAGGTACTAAAAACCTATCTGCGACTCGAAGAAGTTAGTCCTATTTAATTTTGGCCACTACATACTGCCAACTTGTGCAGATCTGATCTAGGTACTTACTCTATTAGTAAAATACTTACAAATTACTTTAGTCTGTAAAGCAAGTTCTGAATACAACTGTCATTATTTTCATTTTAATGCAGACTGCATTACAGGAGACATTGTTTCTCTTTTTGTTTTCCTGATCTTTTTACGTTGACCGACAGGGTCAAAGGACTCAGCTTATGACATGGAATCAATCCAACAAAGAGTTTAAGCATATTTTTTCTAAATAAGATAAAATTAAATTGAATTCTTAACGATACTACAGTGCTATGTTTAAACGCATGTAGTATAACATTGTTTATTATTTTTTCATTCATATGCAATGACACCTTATTAAAATAGTGCAATCAATGATTTGCTCCAATAATTAAAAAATATATATTTATATATATTATTTGAGTCATGTTCTTCAAACTGTATCAGATTTTTTAGAAACCTAAATCCCTGTTTATACGGAGTATAAGCACAGATCATCTCTAAGAATTTGTAATGGTAAGATAACTCACAAACCGTGAGCCTTGCCTGACCTTGTGGGATCCTTTTGTCTACTGTGCTAGCTTAGCTGTACTTTTGCTTTACTATTGTTTATACAATATATACTGAAAAGCGATATTGAGTTAAACACACAAAACAGATAAAATAATTACTATCACACAATACACAACGCAGTTAAATCGTACACTAATCAACAAAAACATTGAAATCATTGACAGGTGAAGTGAATAACATTGATTTTGTCGCTACAATGGCATATGTGAAGGGGTGGGATATATTAGGCAGCAAGTGAACAGTCAGTCCTTGAATTGTATGTGTTGGAAACAGGAAAAATAGGCTAGCAAAAAGATCCGAGTGACTTTGACAAGGGCCAAATAGTGAATGCTAGACGACTAAAACAGAGCACCTCTGAATCGGCAAGTTTGTGTACATGAATGCAGAAGATACCATAATCTACGTTGAAAAACCAAACCACATTACAACTGAGACTATATTAAAGTTAGACTTCTCAGCTTGAGAGATTGTTTTTAAGAAACAAAATGTTTCAAAATAATTTCAATAGTATCTCAACTGTGTTTGAAACAAAGTTCACATTAATTAAAACACCCCCAGTTAAACATCAACGCAAAACTGAATTATACCTTAGCCCAGTTTAATTTCTATAAAAATGCTGTTATGTTTCTAGACCCAGACCACTCATTTAGAATTCATATTGATAAAGTGTGATTCAAGCTTTATATTCTGTTTCGAGACAAAAATGTCTAAATCCCACGATCAAAACAAAATAAAAAATTACATAACAAATGCAGTTATTGATTATAGGAATATAGTACATGCATCTATACTGCAGATCAATTTCAGCTCATCACTCTGTATAATTCACTATGCAACTGTGTCCTTCAATGTGATTAAAACACTCAACAGTGTTATATATTGCAAACATACACTGATCAGCCACAACAATAAATAAACTGACTAACATTGTGTAGGTTCCACTTGTGCTGCTAAAACAGCTCTGATGCAGTGAGGCATGGGCTCTACAAGACCTCTGTTGAATACGACACAAGACACCATATCCTGTGAGTCCCGCATGTTGCAAGGTGAGGCGTCCATGGACTGGATTTATTGTCCCAGCAAATCCCATGTTCCTCAAACCCATTCTGAATTTATTTGCAGTGTGACAGGGTGCATTATGCTGCTGAAAGAGGCCACTGCCATAACATCATTGCCATGAAGGGGTGTACATTGTCTGCAACAATCTCTAGGTAGGTATCAAAGTAGCATTCACATTAATGCCAGGATTCAAGGGTTCCCAGCAGAACATTGCCCAGAGTATAACACTTTCTCTACCAGCCTGCCTTGTATCCTATAGTGCATCCTGCTGCCATCTCTTCCCCATGTAAATAAAAACACACACCCATCCATCCACCTGATCTAAAAAAAAAACCTTCTTCATTGCTCCATAGTCCAGTTATTATGCTTGTTTTTCAGCTACAGTAGCTCTTCTGTGTCATCGGACCAGGCAGGCTAGCCTTTGCTCTCCACATGGGCACCAATGACTCTGATGTTGGTTCACTGGTTGTCCTTCCTTGCACTACTTTTGATAGGTACTAATGACTGCATACCTCTGAGTAGTATAGCTATCACTATTTCACCGTTGTCAAAATCACTCAGATAGTTTTGCTTACCCAATTTTCCTACTTCCAACACATGAAATTCAAGAACTAACAGATCACTTGCTCTCTAAAATATCTCACCTATTGACAGATGCCACTGTAATGATACAACCAATGTTATTCACTACATCTTTCAGTGGTTTTAATGTTGTGGAGGATCAGGACCTGACCCCACAATATCCAAACAGCATGCTTACTCCAGCCCCATACTTACTGCCTCTGTTCTACCTACAACATTTTATTCATTGTTCCCTATTACAATAAAGAATTTGGTAAAAAAAAAAATACTTTTCTCAGTTCCGAAGCAGTATTATACATAAAAAAAAAACAACAACAACAACCGCAGGTCTTCTACCATTTAACCCCTTAAGACCAGAGGGCGTACAATTACGCCCTATTTTAGGCGGCTCTAAACGCCGCTGGGCGTAATTGTACGCCCTCCGGTCTTTTCTTACTTACCCGGTCGCCGGCGGTCCCACGCCGGCGATCGCGGTGGGGGGGACTCCCAGGGAGCCCCCCCCGCGACAGATCCTCCTCCTCCGGTGCCCCCCGGTCATGTGAGAGTGAGGTCCTTGCGAGGACCCCACAATCACATGGCCGGGTAGGCTGCCTCCTGCATTGCCAGCAGGGGGGCTGCCTGCCGGGTAGGCTGCCCCTGCTGGCTGAAAATAAAATTAAAAGAAATTAAAAAGTGTAAAAAAAAAAAATTTATACTTAGATCATTATATGTATATATGATCTAAGTATATATATACACATATACATATACATACACACACATACACTGTCTAGGTGTATTTTACTATTAATATATATATAATTATATATATATATATATTAATATCAAATTACACGTAGACTGATACTGATTAAATATATATATAATTATTGTTATATATATATATTTATATATAATATAAAAAAATGTAATATGTAAATTCATAAAAAAATAAAATAAAAAAATAATTTAAAAAAATAATTAAAAAAAATAATTTAAAAAATATATAGATGTGTGTTATTTCGTTCTAACTGTATTGTGATATTAATATATATATATATATATTTATATCAAAATACATGTAGAACGAAATAATATATATATCTACATACATAAATATATACGTATATATACCTATATATAAATAAAAATATTGTAAAAATTATATATATATACACATATAGATTCACATACGTATATATATGCATTTATTAATTCTACATATATATTAATTACAATTAGCGGGACCTGCCTGACAACCCATGCCGAAAGTAAAGGGAATTTTATTTGCTAGCACTATATTTAACCCTATAACTTTCCAAGACACCATAAGACCTGTACAGGGGAGGTACTGTTCTACTCGGGAGACTTCGCTGAACACAAATATTAGTGTTTAAAAACAGTAAAGTGTATTGCAACGATGATATCGCCAGTAAAAGTGACTTTTTTTGCCTTTTTCATGCACAAACAGCACTTACACGGACGATATTATTGCTGTGATACTTTTTACTGTTTTGAAACACAAATATTTGTGTTCAGCGAAGTCTCAACAGTACCCCTCATGTACAGGTTTTATGGTGTTTTCAAAAGTTACAGCGTCAAATATAAGGCTTACTTTCATTTTTTTCACATTAAAATTCGCCAGATTGGTTACGGTGCCTTTGAGACCCTATGGTAGCCCAAGAATGAAAATTACCCCTATGATGGCATACCATTTGCAATAGTAGACAACCCAAGGTATTGCAAACGGGGTATGTCCAGTCTTTTTTAGTAGCCACTTAGTCACAAACACTGGTCAAAATTGGCGTTTTTTGCATTTTTCACACACAAACAAATACTAACGCTAACTTTGGCCAGTGTTTGTGACCAAATGGCTACTAAAAAAGACTGGACATACCCATTTGCAATACCTTGGGTTGTCTACTATTGCAAATGGTATGCCATTATGGGTGTAAATTTCATTCCCGGGCTACTATACAGTCTCAAAGGCAACGTAACCAATCTGGCGAATTTCAATTTCAAATGTAGCGTGCTATATTTGACCCTGTAACTTCCCAAAACGCCATAAAACCTGTACATAGGGGGTACTGTTTTACATGTGAGACTTTGCTGAATACAAATATGTGTATTTTATTGCAGTAAAAGCAAACAGTATTAAGAAATTGACAGTTAAAATGTCATGTAGAACTAAAAAAATAAAAAAAAAATCTTATTTTCTCCCATTTTTTTCATATTAAATTATGTTTCATAGCTAAATATGCATTTAATATGAAAGAGGTGAATTGCGGTTGGACAGACATGTAGTGCAAATGCCAGGTTTTGTTTACATTTTGTTTCGTTCACAACGTGTACATTTGGCTCCGTCCTTAAGGGGTTAAAAATACATAAAGAGATTTGCCTATTTTTAAAAAATATTTTTTACAATATCGTGATATTAATAAAGAAACCTACCCCTCTTCGCAATTAAAAAAACTAAAGGTTACAGGTGCACGTGGATTTCATTACTGGCCAGTATACTTATTGAAATCTTAGTCACATAGCAGGATAATATAGAATAATGACTTGCATACTATGTTGAGTTTACATAAATCAGAATTGACAACAGATGCATAAACTACATCTGAAGTGTCAGTGACTGGCATTAACATTTGTTGTACAATCTGCTTCATTAACACAGGATTTAAATGGGATTTGTTTCTGAACAAAGCACCTGGTTTTTACAACTGTTTATCAATTTGATGTCCATATAGGAGGTCCAGTTCTAAACATCTATTATTGTAGACATTAACTTTTACTACTTTGTTCCAGAGAACATTGAGAAAAGTTTGTTAATTTTAAAAATATATAAATAGATTATTGAATTATCTGCATTCAAAAGCTCCAAAGGCATTGTTATATGGGAAGGACTGTCACGTCATATTCACTTAATATTGTCTTTACTGGTCCCTATTTTTAACCAATATGCATTTTTTTGAGGTCTGAAAAATAAAATTGATTATAGAAATCCATAAAGTGGCATTTACCTTGACTCCCTTTCATTATTGTTATATAAAAGCCTTTGTACCCTTGCACTCAAGTCTGCGTGAAGAAAATTGGTGTGGTGCTATGCACAAATGGCTGTAATATTCCATAAATGCCCAGCTTAATGGCTAGATCATTTCGCACTGCATATTCTGAATTGCACTAGCTCATTTTAATATATGTTATAATTACCAGGGTGACCAGATCCACAATGTGTTCTGGGACACATATCACACATACAATATTGATGGGCAGCACATGAAAAGGGTAACCCTTTAGGATGTAGAATTCAGAAGAAGATGTATAAGATTAAGCAAATAGGCAACGAAGAATGCTGTAGAATATGCATTATACATTGTCATCATGCATTTTCATAAATATGACATTATTATATGTGTCCCTGTAAACATGGTGAATCTGATCACCCTGATAAAAACTGATTGTTATCTCATGTTAATAAAAAAATAGGGAGCACGAGTCATATTAAGTTAAACAAAATGATAGAAAAAAGTGGGCAAATAAATTACCACCCAATCACCCCTTCCACACTGACAAGAACAAAGCTTTCCCACACATCCAGTCTGAGGCATGGCTGATTATCCTTCCATTTTTAAAAAGAGAGTTATGTATCAGCTTACACCTGTGTGGAGGTCGTAGGCATAGTTACACAACAATAGTCAGACAAGCAGGGCAAAAACACTACAAGGATCATTTACATTCTGTTATTAAAGCATAAAATTAACACATCTTACTAACAAAATTAACAACTGGTGTTAGAAACGTAGCACTTCCAATGCATTTATTAAAAATAGTATTTCTGTAGAAAATGTGTTTTCACAAATAAAACATGCTGAAGTCTTAATTATGAAATAAAATAAAAGGGGTCCAGGCACTCCTTGGTAAAATCTGGTGTTTGGTTCCGATCACAGAGAGCACCTTGGCTCTGACTCATGGGAGTGAGTGCAGTTCCATACTTTTTTCAAAGGAAGTCTTAATTATGGACATGATGTGGTATAGTTCTCACAGAAAAGAAGAAACCAATGATAATACAACTTCAGGTTCAGCCCATCAATTTCATGATGTCTGAATGTTACATGATCTTTGAAGATGATGTTCAATTTCTTTAATACAATATCAAGTACCTGTTTGGGTTGCAGCTGGCTTCTTCAGATCTCTAATTGTGTTTTTTGAGTTGTACTTTACTTGAACCAAATAGTCACTCATCACAAACAACTCAAACAAGATGGATTCTGCTTTTCGCACTCTACCTCAAAAACACTGATGCCATAAGCTGCTAATAGTACTATGGTGTGCTTAACAATGAAATTAAAAAGTGTGTTGGCAGTTGATGACCCATTCCACCAAGAGAAGAACACACACTTCCTGTCTGTAGCATCAGTGACCATCCTTCCGTGTGGAAATACACAGTTCCCCACCAGCTCCTCCCAACTGTGTCTGCGGTGGTAGCAGGCACTTCTGTAATTATTCAGGCAGGTCAATAGCCCTAGAATAAAAGGCATTTGAAAAAAGCTGGAACAGCAGTGTTTGACTACATTGCACACAGTGCACTGCAGAGTGCTTTGACAGTAGCACAGCACATAAATTAAAGAAAGAAAAATTACTTTGCAAACTTATTCGTCATCTTCAATGATGCTGTACTCTACCTGCAATACATCTACTGCCACACTCAGTGCAGGCAAGGTCCACTTGTGCAGTAAACTGCAGCTACACATTGTATTGCAATTTGCAAAGCACAAGCTGTGGCACTGATGCACACAGCAAATTAAAAAATCTATCTATGACAAGAGATTGATACAAAAATTACAGTGTGTTAAAAAAACAACAACAGTGCTCTGCCTACTGCATCTGTGGAGGTAGCAAGGATAGCCATACAACAAGACTCAATTAGACATGGCAAAACCAATGAAAGGCATTCAAAAACATCTCCACCACCACCAGCACTACCAGTACATTTTTAAATAATTAAAAAAAATTCTGCTTAGTTAAGACATAACATTGAGAATGGTGGGTTTATTTTTATATTGCAAGAAATCTAGGATATGACTGATTGTATACTATGTAAACTAACACAACTATTTACAGAAACAATAGGTTTGGTGCTTGATGGATTTACTAGTTTATTGCATTTGACTTTGAAAAACACTACACTGTAGACAGCACAGATTGGCCTGGAAAATGATTTTCTTTCTATAAACACTTATAAAAAAAAACCACTCGCATGTCAAACTGTAAATTGGTGATTCCAAGTTGGTGTTAAACAGGAGTGGTTTGCAGTAGCTATAACCACTAGTTTCACATTAGAATGAATTGATTTGCAAAGATGGCCTGTGCACACAGGGTGGTATCCAAAATAACAGATGTTTATGTCAATGACAGGTACAGCAACATTTCAGCTCAATATGTATGAGCTTTAACCCTTTGGTGACCAGACCGTTTTTCAATTTTCTTACCGTTAAGGACCAGGGCTGTTTTTATATTTCTGCTGTGTTTGTGTTTAGCTGTAATTTTCCTCTTACTCATTTACTGTACCCACACATATTGTATACAGCTTTTCTCGCCATTAAATGGTCTTTCTAAGATACCATTATTTTCATCATATCATATAATTTACTATAAAAAAATATAAAATATGAAGAAAAAATTTAAAAAAACACACTTTTTCTGACTTTGACCCCCAAAACTGTTCCAAAATATATATTTTTAAAATGTATCAATAGTGACATTGTAACACTGTTATCTGTCATAAATCTCTCACTCACACTTCACATGTACATATTATTTTTTTAAAGTAGACAACCTAGGGTATTCAATATGGGGTATGTCCAGTCTTTTTTAGCAGCCACTTAGTCACAAACACTGGCCAAATGTAGCATTTATATTTGTTTGTGTGTTAAAAATGCAAAAAACTATTATGAATGCTAAATTTGGCCAGTGTTTGTGACTAAGTGGCTCCTAAAAAAGACTTAACACACCCCATTTGCAATATCTTGGGTTGTCTTTTTTTGCAAATGGTATGCCATCATTGGGGTAATTCTCATTCCTGGGCTACCATACGCTCACAAAGGCAACATACCCAAACTAGCAAATTGAAATTGAGCCTTATATTTGACCATGTAACTTTCAAAAACACTATAAAACCTGTACATGGGGGGTACTATAATACTCGGGAGACTTTGCTGAACACAAATATTAGTGTTTTAAAACAGTAAAACATATCACAAAAATGATATCATTACTGAAAGTGCCGTTTGTGTGTAAAAATGCAAAAAACTTCACTTTCACTGACAATATCATCGCTGTGATATGTATTACTGTTTTGAAACACTAATATTTAAAATTAACTTTCCCTGGGGCTGCATGTGCTTACCCACATGTCAGGATAGTGGCTGCGCACAATATATGTTATATATACGTGTGTAATTTTTCTCTAAGTGTATTTTTATATTAATATATGTATATATTAATAAGAAAATGCACTTAGTATGACGTATATATTTATTTAATTTTTTTATTTAATAACTTTATTTCTTTATTTTAAAACTTTTTTTTACTTTTTTTTTACCAGCAGGGGGACTGCCTGTCAGTTCAGGCAGTCCCCCTACAGGTAGCACTATGGACACCTATAGCGGCCATGTGATCACCCTTTCAGAGCGATCACATGCCCTTGGGGTCCTATTTTGCAGAAGGGCGACTGTCTGGACTGTCAGATTATCCCCCCAGTGGAGAAGAACACCGATCGCCGGCGGGGGAACGGCGGCGATTGGGTAAGTAAATAAATGCATTTATTTTTATTATTATTTTATTCTTCACAGAGTGCCTCGACCCCTTGAGGCACTCAGCACACAGGCAGAGCATCAGAAGCCTGTTTGATGGCTTCTGATGCTCTGCCTCACTGCCGGGAGCCACGTGGGGAAACCTGGAAGTGACTGCTCTGGGGTAGCAATCACCGGGCAGCCCAGCAGTGAGGGGGGTATTGCAGGATGCCTCAACATCGAGGTATCGCTGCAATACCCTTAGTGCAGCTGGAAGCTGTGGTGTATTACCAAATTAATATATATATATTACACAAGGTTTGTCTACATTAAAAGGTATTTATTAGAAGGCAACAACACAATACTATAAATTTATCACAAACACACAGCCCAGACCCAAGGAGCAACAACCCTTTTTAATCTCTCTCTTTTTCTCTCTCTCTTTATATATATATATATATATATATATATATATATAGTAATCCCCTTCCCCACATGTTTGAACTCACCCACGGTTAGACCTTCACATCTAGTAATGGCTTACTGCTGCAAGATCAACATCACATCCACCAAGGAAGAAAAGGAAGCAACAAACTGATTTCCTGCCTGGCAATATCTTATATACCCTTAGTTGAGATGATGTGTTTTACATCACATCCTGGTCATGTATCACTTCCTTTAGCAATTATGGGAGGGAAGGAAAGATTCTTAGCCCTCCTACCTAGATCTGTTTCTTTGTTTAGGGAGATCCTGAAAGGAAGACAAATTACCATGCAAGGAAGACAAGTTACCACAGAAGCGATAATGATCGCTTCCATCGCTCAAATGTGCCACGGACGTATCAGGTACGACTGAGGCCGTTATTTTTGTTGGACGTACAGGATACATCCTTGGTCACTAAGGGGTTTATCTGCTTGAGGAAGGCTTATGTATTGAGCTGAAATGTTTCTGTAACTGTTCCTGAAATAAACTTCTGCTATTTTAGATACTACACTCTGTGCCCAGGCCCTCTTTACAAATCGACTTGTTGTGAACTTGCCCATCCCTTCGTGGTGCACCTAGGTCCTCATTAGAAAATGTGTGCACTTCCATTTTGGTTTATAACAATTAGGATTAACAAAACAGGTTATCTTCTGCTCAAAGTTTGCGTGAATGCCACTGTGCTATAATTTCCCAAACATATTTTTAATTTCTACAAACAAACAACTAACAAAAAAAAGAAAATTGGTGATTCCAATTAGTGGCAGTGTTCCAAGTATGTGACAATGGCTAGCAGAAGACACACTTGATCTGTGAATATAATAAACATTTACTGGCTGTCCTCTTACCATCAATCATCTTTTTTTCCAACTCTTGATTGGACAGGAGATACAGACCACATTATATTAGGTAGCAAGTGAAAAGACAGTTCTTGAATTTCATGTGTTAAGAGCAGGAAAAATGGCAAGTAAAGGGATCTGAGTGACTTTGACAAGGGCTACATAGTGATGGACTGAGTCAGAGCAGCAAGTCTTGTGGGGTGTTTCAGCTATGCATTGGTTAGCAACTACCAAAAGTAGTGCAAGGAAGGACAACAGGTGAATTGACATTAGGTTATTCCACCTGGTCCAATCACACAGAAGAGTTACTGCAGCTAAATTGCTGAAACACCTTATGCTGACAATGATAAAAAGTTGTCAGAAGACACAGTGCATCACAGTTTGCTGCACAGTCACATACCAGTCAGAGTGCCCATAACGACCACTGTCAGCGCCATCAATGTGGATGTGAGCATCAGAACTGGACCATGGAGCAATGGAAGAAGGTTGCCTGATCTGATAAATCACTTTTTCTTCTAAATCAGGTGAATGGTTGGGTGCATATGTGTCGTTTACCTGGGGAAGAGATGTCAACAGGATGCACTATGGGAAGAAGGCAGGCTGGCTGAGGCAATGTTATCCTCTGGGCAATGTTATGCTGGGAAATCATGGGTCCTGGCATTCATATGGATGTTACTTTGACATGTACCGCCTACCTGGAAATTGTTGCAGACAACATACATCTCTTCTAAGCAATGATGTTCCCTGATGGCAATGGCCTCTTTCAGCACTATAATGCACCCTACGCCATGCAACAAAATGGGTATGCAACAGATAATTGTGAACACTTTTTACACATCAGAATATTTAAGATAAAAGTTCATGAATATGAATATTATAGATCTCAAATACCTATCTAACAGGGTTAAGCTATGGCACCAACCACTTGATAGAATATGTGTAAAATAAGTCAAGGATGTCAATAATATGCATATTGCTACCCTCCAAGAAACCAGAATACAAGTTGAAAAAGATACAGATCACCAGTATGACATCATATACCAATTAAAACAGTCACTTTCTAGGAACACTTAAACCTTTAGAGTCACTACATAGATTACAATTTCTGGAGACTTTTCAGACATTTCAGCAGAATGCACGATGAAGCATCAAATGTGTAATCCACAATAAATTGTATTTCTTCAGCACTTAAATTTAATTTTATACAGATGTAGGCAATGTGGAATATAATCTGCAAAAACAAAAAAGGTATACAATGTAACAATAATTTTACCCTTTGTCTCAGAGTATAAAAATACATCAAATTTATATTTCTCAGATCCCAAGCTACTATTACAATCTATTAATGACTTACTATGGAAAACCAGACGCATATCTATGCACATACAAACTGGATGAGATATTATACATACAATGGAAATATTTGGTGGAGTTGTTGGCTCATATGGGATACCTGCAGCCATTTACTGTAAGAGATTATCTTACAGTGAGAGAAGAGACCTCAAGTGAGCAAATCAATATGAAATAACAAGATACAATGCAATATTTTGAACAATTTCCAATAAAACAGATGTTACAAGAATAGAAATAAATATACACCAGTAATCAGTTGAAGGGAACTCGTCAACATATATTTAACATATTAAATATATATATTTAAACATATGCAAGTCAACATTACTTCACAGGTCTAGCACAACTTGTAAGTTATAACATCACATTTACATATTGCCTCAGCTATACAGACAATCCAATGGATCTGACCCTGAGTGACAGAATCAGATGACTCAGACTGATATTTCATAAAGCATCTAAGAACAAACTACTAAATGGACAAAACACAAATATGATCTAGGAGTGTGGTATAGCACAATACCAACAGGCAAAATAGTTTAACCTAGTGCAGCTATTGTGTATAAGCTGCTGTGGCCCCAACAGCAAGCAAAATATAGCAATCCAAAGTATTCACCCACAAAGGAGGGCATTTATCATTTATAAAGGAACAGGGTTCTGAAACGTCTGTACTTTGAATGCTTTTTGAATAAATTTGGACTGCACTAGTGGGCTCCTATAACTAATCTGCACTTTGTGGATGAAAACTTTGGACTACTAAATGGACATACCAGCATACACAAGAAACAGCTGAAATCATTGTGATTTGTACATTTAAACGCCTGCAAAGTAGTGAAGACAGGTTGTAGAGAGAAATGTACTTAAAAATGGATTATTATGGGATGATAAAATCAGATAATGTAACTATTTTCTTTTGCTTTCCAGCCAATATGCTTTTACAGAATGTAACTATATTTATTTACCTGTCTTCCTTTATTGCCTTATATGACCAATTTCTTATCTGTTTTATTTTGGTCACCTATCATTATTTTGCTAACTTATTAGTATAACGGCAGTATATAATGTCTCAGCTGTCTTTTTATAATTAGAAATGCCAATTTGTATAGAGAGAGAGGGAGAGAGAGAGAGAGAGAGAGGGGAAGAGAGAAAACATAATGATGAGCTATGTATGATGAGAAAATATAATGCCATCGAAGGGTTCTGGAAATACTGTAATAAACCATGAGACCCAAGGTTGAGTATTTTATATTATTTCTGAACCCTGAAATTACTGACTTGCAGTTATGTATACTACAAATATTACTGAATAGTTCTAGGTTAGGGTTAATGCTTGTATAAGGGTTAGTGCAGTTTATAGGTTAATATTCAGTGTTATTGTAGTCTAGTGGTTACTATATAGTGATAGGGTCAGGGCAATGTGATGTTGATGTTTAAGTAATAATATAGTGTAGTCAACTAGGGGAGAATAGTGGATTGCTCTAACGGCATCCCTGGGTCACACATATCCCAGTACTGCTTGAGATTAGTGGGAGCTACATGTCCCAGGTCACAGCTATTTCAACTGCAGAATGATGGTTGGTGTCACTTGTGTTTGTAACGTCCACTAATCCTAGGCAGAGCAGGACATATATATTATCCCAGTTCCGCCAGATAGTATGGACTTAGACAGCACAGAGCTGAACTGTGCATTATTACCTGTTCATTACAGGGAATAATTTCATGGATGAAGTCACCATTCTGGAACTATTGGTTTTTAAATTATGATCTGCCTGTTGAAACACACCCACATTTATATCCTTAAAGGACCACTCTAGGCACCCAGACCACTTCAGCTTAATGAAGTGGTCTGGGTGCCTGGTCCAGCTAGGGTTAACCCATTTTTTCATAAACATAGCAGTTTCAGAGAAACTGCTATGTTTATGAATGGGTTAAGCCTTCCCCTATTTCCTCTAGTGGCTATCTCATTGACAGCCACTAGAGGCGCTTGCGTGATTCTCACTGTGAAAATCACAGTGAGAGCACGCCAGCGTCCATAGGAAAGCATTGAATGCTTTCCTATGTGACCGGCTGAATGCCGCGCAGCTCTTGCCGCAAGCATTCAGCCGACGGGAGGAGAAGAGGAGGAGGAGGAGGAGAGCTCCCCGCCCAGCGCTGGAAAAAGGTAAGTTTTAACCCCTTTCCCCCTTCCAGAGCCGGGCGGGAGTGGGACCCTGAGGGTGGGGGCACCCTCAGGGCACTATAGTGCCAGGAAAATGAGTATGTTTTCCTGGCACTATAGTGGTCCTTTAAATGTATATATACATAAATAGCCATTTATACACAAACTGCACAAGTATGCAAAATAGTGTCACATTTTGTGTATTGTGTGGGAGAAGAGGGAGGAGAGGAGGTAGATCAAAATAGAGACAGAAAGTGAGAGAGAGGTGGAGAAGATAGCAGATAGAGTGCAAAGGTGGTATACCACAATATTTAAATTAATTCAAAACATTTGTTATATAACGAATAGATAGATAGATAGATAGATAGATAGATAGATAGACAGATAGAAATAGATAGATAGATAGATAGATAGATAGATAGATAGATAGATTGATTAGATAGATAGATAGAAAGAAATAGATGTATAGATAGATAGATAGATAGATAGATAGATAGAAATAGATGGATAGATAAATGGATAGATAGATAAATAGATAGATAGATAGATAGATAGACAGACAGACAGACATACAGACAGACAGATAGATAGATGATAGATAGATAGATAGATAGATAGATAGATAGATAGATTAGATTAATCATCCCATTTTATATCTGTAAATGATCTACTCCTGCAACAAAATATATCACAATTTACTAAATGACTTATACTAAAAATATAATCTGCGTATTGCTTACTTTAAATAAACAACATATTTACATTTGTTCGATTCCCACATTAAAGATGGCAATATCTACTTATATCAGTAAGCACGTTACATAGTTTGCAAAAGTACAGACATTAAACGTTCCCAGACTAAGCGACAATCGTTACATACGATGGAAACAATGTGACAAGTAACAGGCAGGTGTTACAGAATGGGCAGCAGGTTCTGCACTGTCTGTGCCACATAGCTTTGCCTTTCCTATCTCTCCTATTAAAACACATAGCATTAGGCTTTGCCATTGGATGCCCCTTTCACTCACATAATTGACAAACTGCCCTACCTTTAACTGCAAACATAGCATAGGGTTACAGTATGCTTACTTCAGGTGAATGCAATGGAAACACAGAGATCCTTATGTATAGCAAGAGGAACATCCTGTGTTTTCACTTCCAAAAAATAAATATATGTGTGTGAGAGAGAGAGACAGAGAGAGAGAGAGAGAGAGAGAGAGAGAGAGTGTGTGATACTAATAGTCCCTCAATCTGATCAACAGTAACCGATACAGCACGTTCTATAGAATTCACACGTGACCAACATTCCAAAAAAAGTAGTTGGAGAAGTACCCTTTGCTTGATGCGATTCTATGCTGCAAACATGCCATGATCTGCTATCATGTTTTAGTTTTTTTTTTTTTTTTTAAATATAACACCATGCTTCTTATCACTCAGTCATAGCGATTAACATTCATTCATGCACCTTTACTTTAGGCAACAGTTCTGTGCAGCACAGGATCAGTAACTGCAATAGTACATTACCTTGTTAGCTCCACAGCTGTTCCTTGTGGCACATAAAGGATAGACTGAGAGATGTACGAACGAATGGATAGACAGAAAGAGGATTCATATCTCCAGTAAATTCCCTGCCTGAGATTGAAAAGATTGCTGAAGATTTAGGGACGCCCTCTGTAGTTGAGCTCCACCTCGTTCTACTCACATCACAAGCTGATCTGCAAAAGCTTCAGATCTTGCATAGCTGGCCATAAACCCACATCACCTCCACATTACCCATCTGGGGGGGTGTTGCTTAGTAATCCTTAGAGAAATGCAATTGAATATCAAACCAAAGGAAAAATACTTGAGCTGAGAACATATTTGAAGTGTGAGGAAGTATGAAATGCTTTAGGAGTTAATAGTTCTCTGGTGACTGTGGGCCAGAGTGCCACCTGGTGGTCTAAATCATTTAATTTTTCCCCTGAGGTTATAGTTCCTTTAGACATACATTGCATGAAAATAATGATTATATATATTAGAATGTTCATAATTCGTGCACTAGTGGTTGCATTAAGAAGAAGAAGAAAAACAAACAACAGCAACAAAGGCAAAACCAATGGGGGATCTCACGTTTCACATTATCTAGAAATGTAATTGATAAACGAATATTTGATGTATGTCCCATATTTAGAAAAATAAAACAAAGGCTGTGTTTATGTATTATATTGCCAATATATGAAAATGAATACATCCAAGAAATAAAGAACCTTATATAAAGCGTAGGAACCTTATATAAAGCATGGTAAATTTCAGCAACAGAATACAAATAAAATCCTAAATACACGCATTAACATTGCACAATGTTTTCTGGTCACTATGAAAGAAATGTTTTACGCATGTGCTATAGTTTATTCTCATTAAATCTGGATGCTATTGAACCATGTTAGATTTCACCATTCTCCATACACTACTCTACAATATATTTAACAATAAACTACGTGTTGAGAGAGAAACACCTACATAACTCAGTAGAGCTAATGGGCTGCGTGAATAAATTATCTCTATAACCAAGTTATTTCAATCCACTGAAACGATCGTGACAGCTCATAACCATTTGATGAATAGCTTTGAGTAATATAATTGCTTGTGTGTGTGTGTGTGTGTGTGTGCTTGAATACATGTGAGCGTTCATGGACATGAGGTAGGGAGGGATTTGTGAATCATATCTACACACAAATGTATGCTTTATTATCTGTGTAATAATACCTTTGCAAGTTATGGCAATTGCAAAGTATTCATTGTACAAACACACATATAACACAGACACACATACAACGCAAACACACATACTGAAATGCTATTTCTCTCGCTCTCACACATACGCATACTACATAAACTCTCTCTCTCACCCTAATAACCTTGATCTAACCTTGTACTAGTAATTGATTTATTGTGAACGAGCGACTGGCTAAATAAATGCAAATTGTGTGTCCACATACTTTATGCACCGACTTTCCCAGGGAGCGTACTAACATGCTAACATTCTGATTCCGAGAGATGTTGTTAAAGTTGAGCACACAGCCATAGCAAACATTTCTATTTTTTAATCTAGCAAGTGCCCCTTTGAAATATTCAACAGATCCTTCTTACACTAAAGAGAGAACATATATAAGCTCATTCTCCCATGGGCATTGCTTCTGTTTAGATCTATATTTCTTCTGTTTAATAAACAGAAGTATGCAATGCAATAACTTAATAAAATAAATAATAAAAAAAAAATGTATAGCCACAAGATGGCACTGACCTTCAAACAAGCCTCTGCTGGGACATTGATTGGCACTATAAAATTCCCTCGTCTTGTAATGGCTTATATTTTTAGAGCATTCTGTAATTGCTATGTGCTGGTGAGATGCAGCAGCCTCAGTGCAATAGGATTTGTTATTCTATGGCTTTACAGGACATAGTCATCTTTAAGCCATGTGCTATTGGCTCAAGGTGGAGTTCATCTTTAAAGGGGCGTCCCTAGCTTCATCCAACAATCTTCTGTTTTTCTACAGGAAAAATACACCGGACCTGTTCATTTTCTCCTATCACTGTATATGTGGCTTTTGGTGTATTTATAGCTCGCACTGACAAACAGATTCCATCCTGATATAACTTAGTTCTGCAAACCGTCTTAAGGAATTTGGGGGTTAAATGACCTAAGGTATGTTCAATATTTATTTCTTCTTTACATGTGGACGTTTGTGGGTTAACTTACGAGTTTGAACTGCTTAAAAGTGTTGTGGAGAAAGCGCTCTGTGAAACGTGCTATAATGTGTTGGCATTGATACATGTACAACAGTATGAAGTGGATGAGTTGGGTTCAGGAAGGCATTTAATACAGCCCCTTCTCATCACACTGTAATATTGTGATTGTGCAGAAGTGATAGCAGGCTCATCTCCATTATGTTAATGTTATTAGCTTGCACAAGAGGCTCTAATTCTCACAATACCAGATGCCTACCGCTGTCCAGGGTGCTGAATTCTGGAAAGTCTTGATTCTGCTGAATTCAAAATCGTTTAATTGTTTATTTGTGAATATAAGAAAATCAGGCAGTCCTACATATACATCTTTCAGAGCATTCTTTACTGGAGTGCTTATTTTCAAAATTATATAAATATACAATATAGATTACCCCAGCCCCCTCAAGAAAAAATGATCTGTCATTTTGTATTGCTATTTATTATTTTGTGTATTTCTTTTATATTTGTATAAAGATGTGCCTTATATGTGCTCTAGGAAAATATCATCAACAAGATTAGTTTATGAAAAGTGTGTGATGTTTATGTAGTTTTTAAAATTACATTAATCGTATTGTGTCTTATCAGTCAGTAAGTTCACTATGCATTCAGTTGATAGCGTTATGTAGAAATGCATTATAAACGCTCTGCGTGATGAAAGAGTGGGTCAATACACAGATGACATATGGGCTAGAATGACTAGTCACCCTTAGCTAAAATATCTTTTAGAGCGTTTAATTGTCAAACTAATCAGGCTGTGATAATAGTCTGATTCATAGAAGTGCAGATGTTCTGTTGAAAGTTTTAGTGGAGAGGTTTACTGCAGGGTATCAAATTGTGCATCCAGCAACATAAAACAGGTTTTGCAAAACTATACTATGTTATTCAAAAGAGCAACCCAGACAATTGTTTACACATAATTAGATGCATTTTGGAAAATATGTTATTTAGCCACATGAAGTAACACACAAATACAAGTAATGTGGACATTATAATGTCACCAAATATTCAGTAATTAAAATCAATGTTTGTTGAATGTGTTCTATTTTCTGTGTGTAACAATTCAGGACTATGTTTTAGCCATTCAATAAAAGTACCTGACCCATACTGATGTTTAATTTTGCCAATGGTAACGAGTTTATGCTAAGAGCACAATAGGCCAGGTACACAGGCAACACATACCATCAAGTTTATCATAACTTAGCATATGTCCCGGTTCTACTGGTGTGATGTAAAAGAAGAATTATTTGGTACAAAGTTTTTGAAAAGTAGAGCAATCAGAAGGACAATTCTTTTCGTTTCCACTGTGATTGTTCCACTTTTACATCTTTAACCACAGTGACCCTTTATTCATAATCTCTATTATTCTTCCAAGGTTGTTCACTAAAATGAGAGATGTCTTTAATTCGAAGTGAATTCAAAGCTATTTCAAATATATGGCCAAAATAGCCATTTGTGAAAAAACAAACAAACTTCAAGTCAGCTATGCTACAAGCATTCCACAATTTCATATTTCTGTACTATTTGATTTTCAAATAAACAGCTTGGCTTATGAATCCTCAGTCATAGAGCTTAACTTTCACATGTGCACCTTTAATGTAGGTAGCAGTTATGTTACCTAAATTAAATTTGAAAAGCACTTTGTATTCCAATCAATTCTCTCTTCAGTGATTTATTGTGTTAAAGTGTATAGTCTTATAAACTTTGCAATGTTCTGTCACATTACACTTTGATAGCCATTAAGTTAATTAATTATTATAATATTACTGCATGCAGATGGAACATGATTTAACTTGACAAGATGTTATTATTATTCTTTGTATGTTTATATATTTATTTATAAATATCTTCTTAAAAAATAGTATTATATATAATGACAGCAAATGTAATTACTTACATGTTAATGGTAAAGATCAAGAAGCTTGTTCAATTAACAGTGGGTTGTGGTGAGTTTGGAATAGAGATGTTGCGAACCGTCCGCAAACCTCTCGCGAATGGTTCGCCACGGTTCGCCACGAACCGTTCGCGGCGAACTCTGGTCAGCTGACACATCCCGGCCAATCTCCAGCAGACCCTCCCTCCCAGACCCTCCCACCTCCTGGACAGCATCCATGTTGAAGCTGCCTTCAACATGTATGCTGTCCAGGAAGTAGGAGGGTCTTGGAGGGAGGGTCTGCTGGAGATTGGCCGGGATGTGTCAGCTGACCGGAGTTCGTGGCGAACTGTTCGCGAGAAGTTCGCGGACGGTTCGCGACATCTCTAGTTGGGAATAGATTTGGAAGACTCGGGCCTAAATAGTCTAACTAAAGACAGTCAACATAGAGACCCCAAAGAGGAGAAATTATAACTATAAAATGAATGCACACAGTTGAGTATATGGCCATTTCAAATATCTTGTAACAGCAAAATACGATGGCAACTCCATGATAAATGTGAACGATAAATATGGAATGGTCATACTTGCTTTAATTATCCATGGCTTAGATTTATAATTATTTTTAATTTAGCTGGCATTTCCATGCCACATTGCACATCTATTAAATAACACAACTGGCATTTATTTGTTTATATGGGCTATTTTGAGCATGGAATGATTCATTACATTCATCACTTGTCATGCGGGTATCAGAACTCCATCTATTCACTAAATAATGAATTATTGTGGACAGAAAACTGAATATTTATGGGACAATATGACTATGTACATGGAACAATTGTAAATGGGGAACTGTGAGGCAGAAACATTGGAAAGTGTTACATATAGAAAATGTGTTTATTTTAAATACTTTTTTCTTATAGTTAACTTAATTGTTATGTAACTTTGTTTATTGTCTACAAACAAGGAGCAAATATTTATATATAAAGTAACTAAAAATGTGCTATCTATACATACTGACAAGGAAAGAAAATGTACACATTTCTTTCCAGAAAACACAAAAACAGTACATTTTAATGTATACCTACTTTAGGCTTCCAGTAGCAAATTATAAGCACCTGAATTCATTGTTGACTTTATGCAATTATATTTTTTTAACATGGCTAGACTTACTGCTCATGCCCTCCTATTTCCCTCCCCCCAAAAATATTCTTATCCTTAAAGGGACACTATAGTCACCCAGACCACTTCAGCTCAATGAAGTGGTCTGGGTGCCAGGTCCCTCAGGTTTTAACCCTTCACATGTAAACATTGCAGTTTCAGAGAAACATCTATGTTTACATAGAAGGGTTAATCCAACCTCTAGTGGTTGTCTTCCTAACAGCCACTAGAGGCGCTTCTGCGATGCTGGATGCAAAATTTGCATCCAACGTGCAGAACGTGCATAGGAAAGAATTGTGAAATGCTTTCCTATGGGCTGTTAGAATGCACATGTGGTTCTTGCCATGCATGCGCATTCCGCTCCACTTGGGAGCTGACATCAGCGGGGGAGGAGAGATCACCAGCTCAGAGGGAGCCCGGTGCTGGATTAAGGTAAGCTGCTGAAGGGGTTTTAATCCCTTTAGCGTCATGGGAGGGGAACCCTCAGGGTGAGGGTCCCTCAAGGATGACATAGTACCATAGTGTCAGGAAAACAAACCCGTTTTCCTGACACTGTAGTTATCCTTTAATTATGCTAGAAAAATGATTCTCTGTACTCTGAATGATGCTGCATTGGACAATGATAGAAACATTTAAATATATAAAGGGAATCAACACAGTAAAGGAGGAGACTATATTTAAAAGAAGAAAAACTACCACAACAAGAGGACATAGTCTTAAATTAGAGGGACAAAGGTTTAAAAATAATATCAGGAAGTATTACTTTACTGAGAGGGTAGTGGATGCATGGAATAGCCTTCCAGCTGAAGTGGTAGAGGTTAAGGATCTAGGCACCCAGACCATGAAGTGGTCTGGGTGCCAGGTCCTTCTAGGGTTAACCTATTTTTTTATAAACATAGCAGTTTCAGAGAAACTGCTATGTTTATTAATGGGTTAAGCCTTCCCCTATCCTCTAGTGGCTGTCTCATTGACAGCCACTAGAGGCGCTTGCGTGCTTCTCACTGTGATTTTCACAGTGAGAGCACGCAGCGTCCATAGGAAAGCATTGTAAATGCTTTCCTATGCGACGGGCTGAATGCGCGCGCAGCTCTTGCCGCGCGTGCGCATTCAGCCCAGGAGGAGGAACGGAGGAGGAGAGAAGGAGGAGAGCTCTCCGCCCAGCGCTGGAAAAAGGTAAGTTTTAACCCCTTTCCCCCTTCCAGAGCCGGGCGGGAGCGGGTCCCTGAGGGTGGGGGCACCCTCAGGGCACTATAGTGCCAGGAAAACAAGTATGTTTTCCTGGCACTATAGTGGTCCTTTAACACAGTAAAGGAGTTTAAGCATGCGTGGGATAGGCATAAGGCTATCCTAACTATAAAATAAGACTAGGGACTAATGAAAGTATTTAGAAAATTGGGCAGACTAGATGGGCCAAATGGTTCTTATCTGTCGTCACATTCTATGTTTCTATGAAATGGTCCACAATTCCCTGATGCACAGAATGCAAAGACAAACTAATGGTGGATTAAATCTACCTTCACATCCTGATGACATTAACTGAGCATAAATGTGAATATATAGGCTCTGGTGTGCTTCTCAGAACCAAACTTTTGAAACGACAATTGTTACTCAAAACTGTTGTCTAAACAAACGGATCAATTGGGAGCAAATCGGCCACAATGACACCATTGGTTCAAACATATACTAACTACCCACAACCTCACCCAACATGTATTGTGTGGTATATTTACACTTATCTGATTAAATTTTGATTACAACTTCCCCAAGGGATGTCCCAGACAACCTCCCTCTTTAACAAGTACAAAGATAAAACATAGGAGAATACAGCTGAAATTGTATAACAGAAATACTAATATAGTGTAATACAGTACTGAACCAAAAAAAAAAAGATCTTGATCAAAGTACACTCAAAAGATGTATGATGTAACTTCCGCCTCAAGGGTGCCTCCCCTTTGAATACCGGGTGGCTAAATGAGATCTGATATGTGGTTTCTCATTGTTCTATAAATATACACAAAAAGGATGGAGTAATAAAATAATTAAGGAGAGAATAGGTAAACATGTAATGAAACTGAGTGAGAAAGAGAGAAAGAAAGGATTGCCTCTACTCTTCAACCTAAGGCTCAGTTTAATATTTCTGCATAAGCATTTCAAATGATTTAATATTTTTGGATAAACTTTTAAATTTCTTTTTTCAAAATATTAAAATATCAAAAAATATATATCTTACAAAAATATATCAATATGTAAAAACATAAAAAAAAATCTGAATATTAAATCATGAAATGCGTATTCAAAAATATTAAATGAGAAATTATTTCATTCTGGTGGGAAAAAAATGAAAATTAGTTATCTAGAGAAGTCTACATTAAAGTCTATGCTATCTTTTGTAGATAAATCACATGAAACATTTTATTTTTAAAATAATAGTAATCCTTTCTGATTCAACCCATTTAAATTGATGCCATGGTCTGAAAGTATTTGTTGCACAGTCAGCCAGACTGAAATCTGGAAAGCCATAGGGCATTTGAAACAGTTGTTGCAATTGTTGAATAAATACATATAATGTTTCATCATTGCTTTCTGAGCAATCTGACAGTCAAATCTTCCTCATAGCAGATTTACAGGTACAGCAAATGAGTGAGCTTCATCACACCAAATTTTACTTTTATTTTTTTGGTAATAAAAGCAAATGAGGGAGCTTTCCCACAACAAATTAGTGAAAAATATTCTTACTTTCATTTTTTGTGAATAACATCCAATATAAATAGTAAACAGCTCTGCAATAACAGCACATATCCTCACAACGCGTTTCAGAGTTTTCTCTTCTTTTCACAAAGTACTTTAGCTCATTGACTCATAATGTATCTTATTTTAGGTTCAAGATTAGTTGTCTATAAAGTAAATGAGTTATGCAGTATTTAATTCACAACATAATGTTGAGGAGAGTGAAAAACAAACCATCTTAGAAATTAATCCTCTTTTTCTAACGTTTTATACCCCACGTGTGAAGATTGCACACATATATTTCTGATGTAATTTTATGGAATATATTCTGTTATGTTTGCTTTAGATTCAGCATAGAGTCCATTTCAAAACTCAGCATGAATTCTTCCTCCTTCCATACTTTGCTTCTTTCAAAAATTGTATTTCGTTGCAGACATATATCATACATATCACACTACTGACTTGCAGTAAGTGGCACCCTTCAATACATTTGATGATCTTTTCCCTAGTGGATTGGTTACAAATGTTAGAGATATATTCAATTTTAGATTATACATCCATTTTCTCATTTTCTCATTCTTTCATGGTAAGGTATATATTTTTTCTTTTATGGAAGAATACATTCAACTACAACTTCACAAATGTAACTGTCTCTTTTATCTATGTACTTTCTACAATAACCTGTCAGTCAACCTTCACAGGTGTATTTTTTCCATGAAGAGTAAAACACCATTACTGTAACATATATTATCATTGTTATACAGCTTTATTTTACACTATTTTGCAAAGATTCAAACAGGTGATCTATGAGCAATGTACCATACTGATCATTGAAGGTCCATTATTTGGGTACTTAGGGCAGCATTCCACCAGTTTTTATGTGGGAAAAAAAATATTAGCAATAGTTTGTGATCACCAAGATTTTTTTCGCGGGGGTAGGGCTAAACTATAAAATATGAAAAAAAAGTTGATTAATATATGTTTGTGTCAAGTAGATCAGTGCACTATGGCTTGATTAATATAAAGTGTTTGTGTTTCCCCTATCCTGTAAACTGCCAGGCTCCATCCAGCATTAAGAGTCCCAAACAAATGTCTCTGTAAACTACATTGTGGAAATGTTGATGTTTTTAACTACATTGTGTGTGTGTCTTTAAAGCACATTGTGTAAGTGTTTGTGTCATTGTCTGCTAGTGATAGTGTGTGTGTTTCAGCGAGTGCTTGTGCCAGGGTTGGTGTGCGTCAGTGAGTGCTTGTGATGCGTGTGTGACAGTGAGTGCTTCTGTCAATACATCAGTGAGTGCTTGCAATCTATGTGTGACAGTGAGTGCTTCTGTCAGTGTTTCAGTGAGTGCTTTTGATTTCTGTGTGACAGTGAGAGCTTCTGTAAGATTTTCAGTGAGTGGTCATAATTTGTGTGTGACAGTGAGTGCTTCTGGTAGTGTATCAGTGAGTGCTTATGTCTGTGAGACAGTGAATGATTGTTGGTGCATATGTCAGTGATTGTATAATTGTGTGTTTGTGAGAGTATGCCTTGTTCCTTATATAGATCCTTCGCTTTTATAAACAGTGCTTTTCATTAGGCGAATTGTAAAAAAGAAATAATATTACTTAATTACAGAGAGTGTTATGCATAAATTCAAATATATGTTAATGCATGTATTAGTTTAATATATGTACTATAGAGACATAATTTAATAGAATGCACAAGTATTAATATACATGTACATATGTATTAATATAGTCAGGGCTTGCGTTATACTTAGTCATTAAACTCTGAATTGCAGCAATTGAAAATCTAAATATTATAAAGTGGGCCAAAGTAGTTGGTTTGGAAAAATTCTCCAAATCAGCTTGGCTGTTTTGCCTAAATTTTAAATTTGGCTTTTTCAGAAAAAAAACACTGTTTAGTGAATTAGTATTCCCCTCCCAGACTTTTTAGCCTTTTTTAGTGAAAACTTCAATTCTATAACATATCCACTAGAAATGGACTCAGAAGGATTAATAATTAACTAACTTATTTAGCAATTAGTGTCTGCAGCCCTTGCCAGGGGCATTGCTAGATGGCAAAAAGACCAAGGATTTTAGCCCAAAAATATTCTGGAGAGGGTTTAATGATAGTTAGTTGGCACTGCTGGCACCATAACCACTACAACAAGCTGTTGTTGTTATGGTGCTTGGACTGCACTTTAACCCTTATCAAGACAGACCCATGGATGGTATCCATACTTTCTACAGTAGTCCGTGTCTTTTGAGTGAGAAATACAAGGAAAGTGTAATTTGTTATGGATGCACACCAATAAAATCCCTGAATGGGATTTTTTTAATTTTTTTGCAAAAAAGTGCTTTATCTAACTTTGTGTAATACCAGTGCACTCTGTGCCTTTCCTATCAGCTCGTCATGTAAACAGTACAATGGTTGTGTGAATATATTTGAAATTAAATCAACCAACAACTTGCTATCTAATTAATAAATTACTACTATGGCTTAATGCAAAAAAGCAAGTAATAATTATTTGTTACATTATTTTTAAGCACATTATTAATGCACATCTGTGCCCTGGCGATATGCTTCCAAGACCTAAATGCTTAGCAATTCTTGATCCTGAACTCGAGATCAAGAGAGTAGAAAAGCAACATGCATCAATAATAGTTAAGATTTATCAGTAAGTTCATTATTTAGCTTGCATATCGTATGCTACATTGCACATCTATTAAATAATACTAATGGCAAACAGTTGTTTATATAGGCAAGGTTTGTTTATATAGCTAGGTTTGATCAGGTAACTATGCATGACATGGAGATACTGATATCTCAAGAGATATTAAATTCTTAATTGTTAAAATATACATATTTCGCTATTTTACAGATATGTGTATATACATATTCATATATGTATATATATATATATATATGTATATACATACATATATATATATTTCCTGGCCATATCCATGGCAGCACAACAATGGGTAGCTCCTCCCCTATCCCTAGTTAGACAGGAACTAATTAAAATAAGGGTACAAATACCCCCTCCTACCTCCTCCTCCCTCAGTCTTTTTGTTCCTGTCCTATCCCTATAGGACCAAATTAGTCTATTTTCAGGACTATAACCACTTTTCTTTTATGGCTTACCTGAGGGTTTTTACCTTCTGTCCTCAAGGAAGTTCAGCCTCTCTTCCTTGGGAAGCTTCAGTATCCGGCCCTGTGCAAAGGTGTCCCCCTGAAGATACCCCCTTAGTGACCGGGGGTTTTACTTGCAGTGACCCTAGGGGTAGCAAGAGAAAAAAAATGCCAAATAACTCTGATTCCCTGCAGTGACCAAGAGGTAGCAGGAAGTGGCAAGAAGACTTTATCCTGGATGGATTTCTGCATTTTACAACAGCCCACATGTATGTATGTACAAATACTTTTTACAATATATACTGTATTTGTTAGATCATATGTGTGGGTTTTTTCCCCCCCCTGCCTATTATTTCTGTGTACTTTTTCTTTCACGCCTTCTCGGCGTCCTGTTTGTCCGGGTGCGCATGCGCGCCGTTTCGCGCGTGCACGTTTGTATCGCGTGCACGCTAGCTTCATTCGCGTGCACGCCGGGTCCGCGCGCACGCTATACACCGCGCATGCGTCTGGTCCCCATGAGGCAGTTACAGTGCCTCCTACTCCGGAGTAGCTTCCGGGTTTGTGCCGCGCATGCGCAGTTAACGAGCAATGAATTCGCTCGTTTTGAGCATGCGCGGATAGGCGGTGACGTCAGATATGACGTCACACGCCTATTTAAGCGCCAAAGTTGAATTAAATTATTACCTGATGTCCTCATTAGGTCTTTAGAGGACCTGTTTTCTTACAGTTCTCAATTTGAATTGCGTTTATATTTTACTGAAAATCTGAAGGTAAGCTTTACTTCTTAAAGGTATATACACATTTTTTTCATTTCTTTACTCCTTTCTTTCTATAACAATAAGAATTCCTTTTTTAGACTGTTCATAATCAACTCCAAAATGGAAAAAGACAAAAGGAGATCAATTTCTTCTGATTCGGACTCTTCTGGATATAAAAATAGGTCACACTCTAAGAGTTATAGGTAAGCCATATCACATCATTTTTTTCCCTTATCCGGAATATGATACATGAAATAAAAGAGTGCTAATGTGAGATATTTCCCTATCATGATAGTTCTACGGGAAAGAAAACAGTGAGATCATCCAAAGGAAAATCTCCAAAGAAAAATCAATGCGAAGCCTGTAATAATAAACCGCTGGAAGGCAAACGGTTATGCGCAGAATGTTTATCTGAAGCAGCTGCAACATCTAATCCTTCAATGGAATTTGTACAGTTCATAAAACAAGCGGTGGCTCAAGGTATCAAAGAAGCAGGGGCAAGTCACAAAAGACCCCGGTTACATGAACCTTCGGATTACCAACGTAATGATTCGTCAGATGAATCCATGGATATGGAATCATACCAGGGGAATTTCTTATCTTCAGACGAAGAAGAAACTCAGGCCCCTGCAGACTTTTTAGAACCTGCTCAGATAGACCACCTCATTTACAAAGTCCGTAAATCTTTGAGCTTGAAGGAGGCAGTTGCAGAGCAGTCAACCTCTTATCGTTATTTCTCAGATTTGAGAAAGAAAAGAGCTACCTTTCCAGTACATGATACTATTAAGGAATTAATTAAAGACGAGTGGTCTAACACAGATAAGAAGCTTTCAGCACAAGGCAGAATATCTCGCCTCTATCCTTTTGACAAGTCTGATTCATACCATTGGGATAATGCCCCTAAGGTAGATGCGGCAGTAGTTCGACTCGCAAAACACACCACATTACCAGTAGATGATGCAGGCTCATTTAGACACCCAATGGACAAAAAAGATGGATCTGCATCTCTCAAAAGCTTATGTAGCAGCAGGGACTGGTTTTCACCCTGCAATAGTCCTTACTTCAGTATCCAGGGCCTTAAAAATCTGGATCGAAAACTTGGAAGAAGATATCAGAGATGGGAGAAACAGATCTTCTCTTCTGGAAAGATTAAATGATATTAAACTGGCCGTTGACTTTACCTCAGAATCCTCAGTGGACATGGTGAAAGCTTTAGCAAGAAACATGGCTCTTTCAATTTCAGCTAGAAGAGCTTTATGGCTGAGATCCTGGTCCGCAGATTCATCATCAAAGTCTAGTCTATGCGCCCTTCCTTTTCATGGTGAGATGTTGTTTGGTAAAAATCTAGACGAGTGCATCAAAAGAGCTGCAGAAGGTAAGAGAGCCTTTCTCCCACAAGACCGGAAAACCCGTGGATCCTTTCGAGCCAGAAGATACTCTGAATACCCCTCTTTTCGTGATACCAGATCTTATAAACCAGGAAGAGAATATGGAAGATCCATTCCATGGAGAGGAGGTCATTCATCCAACAAAGGAGGAAAGTCTAGAGGTTCCTCATTTCACAAGAAGCCTTTATGACAAACCCACCTACCATTCTGGAGGAGTAGGTGCCCGTCTACTTCTATTCCAGAATATTTGGAAACATTCAACTCAAGACAGATGGGTGCTGGATATCATACAGAGAGGTTATCTTATAGAATTCTCCACAAGGCCGCCTCCTCGCTCCTTCCAGAAGACAATCTGGCCAAGAGATGTAGAAAAAAGAGATTCCCTAAAAAAGTTTATCTCATCCCTTCAAGACGATGGAGTTATCGTTCAAGTTCCAAGAGCTCAACAAACACATGGGTTTTACTCCCATATCTTTCTCACCAGAAAATCCACAGGGGGATGGAGATAAGCAGACTAAACAAGTTCCTAAACATAAGGAAATTCAAGATGGAGTCTCTTCAATCCATTGTAAAAGCAGTTTTTCCAGATCAATGGCTCATGTCAATAGACCTGGCAGACGCATATTTCCATATTCCCATAGCACCCCAGCATCAAAAATTCCTCAGATTCGCTGTAGAAGAGGGTCATTTTCAGTTCCGGGCTCTCCCTTTTGGGCTAAGCACTGCTCCGCGTACTTTCTCAAAAGTTCTGGTGGTTCTCATCGGAGAACTCAGGAAGAAAGGCATTGCAGTATATCATTACCTCGACGACATCTTGATTCTGGCAGAAAACAGAGATATATTAGAAGATCACGGCCTGATATGTATACAGTATCTTCAACAACACGGATGGAAGATCAATTTTGCCAAAAGCAACCTAAAGCCATCCCAGAGCATGATATATCTAGGAGCAGCATTCAACACTGCAGAAGGTTCCGTCCAACTGTCCCCAGAAAGGGGTATGAAAATTCGGAAAAAGGTCAAAGACATGTTAGCATCCAGTGTTTCCTCAGCAGAGACAACTATGAGCCTCCTGGGATCAATGTCCTCCACCATAGGACTTACGAGATGGGCCCAATGGAGAATGAGGCCTTTCCAAAGGAATTTCCTTTCTCAATTCAAGGGCAATCTGTCTCAACCTATAGTGATCCCTCCTCACGTACAAAAATCCCTGAAGTGGTGGACCCAGAAAGAATCTCTCTTCAGAGGTTATCCCTTAGGAAACATTCCATGGATCATCATCACCACAGATGCCAGTCAATGGGGCTGGGGAGCCCACCTTCAAGACAACTATGTTCAGGGGAAATGGGCATTTTCAACCTCCGACACCCCTTCAAATCTTCTAGAACTTCTGGCAGTTTTCAAGGCTCTAATACACTTCCAGCAACTTTTACTTCACAAATGGGTCAAGATCAGGACAGACAATGCCACAGTTGTGGCATATATAAATCACCAAGGAGGGACAAGAAGTTGCAGAATGATGAAACTTATGAAACCTTTGATGGCCTGGGCTCAAATGAATTTGGAGAATATCTCTGCAATACATCTCCCAGGAACTCAGAACTCTGTGGCAGACTTTCTCAGCAGGGTGAGATTAGACCCGGGAGAATGGAGTCTATCAGACATCATATTTCTACAGATCGTAGAAAAATGGGGCCTTCCCCAGATAGATCTAATGGCTACAAGCAACAACAGAAAAGTCAAGAACTTCTTTTCGAGAATTCCAGATCCCCAGGCCATAGGAAGAGACGCATTGACATGCAGTTGGAACTTCAACCTAGCTTATGCCTTTCCTCCGAAACCCCTCATCTTCCCTCTGCTAAGGAGACTACGACAAGAGAAGACATCACTGATTCTAATAGCCCCTTTTTGGCCTCGCAGACCTTGGTTTCCGCTCCTACTAAGTCTGTGCAAGAAGGATCCATGGCGCCTTCCAGTTGTCCCATTCCTGTTACATCAGGGTCCAATTCATCATCCAAACCCAGCATCCCTTCATCTGATGGCATGGTACTTGAAAGGGATGGGTTAAAGGACAAGAGATTTTCGAGATCAGTTATCGAGACACTTCTTCAAGCAAGGAAGAAGTCCACTTCATCCACTTACTACAGAATATGGGATGTATTTTCTTCATGGGCCAGTTCAAGGCCCTTTGATATGTTGAACCCTTCAACTACTGACATTCTTGATTTTTTACAATCAGGTCTAGAGAAGGGATTGAGTTATAACACTCTAAAAGTGCATGTTTCTGCCCTCTCTGCTTTAACTAATCATAGATGGGCACTGGATCCAGACATAGCTAGATTTTTGACTGCAGTCCTCAAGATCAAGCCACCCATTAAGTCTATTACTCCGCCATGGGATCTCCCTCTGGTCCTGAAGGCTCTTAAAGCAGATCCTTTTGAACCTATGGCATCTATTTCCTGTCATCTTCTCACGATCAAGACAGTTCTACTAGTAGCCCTAGCCTCTGGTAGAAGGGTTTCTGATCTTCAGGCTCTTTCGGCTCGAGAACCTTTTACTATATTTCATAAGGACAGAGTCATCCTGAGAACGGTTCCAGAATTCCGCCCTAAGGTAACTTCAGAGTTCCATATGAATGAAGAAATAATCCTTCCAGCATTAAGTATAGAAGAATCTAATAACAGGGAAGACGCTGATGATGATGCTATCGACCTAGTAAGATGTCTTAAGATATATATACAAAGATCCTCAGAATGGCGTATTTCGGAAAGGCTTTTTGTTATTCCTAATGGCCCTAGGAAGGGTCTGCAAGCTTCGAAAGCCACTATCAGCAGATGGATAGTTTCGGCCATTATCCAATCTTATAGATCATCTAAAACTAGTGTTCCTGAAGGTTTGAAAGCTCATTCTACACGTTCCCTTTCTTCATCCTGGGCAGCTGCAGCAAAGGTTTCTACAGAACTGATTTGCAAAGCAGCCACTTGGTCATCTTCTAATACATTTATTAGACATTATCGTTTAGATGTAAGAGCTGGCCAATACGATGGATTTGGCAGATCAGTTCTTTCTGCCTCAAAGGATTAACTACTATTCTTTTTGTTCATCACATTGAATTGTTTGTGACAATACACTTGCATTATATAATAATGTGTCTGAGTTTTTCTTTCCCTCCCTTGGTTTTAGCTTGGGTATTACCCATTGTTGTGCTGCCATGGATATGGCCAGGAAAGAGATAAATTTACTCATACTTACCGTAATTTTCTTTTCCTGGTCATAGGCCATGGCAGCACAAAGGTCCCACCCAGGGATATTGCTGTTAACTAGACTGAGGGAGGAGGAGGTAGGAGGGGGTATTTGTACCCTTATTTTAATTAGTTCCTGTCTAACTAGGGATAGGGGAGGAGCTACCCATTGTTGTGCTGCCATGGCCTATGACCAGGAAAAGAAAATTACGGTAAGTATGAGTAAATTTATCTCTATATACATACATATATATATATATATATATATATATATATATATATATATATAAAATTGTATTATTTTTTATTTTACTTATATAATTTAATAGTAGGAATAATCTGTCAGTCTTTCTTGTCTCTGTCTACCTATCTGGTCACAATAACAGAAACCAGAACAAGCATAGGTCAATATTCTAAAAATCTGAATAAACATTTGAATAATATGGAACTTTAGTGTAACAGGAACAACATTATTGTTCGGAAGATACAATGGACTGCACAATGTCAATGAACCTACATCCATCTGCTCACAAAACATCAGAGACACACATGGTTATTTGCTAAAGGGAGAACTCCAAGTTAATCTAAAGTAAATTTCAAATTTAAAGCCAGTGTAGCTTAATGGAAATCATAACTGACTTAGAGAATTTTTGCAGTTTGGCTATTTTGACCTTAAATTTGAAACTCATTTTTAATTCTCACTTTAGTGAATAACCCTGTTAGAATGGAAATTCACTCTTCAGCAGAAAAAAAGAGAACAAACAATAGTATATCACAATTTAATGTTCACCATGAAAAATAGAAGTTATACTAAATATCAGTAAAAATTCAAATCCCAGTCTCTTTTTACACCAGATAACCATGGTACATAAACTGCGTGGCATGTTACCATTGTGAATAATATAAAGTGTATCTCCAATTTCCAATGATACAGAGTGCAAAGCTACACAATGCATTATATACTAACAAATGTAGAAAGGGATATAAAATAAAATAAGTACAAAGCTAATATTCAAAGATATTTTTACCTTTCCTTACATATTGTACATACAAGCATCACTATTGCAGAGTTGACACATATTTCTTCAGGATACATCATTCACATATTAAAAAGTAAATAACTGTAGATCTTTCAACTCTGCAGAACATATCTCAAAATAAAATATATTTATGGGAAGAATTAAATTAAGAATAAGCAGTATTGTCTTTAAAATTACTCTGAAAGTATTTGTTACGGTTGCTAATAGTTGTCAATGACTATCATCAATGATCGTCTTGTAGCATATTTCCCTAATCTATCAAATGTTAAGGGGGAGCTATCACTTCTCTGGAATTTATACCAATTAATAAAATATTGAAATCACTTAAAACGTGAGCTAACTTAATTTTCATGAAATGCTCTGTTCTCTTTTAAATTTCTACTAAAGAGTTAATACATTACATCTTTACCTAGTTCAGAGAAGACAAAGCCAGGGCAAGCATTCCAAGAAAGAGGAGACATGTAAACATTGTTTCGTTTCTCTTCTCTCTGTAAGCTTTCTCTATCCTGACTGTCAAGTGCAAAGGATAGAGCAAATAAAAATGATTGACAGGGAGCTAAAATGGATTTACCCACTGGCGGGATATAGACGTGTGGATTTCTATATTCGTTTTATTTTTTACACTTCACAAATACATTTCCTAAATATGGTATAAATAGACATAAAATGAAGACAATCAATAAAAAAAAAGAAATAATGTATATTATATTGAGTAATATGTTTAGACGTACAAGTCACTAAAGCAAAACCAAAATGTTAAAAATGATGTAATATAACTTTCTATAGCAGTGCTTTATGCACACATAAAAGAAAGAAAAAAGCTCAATAAAATAATCGTTCTTAGTAGTAAACTAAAACAATGGTAACAGCATATAGAGCGTGAAACAGTGGAATACTAAATTACTGCCCAAATACAAATCAGATCTGAAACAACAATTGTTAAATTGTAACCAGAGTGCAAAAATGTAATTGTAAAATGTAACTCTCCTATGGACTGTTAGAATGCGCGCGTGGCTCTTGCCACACATGCGCATTCCGCTCCACTTGGGAGCTGACGTCAGCGGGGGAGGAAAGGTCACCAGCGCAGAGGGAGCCTGGCATTGGATAAAGGTAAGTGGTTGAAGGGGTTTTAACCCCTTCAGCTCCAAGGGAGGGGGACCCTGAGGGTGGGGGTCCTAAAGATGCTATAGTGTCAGGAAAACAGGTTTAAACCAAAGTAGCCATCTCTGTGTTCTATACTCTTACCCTTACTCAGAAATATTATTTGTTTCATTTTACATATCTCATAAGCCACATAACACCATTCCCTAAATGAAGGAATTTGTGCTTGTTTCCAGTATTATGATGTCAAAATCTTAGCTGAATCAATCAGCCTAACTGTAAAATAATTCCTATAATTCTTGCTTGAGTGCTTTGTGTTATGAATTCAAATTTGTGAGGGGTCCATTTCCAAATCTAGGTCATCCGGAGATCTTATGATACTGACCATTTCTTTTTCAAAACGGACTCAAAAGTAGGCATGTTCACCAGATATGAACATATACTATACAATTCAAGCATCTCCAGAAATTTTCTGGACTACTAAATTGGATTTTATATATGGCATATGGAATCTTACAGGAATTCTCTTTTATTTTTTTAGATAATGAACATTTATATGTTAATAATGCAGTCTTATGCCATTGTTCGTGTGTGAGATTTATATTACAATAAGTCTTCCACAGATTAAAAAAGTAAGGTTTGACAAATGATATGCTTTATGTTATTATTTTATAACCTCCAGAGATCAATCCAGTATGAGGTTTTTGTAAAAAGCATAGTTTCTCAAAAGGGGATAACATTTCTGATTTCTGGCATGTTTGTTTCAGAGTAGCCACATAATGAAGAATTTAAGAATATAATATAGCTGAAAATTATTTTAATTCTGTCCAGTATTTGTTGAAGCTCTATTATAATCGATTACGAAATGCCCCAATCTGGGGTATAGAACCTACAACTATATATTTTTCCTTCTCATTTACTTAATTTTGCAAGTACATGCAACAGTAGGGTGTTTATGTATCTTTAAAGACTGTTTGAGTATTACATAGCCAAGGGCCAGGCGTCAGGTCTGCTGCCCACTTACCCATCAGGTCTGCTGCTCTCTCCCCTCCTTCCTCTGGTATTCCGTTCGACACTGCATGCTTGCACACAGCGTGCCTTTATGTGTGACCAACTTTGGTCCTGAATCCAGAATTTGCTGAACCGAATTCAACAAATTGAATTCAGCACACAAATATAAATGTCAAACTGAAAAGGTGAATTACTGTCCATAATTATACAAAACTCCAAGATGACCTAGACCAATGGGAGTTAAGACCTGCCAATATATACTAACATTTTCCATTCCTTGTTGCCCTGTTGTGGTTCTTGTTGGCCCAGTATCGCTTTACTGCAGTATTCTTCTTTGGTAATTATTCTGGTTATGGATTATCATTATTCCTGTCTTCTGTAATCCTTTGACCTTCGCTTGTGTATAGTTTATCCAGTATTCTGTATAGATTTGACCTTGGATATCCGTATTGACTCTATTTGTCCATTAGTCCAGCCATTCTAAGGACCGGTATTTAAAAAGTTGGTTTGTTGTGATTTGTTCTGTGTGTTTTGGTTCCACTCGATCCTGACAACAAGGGGATACCTTAATGGGACTATTAAATGCATATTGTTCCAGATCTATCCAAACTTTATCTAAATTATTCCAAATTTATTACTCAGGACAGATGTTCTGATTTATAATATTTGCGAGCCCCATTCCACCTCTGTTTTTTAGGATTAATTAAATATGAGTAACCCAACTGAGGTTCTTTCGGTTTCCAAAGATATTTCCTATATAAAAAAACCTTTAGGAACTTCAATTGGTATTGTTTGCATAATATATAAAACCTTAGGTGTCACATTCATTTTAACTACAATAGCTGTACAAAGTCATGAAATATTTCGCTTGGCTCATTTCTGCAGGTCTAATTTAATCTCCCACTAATATTTTGAGGTAGTTATGTTCGTATCATCTTTGTAAATTTTATAACATGACAGGAGGCTTCGTATTTGCTTAAGACTTTCTTTACTTAAGCTTCACAGCAGCACTTTTTCACATAGTAACAAGGTAACCAATAAGAAAAAAGGAATAACAAGGTATATAGGTCCCTCCCAGTGATGTCATTTCCTCTTTCTTTGCTGCTTCACACCAGTACAGGTCAGAGTGCCACTGTCTCCTACTTTTGTGGGGTTTTTTTTCTATGATTTATTTACTATTATAGCTATCATCTGTTTTATTCATATTCCTTTAGTATATTAGTCATATATATATATTTTTACCCTTCATTCTATTTCTGACTGATTTATTTTTTCCCATCTCTATCTTCTATGTGGTATTTCTCCACTACTTTCTTCTTTCAGTCGTTATTTTTTGGTTACTGTCTGTTTTATAATTATTGTATTATAGGTTGTGTACCTCTTAAACCCAATTTCTCCGTGCGGCATTTTTGCCGCGTTTTCCCGGGCTTTTGGTCCTTGGAGTACGCCTCCAACGGTCCCCAGTGCGCGCGGCGGCCATATTGGATCTCGCTCCCCGCGAGATCCAAACGGCTTCCTCCTTCACTTGTGCGCGCGCGCGAGATCGCGGCGGCCATTTTCTTGGAGCCGCGATCTCCATTCACTCCGGCCGTGCGGCGGCCATTTTTTACCTTTCTACTTATTAATCACATTACTATTATGTACAACATTAACACCTCATATCCAGTAATTATACCAAAGCGTTCTCTATCTGTTTACTCCTTCTCTAACAAGGAAGGAGTTTGACTCCACATGCAGTCTCATCCCTGTATCTCTCTACTTCCCTCTGGTGGTAGATTATAGGTACTACATATATAAATTAATCTCAATATATTTATTTCAACTGCAACAAATTTATTGCCCAAACAGTTCCTCATATAAACTTTATGATTACAACTTATATCTACACTATACATGTGCATAAGGTAAACACATAAAACTAAATTACGATTGCTGTTATCATATACAGCCCATGATTGGCCCGCTTTGTCTGTGCCACTATACCTCTATACAGGTTTGAAAAAGTATTCCCTGAGGTGATTTATACTGGGTGACCCCCACTTACAGCTTGCAATCTGAAATGATAACATACTGTGATATCTTGAGACGGCCTTATTAATACACTCTAACACTGGCCTATTCTGCCCCATAGGTACCACTGTTGCTATGGAGGCTTCAAATCAAGATCAAAACTTGCAAGCTATTATAAATGCAGCCGTAGCTGCTTCACTTGAAAAGGCCCTGGCTCGGGTGCTGCCCATTGAGCAAAAAGACCCTAAAATTTCCGACACCCCGCTTTCTGACGAAGATGCGGAGGATTGCGATTCCACAAAATACTACATCCTTCTGTACTGAGCGTAGAAAAGCAGTGCTGCTGCGTATGGATGCTAAGTTAGCTGACTTGGGAACCAAGGAATTGGGCCCCAAAGCACAGGGTCTATTGTTTGGAGAACCCTACATTAAAGAATTACATAAACATGTAAACTTATACGCCACACTAAACAAGGCGCAATCATCCATGAAAAGAGTATTTCACTATCAACCCTCACGGGTTTTTGGCAGGGCTGGCCGTACAAGGGGTCGCACAGTCAGACGTTTCTGGACCACAAACCAACGCCAGAGAACCCCAACTTCATCTTTCTTCCCCAACTATCAACCGAGAGGCTCTTATTCCCAAAGGGCGGATAGAGGAAGAGGATACAGAACCCGCGGACGCAGTAGATACCCAACAGGTGAGATTTCCTTCTTTTCACCTTTCTACTGTTTATCATGCGGGCAGGTTGTCACTGTCAGGATACTGACAGGGATCCAATACGCAGAGTGCGGACAGTAGGAGGTACGTATACCGGACCTTAGAATGGCCGGACTAACGTATGGACAAAACAAGAATAGTCAAAAGGTAAGCCGAGGTCGAGGGAGCCGGAGGACAGGTAAGCGAGATACAAGCCGAGTCAAAGGAGAGGAGAGGACAACAGGACAAAAGACAAGCAAGGTCAAAACCGAAAACACTAAGAGAGAGAACGCGCTGAGTGACTAGCAAGCTAGAACCACGACAGGGCAATGAGCAGTAGTAAAGGTTTCCTTTAAATACCCTGTCACCTTAATTGAGACCACGCCCCCAAAAGGTCCGGAATAGCGGTTCCCGGCACTTCACGTAATGCTGACGTCATGACGTCGACGCTAGCCGTCGCGTCATAAAAGGGGGAGGAGCTAGCGCGGCCGGCGCGAAAACGGCCGGAATTTGCCGAAATGCTAGGGGCAAGGAGCCCCTAAACAGAGAGGATGTCTTCCCTGGAGTCAGCACCAACAGGTACCCTGACAGTACCCCCCCTTCTAGAAACGCCCACCGGGCGGATGGGACCGGGCTTAGAAGGAAAACGAACGTGGAAGGCCCGAAGAAGGCGAGGAGCATGCACGTCTACACAAGGAACCCAAGACCTCTCTTCTGGACCATAACCTTTCCAGTCTATGAGGTATTGCAACTTCCCCCTAGAAATACGAGAATCAAGGATGGACCTAATGACATATTCTTCCTGACCATCCACACGGACCAAGGGTGGAGGAGCAGAGCGGGAGGAAAATTTGTTACAAACAAGAGGTTTCAATAAAGACACATGAAAAGAGTTAGGGATGCGTAGAGTAGGGGGCAGGTCCAGCAAATAAGAAACCGGGTTGATCCTCCTCAGCACCCTGTAAGGGCCTATGTAACGAGGAGCAAACTTCAAAGAGGGGACTTTCAGGCGAATGTGTCTGGTACTCAACCAGACCCTATCACCCGGAGAAAAAATAGGAGCAGGCCGTCTACGTCTATCAGCATGCAACTTAAACACTGCGGAACTACGTGTAAGAATTTGTCGAGTCTGATCCCACAACTTTCTCAGGTTGGCTATATGAATATCAACCGACGGTACCCCCTGGGAAGGAGACACCGACGGAAGAACAGTAGGGTTAAAGCCATAGTTCAAGAAAAAGGGGCTATTACGAGTGGAACCACAAACAAGGTTGTTGTGAGCAAACTCCGCCCAAGGAATCAGACCGACCCAGTCGTCCTGGTGTTCAGAAACAAAACAACATAGATATTGCTCAATTTTTTGGTTAGTGCGTTCGGCTGCTCCGTTAGAATGAGGATGATAGGCCGAAGAAAAATTCAGTTTGATGCCCAACTGGGAACAGAAGGATCTCCAAAAACGGGAAATAAACTGGGAACCCCTGTCCGACACAATCTCATTGGGAATACCATGCAAACGGAAAATTTCTCTAGCAAATATCACGGCCAGTTCAGGAGAGGACGGAAGTTTAGGCAAGGGAATGAAATGAGCCATTTTAGTAAACCTGTCAAGGACCGTGAGGATAACCGTGTGCCTACTGGAAACCGGCAGATCAACAATAAAATCCATAGCCAAACAAGCCCAAGGTTTGTTGGGAACGACTAAGGGCTGCAATAAACCACAAGGGAGATCCCGTGGTAGTTTATTCCTGACACAAACATCGCAAGCCTTGACAAAGTCTTCCACATCCCTACGTAAACTAGGCCACCAGAAGTCTTTGGAGATCAGGCAGTAAGTTTTGTGTATGCCGGGGTGACCAGCGAACTTGCTATCGTGAAAACAGCGAATAATGTCCACTTGGAATTTGGGAGACACGAACAAGCGGCCCACAGGAGTACGCTCGGGAGCAAGAGATTGTTCGTTCATTATATCTAAGAGCAATGGAGAGTGTATTTTGACATTGGTGTTGGCGATAATATTGACTTCAGGAATAATAGGGAACAAAGTGTCTTCTGTAGAGGCGATAGGTTCGTGCTGACGAGACAATGCGTCTGCCTTAGTGTTCTTAGAACCAGGCCTGTAAGTAAGTATATAATTAAAGTGTGTAAGGAACATAGACCAACGTGCTTGCCTGGCAGATAATCTTTTGGCCTCCCCCATACAAGATAAATTTTTGTGATCAGTCAAGATAGTAACTGGGAGAACAGTGCCCTCTAACAGATGTCTCCATTCCTTTAATGCCATAATGATAGCTAAGAGTTCTCTATCACCAATGTCATATCTCCTTTCAGTGTGTGATAGTTTCTTGGAAAAAAAACCGCAAGGGTGCAGCGGCTTATCTAAACTTTGTCTTTGGGACAACACTGCGCCTATCCCTGTTTCAGATGCATCAACTTCAAGTAAAAAGGGTAGAGAGGTATCAGGATGAACTAATACAGGTGCTGAGGCAAAAGACTGTTTGAGCGTTTCGAAAGCAGATAAAGCCTCAGTAGACCAGGTTTTGGTATCGGCTCCTTGTTTGGTCATATTAGTGATAGGAGCGATAACAGAGGAGTACCCTTTAATAAAACGTCTGTAATAATTAGAAAATCCAAGAAATCTTTGTATGGCTTTGAGTCCCTTAGGTAAAGGCCAATCTAAAATCGATTTTAGTTTGGTCGGGTCCATCATAAACCCGTCTTTGGAAATTACGTAACCTAAGAAAGTTACCTGAGACTGATCAAAGCTACATTTTTCCAATTTACAATACAATCCATGTTGTAAAAGTTTCTGCAATACCTTTCTGACTTGTCTATGATGTGAGTTAATGTCTCTAGAATGTATTAGTATATCATCCAAATATACAATCACACATTCATGTTGGAATTCTCTAAGAACTTCATTGATCAAGTCTTGGAAGACGGCCGGGGCATTACAAAGCCCAAACGGCATTACGGTATACTCATAATGCCCGTAACAGGTATTAAATGCTGTCATCCATTCATCTCCTTGTTTAATTCGCACCAAGTTATATGCTCCTCTCAAGTCAAGTTTGGTAAAAATACTCGAGCCCTTTAGTCTGTCAAAGAGTTCAGTAATCAAAGGAATAGGGTAAGCATTCCTGATAGTAATTTTGTTCAATCCCCGATAGTCTATACAAGGACGTAAGGTACCGTCTTTCTTTTCTACAAAAAAGAAACCCGCCCCCGCCGGAGAAGAAGACTTTCTAATAAATCCTTTGTCTAAATTCTCCTTGATGTATTCCTCTAAAACTAAATTTTCCTTGGTGGATAAAGGGTATACCGTACCCCTAGGAGGCATAGTACCAGGGAAAAGTTTAATAGAACAGTCATAAGACCGGTGGGGAGGTAAAGTATCCGCCTTACCCTTGTCAAATACAGATTTGAGGTCTAGATATTGTAATGGTATCTGAACGTCTGTGGATTGGGAAGAGTTAGTATAAGAGTTTACGGGGCAAACAGAAGTAACTCTCTGCAGACATTCTTTCCTACAACCAATACCCCAAGAAACGATTTCTCCACCCTCCCAGTCAATCTGAGGGTTATGTCTCTTGAGCCAAGAATATCCTAGTACCACTGGGACTGCCGGGGAGGAAATTAACAGAAGGGAAATCAACTCCTCGTGGAAGATACCAACAGTAAGCTTAACGGGTTTGGTCTCATGGAATATTACTGGTTCCGATAAAGGTCTACCATCTATGGCCTCAATGGCCAAGGGTGTATCTCTCAGTTGGAATGGGATACAATGCTTATTAGCGAAGGTTTGGTCTATAAAGCTTTCTGCTGCTCCAGAATCTAACAATGCCATCGTAGAAATAAACCCATTTTCCCAAGCTAGAGAGACAGGAATCAGAAGCCTATGGTCTTTTTTATTATGTATAGAGGACAGTAACGAAACACCCAAGGCCCGTCCTCTAAGGGAACTTAGGTGCGAGCGTTTCCCGGGCGATTAGGGCAACTAAGACGTAGGTGACCTCTCCGCCCGCAGTATAAACAGAGACCCTCCCTTCTTCTGTACTGTCTCTCAGCCTCAGATAAGCGAGTATTACCTATTTGCATAGGTTCTGGTGGAGTAGGATTAAAGGAGTCAGGGTTCTGAAATGAGGGAGCAAGTCTTACAGGAAGTCTAGTAACTCTTTCCCGAGTGTTCTGCCTCTGTCTCATGCGTTCATCTATTCTGGAAATGAAAGATACTAAATCCTCTAAATTTTCCGGAAGTTCTCTTGTGGCAATCTCATCTAGAATTTCATCAGACAACCCATTCAAGAATACATCCATAAAAGCTTGTTCGTTCCATTTCACTTCTGCTGCCAATGATCTAAACTCTAATGCATATTCTACAAGGGTCCTATTCTGTTGTTTAAGGCGTAACAGGGATCTGGCCGCATTAATCTTCCTTCCTGGGGGGTCAAAAGTCCTTCTAAATGCCGTGACAAAAGCAGTGTAGTTGTAGACTAGAGGATTGTCATTCTCCCAAAGGGGATTGGCCCATCTAAGTGCTTTATCTATTAGCAGAGTTATAATGAAGCCTACTTTAGCCCTGTCAGTAGGGTAAGCCCGGGGTTGAAGTTCAAAATGTATGCTTATCTGGTTTAAAAAACCACGACAAGCATCGGGCGAACCCCCATAACGTAACGGTGAAGTGACATGGGAAGATGCGCCTACAGTGGCTACTTCCAAACCAGTACTTAGTGGGAGGCTAGCAGTGGAACGTACTTCTTCTGACTGGGTGCTGGAACGTGTTAGCAAAGTTTGTAATGCTAAAGCCATTTGGTCCATTCTATGGTCCATGGCCTCAAATCTGGGGTCAGGAGGACTAGCACCTGCAGGATCCATTTGGCCCTGTCGTAATGTCAGGATACTGACAGGGATCCAATACACAGAGTGCGGACAGAAGGAGGTACGTATACCGGACCTTAGAATGGCCGGACTAACGTATGGACAAAACAAGAATAGTCAAAAGGTAAGCCGAGGTCGAGGGAGCCGGAGGACAGGTAAGCGAGATACAAGCCGAGTCAAAGGAGAGGAGAGGACAACAGGACAAAAGACAAGCAAGGTCAAAACCGAAAACACTAAGAGAGAGAACGCGCTGAGTGACTAGCAAGCTAGAACCACGACAGGGCAATGAGCAGTAGTAAAGGTTTCCTTTAAATACCCTGTCACCTTAATTGAGACCACGCCCCCAAAAGGTCCGGAATAGCGGTTCCCGGCACTTCACGTAATGCTGACGTCATGACGTCGACGCTAGGCGTCGCGTCATAAAAGGGGGAGGAGCTAGCGCGGCCGGCGCGAAAACGGCCGGAATTTGCCGAAATGCTAGGGGCAAGGAGCCCCTAAACAGAGAGGATGTCTTCCCTGGAGTCAGCACCAACAGGTACCCTGACAGTCACACTGTGTAGACATGTGGAAGACCCTGTCTTCAGATACCTGGGTCCTAAACACAGTTCAGGGTTTCTACATAGAGTTTCATTCTCTCCCTTCTCAAACAGGTTATCCTCACTATCCAAAAATGTCAAGGGCTCAGAGTCTTCACCTAGATTCAGAACTACGTTCTCTCTTAACAAAAGAGCTCCACCCGCCGAAGGTTTCCTCAGCTCCATCTTCTTAGTCAAGAAGAAGTCAGGGGAATTTCGCCCAGTCATCAACCTTCGTCAACTGAACTCTTTCGTTATCTACCGACATTTCAAAATGGAAGGGATTCACTTCCTCAGAGACATCCTCCGACCAGGCGACTGGTTCACCCGTCTCGACCTCAAGGACGCTTACCTTTCGGTGTCAGTACACCCTTCAAGCCGGCGTTTTTTTCGCTTTCATTGGCACCACCGAATTTTCCAATTCACCTGTCTTCCATTTGGCCTGAGTTCCGCTCCGTGGTGCTTCACCAAACTCCTCAAGCCAGTCACCACACATCTGCGAGAAAGTGGCATCCGTTGTTTAATCTACCTCGACGACCTCTTGCTTCTCTGTGAAGACGTATCCAAACTGCGTTCACAGACGAACTATGCTTCTGCATTAATCGAATCCTTGGGGTTCGTCATCAACCAAGAGAAATCGTCACTGTCCCCAACCAGAGTCATTCAATTTCTCGGATTCGAAATCGACTCTTCAACCTGTGTTCTTCGCCTACCTCAGTCCAAGTTATCCGCGATCAAGAAGGAACTACGCAAAACGCTTCGTCAACAGGATTTACCTCTTCGAGGATTAGCTCGGGTAGTAGGCCTACTCTCGGCCTCCATTCAGGCAATCTACCCAGGCCCCCTTCACTACCGGGCCATGCAACGCTTGAAAGCTCAATTCCTCCGGTCCCATCCATCATACGACCAGAGGGTCCCGATCACTTCGGAGGTGAAAGAGGAACTCCGTTGGTGGCAAAACCACATGTCGGCCTGGAACGGCAAAGCTATTTTCGGTCCCGCCCCAGACTTCGTGGTGGAATCAGATGCAAGCCTCCAGGGTTGGGGCGCAACCTGTCAGACAACCTCCACCGGAGGACCATGGACCACCTCAGAACACCTCCTCCACATCAATTGTCTGGAGTTAATCGCAGGCTCATTCGCTATTCGCAGTTTGACCAATCATCTCTCAAACTGCTGTATTCTCCTTCGGATGGACAATATCTCTGCCGTCCAATACATCAACAAATTGGGCGGGGCCAGATCTCGCATCCTCTCCGAAGTGACAAAAGACATCTACGAGTTTTGCTTCCAACGCAACATCACTCTTCGGGCAGAATATCTCCCAGGGGAGACGAATATTACCGCGGATTGGTTCTCCCGACATTGGAGAGATGGCAGCGACTGGCGCCTACACAGAACGATCTTTCTCCACATCTCCAAACTCAGGGGTCCATTTACCTTAGACCTTTTCGCCTCCCGGACGAACTTTCAAGTCCCACGGTTTTTCAGCTGGCTTCCAGACCCAGAATGCTCGGCTGTGGACGCCTTCCTTCAGAGTTGGCCGACGACGGGAGCCTATGCTTTTCCTCCGTTTGCGATGATTCCCAGAGTCCTCCTGCAGATTCGCAGACAACAGATCGCACTTATTTTAATTACCCCGCTCTGGCGGGGCCAAGCATGGTTTCCGGATCTTCTGGACCTCTCCTGCCAAGACCCTCTCCTTCTGCCTCCATGGCCCAACCTCCTGGAGGACCCTCAAGGAAATCCTCATCCAATGATAACGCAAGGCCACCTCCACCTAGTGGCTTGGACTCTTTCAGGGGAACCTGGCACTTCGGAGGACTATCGCAGAGATCTAAGGAACTCCTCTGGGATTCGTGGGCTCCTGGAACTAGAAGATGCTATCTCTCCTCCTGGAACACTTGGTGCAATTGGTGCCTGGAACGGGATACCGATCCCCTTACGGCCCCTCGACAGTTCATATTGAATTTTCTCTCTCATCTTTTCGACCTAGGCCTTTCCTACAGATCCATCAACGTTTCCCGTTCAGCCATCTCGGCTGCCCATGTCCCTCTAGAAGGGGTTCCAGTGGGCCAGGACCACCTGGTTTGTAGACTATTGCGGGGCATCAAGCTGGCTCGCCCCCCTAAACCGAAATACTCCCATCTGTGGGACGTTAATGTCATAATTCATTTTCTCGAGACTTGGCCAAACAACGAGGATCTATCCCTCCGCCAACTCTCAGCCAAATTCACCCTGTTACTTTGCCTAGTGTCCTTCCGAAGAGTTTCGGATGTTCGGGCCTTTGACCATGACGCTATCAACTTTTCCCCAGAGGGTGTCACCTTTTCCGTGACCAGGCGGACAAAATCAAACTCCTCTTCGATCTTTTACCCTTATTTCCCTAACCACCCGAAATTGTGTGTGGTATCTCTTCTTTCTCGTTATTTATCACTCACCTCACCTATCCGTCCAACTTCCTCCAGCCAGCTGTTGGTCTCATACGTCCGGCCTCATAATCCAGTGTCAACCACAACTCTTGCCCGATGGGTTAGGTGGTTGCTATCCCTAGCCGGGATTGAAACCTCCTTTGGAGCCCACTCCATCAGAGGAGCGGCAGCATCGGGGGCATTCAGCGCTGGAGCCTCACTTCGAGACATACTTCACTCCGCAGACTGGTCCTGAGAACAGACGTTCCACAACTTCTATTTTCGTCCGGCTGTGCACGCTTCCTTGGCCCTTCTCGGGGAGCGTTAAAACAGCAAATACGAAGCCTCCTGTCATGTTATAAAATTGTAGATTATGCTAGCTTTAGTGTACCTATAATCTTAATTTTATTAATGACAGGAGGCGAGTATTTCCCACCACTCCTACTTTCGTTTTTTCCCACCCTAGGGTCGCCCCTGTAGGTAAGTTTCTAAAACAAGAACGAACACACTATGCCTTACTACCATGGGGTTAGGAGTTATTTTTATATGACATATAGATTCACTTTTCTAGCGTGCTATAATGTATGTTTCATATCAACTGGTTATCATAATTTCAAAGTCCAATTCACGGATTAATCCTTGGCTTCGACTCTGCTCTCTCGTTTCAGCATAAAACTCCCTTAAGAGATCCAGCCTAGTTGCTGCTCCATCACAAGCTTCTCCTCTGCTCCTCACGTTCTCAAGTCTACGTTCCTGTCTCCCTCTCAAGCATCACTCTTCAAGTCTGGCATCCTGAATCACTCATCTAGTTTCCTTCAGTTCCGGTTCCTATTTGTTCGCAGCCAGAAAGAGGAAATGACATCACTGGGAGGGACCTATATACCTTGTTATTCCTTTTTTCTTATTGGTTACCTTGTTACTATGTGAAAAAGTGCTGCTGTGAAGCTTAAGTAAAGAAAGTCTTAAGCAAATACTCGCCTCCTGTCATTAATAAAATTAAGATTATAGGTACACTAAAGCTAGCATAATCTACAATTGTCTGAGAGATAAGACATAAGAGATAAGATATATAATTTTATCTCTAACCCATCTAATTGGGAATGATTCCTGTAAAGCTTTGGAAATCTTCTCAGAAACTGAGATATTGAGAACCTCAGACTTGGAATGATATCAGGTATTGCTAGCTATTTCATTATGTTGAGTATAGATATTTGGGGGTTAGTAACAAAAAATAATAAATCGTCAGCAATGGCCGATATTTTATTGTGATAAAAGTCTAATTATTTCTAAGTGATATCATGATTATTACATATATTGGAAAGAGGGGATGTGTTCCCTTAGATAGGGATTTTGGTCATGAATATGAACCATTAACACTCACCCGAGTTGGTGGATGATATAGAGAATTTATCCAGATTGTCATAACTGGACCAAAGCCCATGGATTATAAGACATAAAATAGAAAGAATCAATTCACCCTGTAGAATTCTTGCAGCATCAGCTGACAGAATCAACGCAGGGATTCCCTTACTCCTAGATTCATTTATCAAATTCAGGACTTTTGTTGCAGCCTTCCTATTCCAGATAAAATCAACGTGGTTTACCAAAAACAGAGTAGGTAAGGTTTCTTTAATTCTCTCACTTAAGATCTTTGCAAAGATCTTAACATCACAATTATGCAAAGAGATAGTTCTTTAGCTGGTAGGGATGAGCAGGGGGAAAAAATTGTCTGCTTTGGCAATTCGGACTAATGGCATTCGGTTCGGCACTTCGAACTACCAAACTTCGGCAATTCAGCACTTCGGCAATTCAGAACTTCGGCAATTTAGAACTTTGGTAATTCGGAACTTCAGCACTTCGGGCATTCGCAAGCATCCGAATGTCCGAATTGCAAGAAAATAATTGCACATGTCTAGTAAGTGGTTGTGGTGGCAGTCAAGGCAAAGGGAGCCCTATAGATGTACAAGTGGTTGTGGTGGCAGTCCGGGCACTGAGAGCCCTATAGATGTGCAAGTGGTTGTGGTGGCAGTCTGGGCACTGGGAGCCCTATAGATGTGTAAGTGGTTGTGGTGGCAATCTGGGCACTGGGAGCCCTACAGATGTGTAAGTGGTTGTGGTTGAAATCCTGGCACTGGGAGTGCTACTGATGTCTAAGTGGTTGTGGTGGCAGTCTGGGCACTGGAAGCCCTATAGATGTGTAAGTGGTTGTGGTGGCAATCCTGGCACTAGGAGCCCTATAGATGTGTAAGTGGTTGTGGTGGCAGTCCGGCCACTGGGAGCCCTACAGATGTGGAAATGATTGTGGGGGGCAGTCCTGACACTGGGAGCCCTACAGATGTGTAAGTGATTGTGGGGGCAGTCCTGGCACTGGGAGCCCTACAGATGTGTAAATGGTTGTGGTGGCAGTCTGGGCACTGGGAGCCCTTCAGATTTGTTAGTGGTTGTGGTGGCAGTCCTGGCACTGGGAGCCCCCTGCCCATTAGAGTAAGTTACTGCCTGTAAGTTAGGATAATGTTTTTCAAAATGTTCATCATTTGGATGTAACGGGACCTGTTACCACCCCCCCCCACCCCCCTATCTACTGGTTTAATAATAATACTTTTGTTATTCTGCAATTCATTCAAAGCATTCATTTCCTTTAATAGAAATTTACATGGGGTTTGAATTGTAATGGATTTACATCCATGTCTTGAGGTGTTTTATAGGTCACTTTGACAAATGAATCGATGAGTCTACAGTTTTTAAACTTTGGGGTAAATGTACTTTTAGGTTTTAATATTGTGTAGGATGTGTGTGTGTTTGGATCATCAAAGTCCAACATTTCTACCTGAGGACAGAAAGATATAAGTAGACGAAACAGTAAAAATCATGTGAATTGACAGTTTCCCTTTAATAAAGAACATCCCAAATATCCCAAAGTCTCTCTTTATATTTTACTCTTCACCTTTAAATTCTGCAACTAACATATACTTTAACTTTTGAGCTACAATTTTTGGCATTCAAATCTTTTCAGACACATTCCAGCCAATCAGCAGCAGACCCTCCCTCCCAGACCCTCCCACCTCCTGGACAGCATCCATTTTACATTCATTGTGAAGCTGCATTCTTAGTGATCTGTCCAGGAGGTGGGAGGGTCTGGGAGGGAGGGTCTGCTGCTGATTGGCTGGAATGTGTCTGCTGACTGTGAGGTACAGGGTCAAGGTTTACTCAATGATGAGTCCGTGGCGAACCCTTCGTGGCGAACCGTTCGCAAACCGTTCGGCGAACCGTTCGGCGAACCGTTCGGGACATCACTAATGGCTACACAATATCATGTGTTTTTTTTACAATGCCAATTCTGAGTTTCAAATATTTTATAATATACATGGATTAAAAAAAACATGAAGTGAGAGAAGGTTAGAGGGCAATTCACCCACTCACTCCTTTCCACTCTGATGAAAATATCCAGTCTATAGCATCAGTGACTATCCTTTAGTTAAAAAAAAAACAAAAACAAAAAAACTGTGCACTAGTAGCAGTGGGAGTCATTTAATTGGAATGAGGAATTTTTTTTTTACATAGTTACATAGTTAAATAGGCTGAAACGAGACATGTGTCCATCACTGGCGGATCCAGAGTCTTATCTCGGGAGGGGCACTTATAGATTATTTAAAGAAACAATCCAGGCACAATAACCACTGCGGACCGGGGAAGGAGATCTCTTGGATAGCACTGGCCCTGCAGGAGAGAGCTCTTGGGGGTTGGGCAATTGCCTCGTTGCCCCCCTCCCCCTGGATCTGCCACTGGTGTCCTTCAAGTTCATCAAATATAATGGTGGAACATGTGAGTGGGTATCAGACCTCGCTCCCACACTCACCTACCTCGCGCTCCCATGCCGCATCTCTCTCTCACTCCACTCTACCCACCAGGCCGCACGATCGACTCAACCACCCACACCGACCGCTCACATTCATGTTAATGGCCCCTCTGTTCATGAGAATGTCTCTAACCCAACACAGAAGGCAGAACACCATGCGTACGAATGCCACCTCGCTCCGTATGAACGCCACCCACCAGTACTGTATGTAGAACTCCGTTTGTACGGATGGCGGCTCACGAACACAGCAAGAACAGGAGTCTGTTCGTGAGAATGCTGTTGCTTCCACATGTGATCACACAGAAGGTAGAATTTCAGGAGAATCAAAAGGCATGCGCGCACTGACACAGAGCCTTTTAAATGTACAAGAGGTGGAGACCAGGGTGGAACCTCAATTAACAAGACCACCCACTTTCCTTATTTAAGTCGCACAACCATTTAAACTAACTTTCCAGTCATGCGTCTCATCCCACCATGTTTCTGTTATGTCTTATATGTCATTTGCTTAGTGCTTAGTGGAGCTATTGCTTCTAGTTTCCCCATGTTGTTATTTAGGCTACTTGCATTAGTAAGTATATATTTAATATTATCATAAGTCACTGTATTTGATGATCATAGCCTCCCCCTATCTCCACCCCCCTTGTACTGAGCTAAAACCTATCTGCATTCTGTCCTAGAAAATACTTTGTTACTCTTTGATAAGTCTTCACTTAGTGAGGAGTGGCTCTGATGACCCTTAAAAAGTAGACATTGCTGTTCTCTCCTTGTACTGAGGCTGAATATTACTGGTGGGGGTGGAGGCCCTCGACATTGATGATGGTGGGTTTGCACTATATTTTGACATGCTTATTTGTTGCCTTAAATATCATGAAGTATTGTGCTCTGTCCTCATTTGAACCTTCTGACTACTGACATTTTGTATTGTTATTTTAAAATCTTTTATAAATAAAGATTTTTTAAAAATCGTTACCTATATAAAAATTGTCAATAAAATCTAAAACAAATTTTAAAAGAAAACAAATTTAGAATTGAGACATTTTTACAGTTATTCTAAAGATGTACTCCTCAATAATCGAAACCTGAGAAATACATTTATGGTGTGCAGTGACTGGAATATATTTTTTTATATGCCATTTATATTTCAGAAGGAATCTATTCCACAACTCAGCATGAGGTATTTCTACCTTTAAGCATCTACTTTCTAAAAAATAAAAAAAATTCTTTCTTTCTAGACATATGATTTAGGTTTCATCTCTCTAACTGGCGTAAAGCAACATTGTCATCAATTTCTTTTACTATCCTAATATAAACTGCGTTATAGTAGTAAGCATCTAATTTTTTTTAAATTAATGTATACTAATATTTATGAAAAAAAAACAGTTTTTACTTTTCCCATGCTCCCTTTCTGACACTCCACTTTTCGCACCTAGAGTCAAATTGTCAGTTATCCCAGCCAGTGTTTGCAGTCCATTGCATTTCAAAATTGTCTGACAGAAAATTCTTCAGGCAAAAAATAATAAAAATTATAAATTTTCTAAACATTTACAAGTAATTAATTTGTTTTTAATTCATTACATTCTACTTCCACAACTACTTCTACTTCTACATTTCTTTTATTAAGACAGTAATTTGCTTCATACATCCATGTGCATTTTAGTACAACATAAAAAAGAGTTGACCAAAGAAGACTGGTAGCTCTGTTGATTGGAGTCATTTAAGGTCAATTGAAGTCAAATATGTTCGGGATGTTGCATCATTTGAAGTTTCAAACTGGTGTAATAAGCAAGATTGCATCAAGATTGAATCACCATTCAGGCAATTTCATGTAATTCTGAGGCTTTAAGGTGACAGTAGTACATTTCTTTGGAAGTGTACTATTATCTGTTTTTTTTTAACTAATATTTTAGTGGTAATTCATTTAAAATGACAGAGGTAAACATAGTATAATCAAGTGAGGGATAATAGTAAAGATATAGTACAACACCTTATCTGTCTTTTTGTTTAGTGTTTACATGCAATTCGCATAAAAGGTAATGAATTGAGTTTTAAAGGCTGTGACTCATAATCACACATTGGCAATAGAAAAGAAATCTTAATGACTAATCCATAAAGTTGGATCATGACTTATAAGTATTTAGCATATTTTTTTCAACAGCAGAGAATGCCCAATTATATTATTTTGGTAATTGTTTATAAAACATTACTTGTCTTGAAACCTTTTGGTAATCCCAACTGAATATAGATTACACTTATAGCAAACCGATTGAGTACAGTGGATTCTTGATTTTTGAAATGTGTATTCTTTGTTACACGTTTTTGTAATGAATCTGTCTCACAATTTATGCAGGAAACAAGTGGCCTTTACTCTACATGAATCAGAAAAACATTAAAAAAAAATTCTTCCTTGCATCAACTACTGCAGGACATGTTAGTCTACAATTACATTTGTCTGGGTAATGAATAAAAATACTTATTAGCTACTTCTAGATTCTATGGGATGTATTTTTCTTATAATAAATAAGAAACAATTAAGTAAAGTTTGATGTTTAAGATTTAATATATGTTTTTGTTGATATAAGGTTTGTTCATGTATGTATGCGTAAAACTATTATTTTTGTGCTAAAGAATTAGTTGAGTTTTAAGATTTATATTTTATTATAAGTTTTTATTTTTGAAAAAACTAGATTTCCTAAAAGTATTTTTTTTCTTTTTTTTTTTTACATTTATTGTTTAATATAATGAGAAGGTAATTTCAGGTCAGTTAACAATGAAAACACATTTTATGCATTCAGTTTTATATATATATATATATATATATATATATATATATATATATATCACAAGGTACTGGTAGAGAAAAAAACATTTTGGTGTAGCAGAAAATAGTTTCCTAAATATGCCACATATAAAACAATTTCTAGACCTACAGTTCTTGAAGGGCCCACAGCAAATTGTTTTGTAGTTACAAGCCAGGCAATATGCATTACAAATATGTGGATCACATTCTTTTTTATCAGCTTGTTAAAACCAAAAGAGAATCTATGATTTTTTGCTGCTAAATGGTTAACATTCTTTTTTATCAGCTTGTTAAAACCAAAAGAGAATCTATGATTTTTTAAAAGTGATTTGTTGAACTAAAATGATGGGGTCAGTGACCATGCATTACAGCCACTTGCTTCTGTTGTCTCCTTTGAGACCTCTTGACTCTACATTTGGCTTTTTCTTCCTTCTTTTTCAAGATTTTCATATAATCTTGTTATCCCTCTCATCTTTTTGTAGGTATTTATCAAACTTTATCTTTCTATCATAAAATGCTATTTTCTCTGTCTTCCACTCACTTTCTTTACCTCTTTTTTATTATTTCAGTCTGTCTGCATTTTCTCATCTTTTCCCTTTCAACAGTCTTTTTTTACCATCTTTCTCTGTGAGTTTCATATTCTATTCCCTCTGTTTTCCCTCTCTCTTGTTTGTTCTTTGAGTCATTGTCTCAGTAAATTCTTTGTTCTTTGTGATGAGCCTAAATGTTTTTTTTCTATTCCATGTTTTTCATTCTTTCTGTTTCTTTTTCAGTTTTTTTTCTCCATTTTCTTGTTATCCCTAAGTATTACTTCCATCCTTACCTACCTTTCTGTGTCTGTTTGGCTGTTGTTGTTTTTTAAATATCTCCAGCACTGTCCTTCAGTCAGTCAGGCCGTTTTTTGTCATATTTCTGCTCTCTTTGGAATTGTATGGTCATATTGTATAATTGGTGCATGTTGAAATATAAGTCAGATTGAACAAATTGAATATAAATTTGATACATGCATGTATTCAAGGGCAGATATAGACATATACTCAATTAAAAAAATATTTTGCTGGTTGCAATAGATAGACAGATGGACATAGATAGATAGATAGATAGATAGATGGTTAGATAGACAGACAGACAGACACTTTATCCAACCTCATGCAGGGATTATACTACCTAAGTGTATTGTGTTGTATTTGAAAACTACATTACCCAAAAAAGTACTCTGTAATTGTCTTCCACACTGACTGAATCTATGTAAACTTCATTGAAGAGTGAAGCTTGCACTGGGCTATTGTAGTACTCATATTCTTATTTCTTGTTTTTGTGTTGTTTTTTTGTATTTCTTTGTTTATAAATTATTCTCATTTTAGTATAGATTATTAGCACATAAACCCCATGTATATTTTCTAATAATAATATTGTTACATTTTTTGTGGCATACTTACCTTATACATGTCCAATAATTCTAAGGAGAGTTATTATAATTGTATCTGGAAGCTCTTATGTAAGAACCAAGTAGATCATTTTGTAGTCATCTGTATTCTGTTTTGACAGGCAATAGTTTTTAAAAGAAATGGATACTGTTTCAGATGGATTAAAATAAAATATGAAGTGCACTCTTAAGAGGCTTAATCTTTGTGTAAAAGAAAAACCTATCCCACACGATTTTCTATTTGTCTAATGCATCTATCTCTGTTCTGAGAAATTACTATAAATAAAATGGTCCTATTTTTATGTTGGTATAAGTGTAAAAGATGTCATGCCTAATATTTAATCAAAACAGATGATAGGGCTACCTCTGGCATTACATATTTCTCATCATCACTAGTGCTAATTAATAAGCAGATATTATTGGGGACCAGTGCAGTAATCATTGTGTGTGTGTGAGTTTGTTTGCGCCTATGTATGAGTAGGTGTTCACGTGCATATGGAAAAAGGCAACAACTGATATTCAGGACTTTATTGAAAAACACAAATAGCGTAAAAGCTCAGAGGAAACATAATATTATGATTTACTATGAGATTTTTTTATTTATTGTAAGAAATAAGCTGTCTTAAAATTGATGTGTAGTGTCAGACAGAAGATCCTCTGCAGGTTTCAGCTTCAAGAGCTTCCACAAGGGACAGGCTGATAATGACTCAGACAAACGCATCTCTAGAAAAATGTGCACTGCTCCAAATCTGTCAATTTAAGACCAACTCAAAAGCAGAATAAAGGATGTCAAATTTGCAAATCATGGCTGAGGTGATGTAGTTTACAAGCTGAATATCTTATTTGTGCTATTCCTCAAAGAGAAAGGTTTAATGGTTTAATTCACAGTACATATCCAGTTCTTGCATTGATACAATTTATGGGAGATAATAGCCAAAATTATATTTATCTTATTTTAGCCTTTATCAGTTGTTTACTTTGGTAGACACATTTTTTAATAAAGCATTACTATTCCTGTCTTAAAGAATTCCAATCTTAGTGTTGTTATCAGTGCTTTAACAGATCCATTCAGGTTTGACATTCCTCATATGATTTTATAAATTTCTCTTTAACGCCTACTGATTGCTTAGGACAATACCAAAAAAATATCTAATTGTCGCAAGATTTTCCATGGAATGAAATAAACCCTGTGGATGCAGGGAGTTCAATGGATTTATATGCTATCTAAGATCACAATTGAAGGAATGCAAGCTGGAGATTAGTAACAGCTGCAGACCCTGGGGTTATGTACTACTTTTTTATCACATTTTATATACTTTCTAACTGCTTTAAAGTAGTGGAGCACCAGTAGTTGCTATCTGGTTACAGGGCTGATAGGAACTGAATCCAAGAGAACAAAAATACTCAATTGGAAAGGGTTACTTGAGTAACTTTAAATTGTTAGAAATTCATATGTGAATTTCATATTTTAGGCCAAAAAAGCCAATACAACAACCAAGGCTAACCGAATGCAAAATCAAAGGATACAGGCATATAGATTTCACACAGAGTGATATGATATAAACAAAAAGGAGGGGGTTGGCTGTCCCTACCATGATAGTTGAACAAGATTGTGGTCCAGGCACTCAAGGATCAGTTAAATAACAGATTTATTTGATCTCCAAGCTTGAGAAAGGTCTCTTGGCGATCGAAACGTTGCACTTTTTAAAATAAGCCTCTTGTTTAACTGATCCTTGTGTGCCTGGACCACAATTTTGTTCAACAGAGTGACAATGTCAGTTTAATTCTCTGACTCTTATATATCTAGTCTATATCAGACTGCTATAATCTGCCATAAATTACCTCTTATGAAGATTGCAAAATCTATATTCCGCACATTATCATCTGCAATTAACTTGAGAAGTATATTGGTTGAAATGGAGCAGGATGACCAAATTAAGGTAATAGATGAAATCATACAGTTTCCATTATTTTCTGGTAATAAAGGTATTTGTCACCTTAATGACTCTTGATGAAAAATATACCCAAAATCAAAGGACATGCTTAGAGTAAATGAATTTATTTTTTGCAGTAGATGCATAGTAGTTCCCTTCTATAGTATACTTTTTCATCCTCTGATAAACAGGTCTCACCTAACTTCAAAAATTCTAAAATGGCAATGGAATTTGAGGATTAGTGTATTAAGAAGCTAATTGAGTTTAAAGTTTCCATGGTTACTTTCACATATGATGGCTCTTCTGGAGCCTCACATCTATGTTGGTAACATGGGTGATAATTTCTCAAAATTTGAGGGAAACTCTTGAAGGAAAATTTGGAGAAGGCTTTCTCAGGTCATCTCAGAGGCAAATGTCCTGAATTAATCTGGTATAATCACATAAAATGTTTTTTTACTAAGCTTAATATCTGCCTCTGGTTAGCATGAATCACTGATATTCATAAATTATGTAATTGTTGTGCTACCAAAATAAAGCTCTGTGAAATATGTTGCACTATATATAATTCATTGTAATTGGCTGGGCTGGTGCAAGGTAACGATGCATTTTGGCATCCCCCCAAAAAGAGAAATGCATCTTCACCTGTTGTCTCAGTTAAACCCCCTTTTTAATTTCTTGCATCTCTTTTGTATTTCACATACCCTGTTTTGAATATCTTTTAGTGTATCGTATCCTCTATTTTTCTCATTTGTGCATCTTACAGCCCCCTTGTGTTTCTTTTTCTCCCCTCCTCTAGCCCCTCTATGTGTATCTTCCCCCACAGCCCTATGTGCATCCTCTCTTCTTACCCCTCAACCCCTTTGTGCATCCTGTCTTCTTCCCCCAGCCCTTTTTGTGTGCCTCTTACTACTCTGTCCCCTTATGTGTGTCTCTTCCCCAGTCCCTTTTGTGTATTTTCTTCTTCCTTTCCACAGCCCCACTGTGTCTCATTCTCCTCCCACCCCTTTATGTGTCTCTTCCCCATGCCCCTTTGTGTGTCACTTTCTCCCTTTCCCTTCTGGCCCTTGTAATTGGTTATCAAAATCACAAAACTAGTCAGTTAGACTGTTGGTGAAGAACATCACCTTTATTATATGGAAAGGATAGGCTTTGGGCATAAGTTCAAAGTGTTTAAGCCCTTAGAACTTCTCGGGGTTACCACCAAATAGTTGGGTTGATGATACCATTCAAAGGGGTCTTTCCGTAAGGTCAGTGCAGATGATTTTATATCCCTGTTTGTATATAATAAAAAAGAATGGAAAGGATATCTTTATGGTTTCTGAATTTAATAAAGTTGGAAAACGTCCTAGAGGGCCTTGTTATATACTTGATTACAAGAAAGGTGTAGCATAAACATAAAGAAGCAGATATTAGGGAATCCAGAAGTCATAGAAATCAAAAGACAAGTAAATAGGTCAGTAAAGGCAGCAAACAGAGAGTAATGAGAAGCCAATGTCAGGAACTGAACAAACAATAAATCAATCAATACAAGATAATCAGGAACACAAGTGAATGTTCTTCATGAGAAGAAACCAAAGGGCAATGAGGTGAATAAAGCAAAAGTTTCCATGGGCCTTTTCAAGGTGAAGTAAATTAAGACAATGTGTAATTAATAAAGGTATTAGTCTTGTAAAAAAAACAGTTTGTACAGTAGATATAATATAATTTATGTCTACCAACCTGCACTCAGCCATAGTCACCACAATTATATTTTATTGAGGTATAATTCACTTGAAGGGTATGTATCATGGAACTGTTTTGGGCAGGAGCCTCATGTGTGGTTGGTAAAATTATGACTTTCATGGAAATCCCGAACCCCTGAACCGATCTGGGTGATTTTTGGATATGTTGGTGGCCCAGATCTGGGCTATCAGGAGATACTTTTGTGGGTTTCCATGTGTTTTGGGGGCACTTTCAGGGTGTTGTTGTAGAGTTTTACGTAAATGATATTAATTATATCATTAGCTTTTTAATTCCACACACATTAAAACGATGTTAACTGCAATGCTAATGCATAATGAGCATTTCATTATTTTGATTGCTATGCACTGGAGTCCACAATTTCTCCAAACTACAAAGTTAAAAGATTTTCTTGTTAACATCAATATACTAAATACATATGTTTTATAATATATACTATATTTTTGAATCTTAAAATTAGGTTTTTGTCTTCCTTCTTTAAAATCCCTGCTTCTTCTACCTCTTGTAACAAGAGCAATAGAAGTAGTTATCTTGCATGTTGATTCTCAGTCTTTTTAACGCCTCAAGGGCCAATAAAGGATGTTTTTAACCAGCCGTTAAAGTTGCAACATCAAACTGGAATGCAGTATTTAACAAAGACAGAGCTGCATAGAACTGCAGATAAAAAAATAAGCAGAACATTCCATACTTTCACAAGGGCTTTACATAGCAGACTGTGATCCATGTGTTTTTAAAATGTGCTCTTTAAGTGGTTTAGTAAACAGAATAAAGGCCATCGTCAAGGTATCACTCTATACTATGAAACAGGTAAGAAAATGTTCTTGTTACTTAGGAACCAGTTAGCTGAAGAATTTATAGATTTATAAAGAAGACTTGAGACAATATTTTTTTCCATATTCAGCTACTATAAGAGAATAATTATTTTGGGGGATTTATGTATCCTGTTTTCTTCTAAATCTTGTAATGACTATTTCTCCGATGTGTTTTTCTGTTTCAATAAGCACAGTGATAATTGAAATTTAGTTTCTCTTTTTTTCACTGCTGTTTCAGCTTTTAACCCCTTAAGGACCAAACTTCTGGAATAAAATGGAATTATGACATGTCACACATGTCATGTGTCCTTAAGGGGTTAATTGCTAGCTTACATAAAATGGATGTTATATGAAATACTGCATCTTTGTAGAGTAATTAACATGTAACTTTCTAGATCATAAAAACAACTATAGAAAAGAGAGCACAAATAAATAACTGATATTTTGCCAATTAAGATGTGTAGTGTGGCTGAATTTGCATCACTTTTAAATAGACAAAATTAAATAGAAACATAGAAACATAGATTGTGACGGCAGATAAGAACCATTCGGCCCATCTAGTCTGCCCAATTTTCTAAATACTTTCATTAGTCCCTAGTCTTATCTTATAGTTAGGATAGCCTTATGCCTATCCCACGCATGCTTAAACTCCTTACTGTGTTAACCTCTCCCTATACAACCAAGCATTCTGCTAGCATTTCCTGCTGCTCTATTACATTGTCTGCCTACCTTTAAGTCATCAGAAATAATCACCCCTAAATCCCTTTCCTCATATGTTGAGGTTAGGACTCTATCAAATATTCTGTACTCTGCCCTTGGGTTTTTACGTCCAAGATGCATTATCTTGCACTTATCCACATTAAATGTCAGTTGCCACAATTCTGACCATTTTTCTAGTTTACCTAAATCATTTGTCATTTGGCTTATCCCTCCTGGAACATCAACCCTGTTACATATCTGTAATGGTAAATTAAGTATATGAATATGAATATGAAATAATACCACAAATAAAATAATAAAAGATATACTGGTCAATCACATAAATATTAGTGAATATCTTGAATGAACAGACAAGAGGCAAAGTTTTGATGAAAGTATAAACAAAACTTTACTGGGAATACAATTATCAAGCACACAAAAAAACAAATACTTTAAAAACATACACTGCTATAAACAATACATTCAGGTAAGAAATCTACTTAGCTCTATCCATGGAGATTCAGCAGCTTACACAGGATAATTGAATCAGCATAACACACCGAACAATGAGGTGAGTTCCTTGCCACATGTTAAATGGATTTACATGGGCACCTCTAAAGACACCTGGCTTCTTCCAACCCAGTCATGAAACTGAAACTCTAGTTTCAGGAAACCCCTTGAATAACCTCCCATCTACTATCCACCCACAGAGGTAACATAACCAATACCTAATGGTCATCTCTAGGAGGCTGATACTACATGTGGTCCTTTGCGAAAGGAAGTGACTTAAGAATTCTCAATACCTTCCTAAAGCACATGTCTCATTGACTATGCGGCAGCCATCTTTATTCACTCGACGTCACAGTGCTCACTAGGCCACCTATAGGTCACTTCCTCCCTAAAGCACATGTCTCATTAAATATGCAGCAGCCATCTTCTTGCTCTTAATGTCACATAGCTCACTACACCCCCTATAGGTATCATAAGTTATTGCACATGAATGGGAACACAATAATAGAACATTTATCATTGCCCATAACCAATACAATATCTTAGTATCATCAGCAAAAAGACATACCTTACCATCAAGACCTTCTGCAATATCACTAATAAAAATATTAAAGAGAATGGGTCCAAGTATAGATCCCTGAGGTACCCCACTGGTGACAAGTCCAAGCTTCGAATATATTCCATTAACTACAACCCTCTGTTGCCTGTCACTCAGCCACTGCCTTACCCATTCAACAATATTTGAATCCAAACTTAAAGATTGCAGTTTATTGATAAGCCTTCTATGTGCAACAGTGTCAAAAGCCTTACTGAAATCTAGGTAAGCAATGTCTACTGCACCACCCTGATCTATAATTTTAGTTACCCAATCCAAAAAAATCAATAAGATTAGTTTGGCATGATCTCCCTGAAGTAAACCCATGTTGTCTCTGATCTTGAAATCCATGTGTTTTTAGATGTTCATCAATCCTATCCTTTAACATGGTTTCCATCACTTTCCCCACTACTGAAGTAAGGCTTACTGGCCTATAGTTGCCCGACTCCTCCCTATTACCTTTCTTGTAAATGGGCACAACATTCGCTAACTTCCAATCTTCTGGGACTACTCCTGTTAACAATGATTGGTTAAATAAATCTGTTAATGGTTTTGCTAGTACACCACTAAGCTCTTTTAATATCTTTGGGTGTATTCCATCAGGTCCCATTGACTTATTTGTCTTTACTTTTGACAGTTGAAATAGAACCTCTTCCTCTGTAAACTCACGTGTAATAAATGACTCATTTATCCTTTTTCTCAACTGAGGTCCCTTTCCTTCATTTTCATCTGTAAATACAGAACAAAAATATTCATTGAGGCAGTCAGCTAGACCTTTATCCTCTTCTACATACCTTCCTTCTTTTGTTTTTAATCTAACTAATCATTGTTTTACTTTTCTTTTCTCATTTATGTATCTAAAAAATGTTTTATCCCCCTTTTTTACTGACTGTGCTATTTTCTCTTGTGTGATTTGGAAGCTCTTATAACTTGCTTAGCCTCTTTCTGCCTAATCTTATAGATCATTTTGTCTTCCTCACTCTGGTTTTTTTTTATAATTCCTAAACCCTAACTTTTTGTTTTTAACTATTTTGGCCACATCTGCGGAGTACCACAGTGGTTTCTTGAATTTTTTGCTTTTACTGACAAGCCTAATGCAATTTTCTGTTGCCTTCAATAGTGCAACTTTTAAATAATCCCATTTCTCTTGGACTCCATTTAAATTGCTCCAGTCTGATAATGACTCCTCTACCCATATTCTAATTTTAGAAAAGTCTGTTTTTCTAAAGTCTAAAACTTTTGTTTTTGTGTGGTGTGACTCAGTCACTGTTCTTATATTAAACCACACTGACTGATGATCACTGGATCCTAAACTTTCACCTACAGTAATATCTGATACCAAATCTCCATTTGTTAACACTAAATCTAGTATGGCCTCTTTACAAGTTGGCTCCTCAACAACTTGTTTTAGAGACAATCCCAGTAGGGAGTTTAGAATATGTGTGCTCCTGGCACAAGTAGCTAATTTTGTTTTCCAATTTACATCAGGAAGATTAAAGTCACCCATGATGATAACTTCCCCCCTCATTGTCATTTTAGCTATTTCCTCAACTAGTAGATTATCTAACTGTTCAATTTGTCCTAGGGGCCTATAAATCACACCTACATGAGTTACTGTGTGATTACCAAATTATAACGTAGCCCAAACGGACTCTATGTTTGCCTCACTAACTTTTATTAGGCTAGATTTTATGCTATCCTTCACATACAAGGCCACCCCTCCCCCTTTCTTGCCTTCCCTATTTTTCCTATATAAAGAGTACCCTGGTATTGCTATGTCCCAGTAATTATTCTCATTGTACCATGTCTCAGTAACAGCGACTAAATCTACACTATCAGTTGCCATTATTGCCACAAGTTCATGGATCTTATTTCCTAAACTGCAAGCATTTGTAGACATGACTCTAAGCTTATCATTTTTTAACACACTTGCTACAGGCACCTTCTGTCCTTGTTTTGGGGGACAATTGGATTGATGTTTTATCACCCTTTTGCCCCCCCCTCCTAGTTTAAATACATCCTAGCAAAACCTCTGAACTGCTCACTGAGAACATTTGTTCCCTTTTGAGAAAGATGCAAACCATCTTTTTTGTACAGCTTATCTCCATTCCAAACAGAGCTACCATGAGAAATAAAGCCAAATCCTTGCTCCCGACACCATTCACCAAGCCACAAATTAAAGTCCCTAATACGCATCCGCCTGTCATTCTGAGTGTTATGCACAGGCAGAACTTCAGAGAATGACAGTGTGGAAGCAACCTGCCGTATATCATTGGCAAAAACACTAAAAACTTCCTTAACCTCTGAAACCTCATTGCAAGCCAAGTCATTTGTCCCTAGATGGACAAGTACATCCAATTCCCCTTCCTGCTTTGCTTGCTTAACAATATTACAGATATGTCTCCTGTCTCTGTGAGCAGTAGCTCCGGGAAGACACCTCACAAGACCACCATTGTCCATCTCCACACCTCTTATAATGGAATCCCCCAACAACAACTGCTTTCTATTAGGCCTCACCATAGTCTCCAAGCCGGTCTACACAACACCACTAGTCTCAGTGCCTCTCTCCACAACACCACTAGCCTCAGTGCCTCTCTCCACAACACCACTAGCTTCATTGCCTCTCTCCACAACACCACTAGCTTCATTGCCTCTCTCCACAACACCACTAGCCTCAGTGCCTCTCTCCACAATACCACTAGTCTTAGTGCCTCTCTCCACAACACCACTAGCCTCAGTGCCTCTCTCCACACACCACTAGCCTCAGTGCCTCTCTCCACAACACCATTACACTCTGAAAGTGCAGAAAATGAATTATGAAGAGCAACAGACTGTGCAAAATGCCTTTTATCCACAACTCTAAGTCTACCAGATCCTACAGTAATCCATCTGCCTTTCCTAGTATGTCTCTGCGGCAGTGGCTTTGCAGCAGTTCCAGTCTGCGTTTGTTCACCAGATAATTTACAAATCTCAGACTTCAAAAATACAATCTCCTGCCGCAAGATACAGAACTGTCTACAGATTAGACAACAACCAAACCTCCAAAAAGTGGAACGTGAAACAAATGCATAGCAATTGTTAAACTGAACTAAGTCTGCCATTCCAATTGGGAGAATAATTTAAATCTAACAAATCTTAACTTTGTATTTATCCTCCTGAATACCTCAGATTACCTCCAGTTTATCTCCAGAATATCTCCAACTACACACTTAGAAACAGCACTTAGAAGTAGCACCAAGCTAATGACAACAAGCCTTATATAACTCCTAAAATCACCACCCACTAGGAATGTTTAACACCTGGGTAGGCCTCTGTTTATTTGCAAACAATAGCTAATTAACCAGCAATCAATAGCAAGTAACTAGCTTAATCAAATCAAATGCCTTATAATTACCAACAGGAATTCAAACCTTGTGCAATCAGTAACCTTTTCCTACAGATGAATCTTACCTGTAACAGTAGAAAAGAAAGCTCTTAGCACAACTCTTAGACAGTTGAAGCTTCTGTAAAACTCTCCAGAATATCTCCAACTACACACTTTGAAACAGCACTTAGAAGTAGCACCAAGCTATATTAGACAAGCTAATGACAACAAGCCTTATATAACTCCTACAATCACCACCCACTAGGAATGTTTAAATAAATACCACAAGCATGTAATATATACCAGCTGCTAAAACACAAAAATAATTTTCCCAAAATTATCAAATAACAATGCAATCCACTGTGTTAGCACTTAGTATACATGTCCCTATGAGATGTTCTCAGGGAATATAAAATAAAACAGTTCCATAGGATTGGAAATCCTTATTGAAAGTCTATAGATTCCAGGAAAATAAAACATAAAATATATAATGTTAATAAAGATAAAAAATAGAAAAATAATTGTAAGAATAGTAGAGGTAGTTATAGTCACAATGGGGAATAATTAAGGTCTGTGTCCACTTCAATATTGAACCACGTAATGTGTTGGATGTACAAAATAAAAATATGGTACTCATCTCTAAGGACCACTCTATCAGCTTGGTAAGTAATAAGTAATATCGTAAGCCAGATATGCAGAAGGGATACCCGATCCTCCAGAGGAGACAGCGTCTGCCTCGTGCACTGAAGCAGACGTCTACGTTCTGAACTCAGAGGAATGCTGAAGGTAAGTCCCGTTGAATGCTGGTGCCTTGTGTATCGTTACCAGTTGCTGTGTATAATGGCTGGCACCTTCAACGCCTTTTGCCCTTCTCATGAGGGCTTTCTCGAGATAGGTGCCGCTGCCTTGCAGTTATACACTCTGTCTGTCAAGCGGCATAGATTTTATCTTAAGGTTGTACACTCTTACTGAGTTTTTACCTTAGCTTAGTGTCAAATTTATATTTTATAGCTGAACTATCAATTTTAAGATATAAATAAGAATACAATTTTCATAAATGACAATAAAAATAGCATAAGCATTATCGCGTAAAACAGTGAAACAGTAAAATCATTATGCAATCAATACATTGCACAGCAGACTTTAAAAGCAATCAGACTTTAGAAACAATCTTGTCCATTATAGTGTCTCTTTTTTCATAAAGATATCTCTTTTGAAAAATAGCATTCCACTTGTAGAAGATTATCTCATTGTAAAATAGTATCCTTGGGACTTCTCGTGTGTTCAAACAATATGATCCAGGCAACCTTAATTTGCTGCAGGTTGGAAACGAATATTTATGAGAAGAGAGATATCCAACACAAAAATAGGATACTTGATGTAAAGAATACTGCTCGATACATACTCAGTGTGGAAAAGATGCTTAATATAAAAAGGATAGATGCTTAATATAAAAAGAAAGTGGAAAGTATAGACCCTCCCCTCCACACTTTTAAACAATAAAAATGGGAAGACATCAAATTGTCAACCACTAGGTAAATCTACGAGTGATCTATGTCCTCTAGTGCTTAATTACAGTGCACAAACTCATCTTTTAAAAAGGAGCATTTACAAACATTGGCATTTGCTACGACAGGACCCAATACGTGCCCCCCATCTACCCATGAAACCGAGGGTGATCTTTAGGGGAGCACCCACACTGAGGAATAAATTAGTGCACAGTTATAAGAACCCCACTGTAGGCGAGCACTTTTTAAATACAGGTAAAGGATACTTCAGGTGTGGAAATTGTAATGTATGCAAACTGACGGGCTCCAAACATAAGAAAATAACTACATTTCAGTCTTCAGTAACAGGACAGATGTTTAAAATTAAGGAGTCTATTACATGCAATACAAAGCAAGTGATCTACATGTTGGGGTGCCCGTGTGGCCTCCTATATGTGGGTCAAACTAAAAGAATGTTTAAAATCAGATTGAGAGAACCCTCTTCTACAATATCAAAAGAGGGTTTGATGAACATTCTTTATCATACCACTTTAAAATGTACCACAACAGTGATCAAACTTTACTCACATATTGTGGCATTCAGCAAGTAGGTGTACCATGGAGAGGGGGGAATTAAGTAAGAACCTAACGTACCAAGAGATGTATTGGATTTTTAACTTAAAAACTTTAGCCCCTTCAAGATTAAATGCAGAGTTAGAATTGGCAAATATAGTGTAAGAGTAGTTATCTGGAAGTCTCCACTCAAGATAGACACTATTCTATTTAGTTCTCACATTTTATAGGCATATGGGGCATACCTCAGTTAGAATAGATTTACTTTATCACTAAGTCGATTAATTTTAGCTTCAGCCGGACATTACACACAGCAACTGGTAACGATACACGAGGCTCCAGCATCCAGCGGGACTTACCTTCAGCGTTGCTCCGAGTTCAGAATGTAGACTGTCTGCTTTAGTGCACGAGGCAAACGCTGTCTCCTCTGGAGGATCGAGTATCCCTTCTGCATATCTGGCTTAGGATATTACTTACCAAGCTGATAAAGTGGTCCTTAGAGAAAAGTACCACATTTTTATTTTGTACATACAACACATTACATGGTTCAACATTGAAATGGACACAGATTTTGATTATTCCCCTTTGTGACTATAACTACCTCTACTATTCTTACAATTATTTTTATATTTTTTATCTTTATTAACATTATATATTTTATGTTTTATTTTCCTGGAATCTATAGACTTTCAATAAGGACTTCCAATCTTATGGAACTGTTTTATGTTATATTCCCCCAGAACATCTCATAGGGACACATCTACTAAGCTATTTCTAGATCATGTTCTGCTAAATACTATAGTAAATAAACATATAAATACACATAGAGTATATTTGTATTATAAAAACAATGTAATAATAGCAGAAAAGTAACTGGTATAAGACTAAGAATTTGATGTGAGAGTTTTCAGAGTTATTCACTAAACCCATGAATTTATTGTCAGGAATTCACCAGGGAATTGCAAAGTTAAGACCAAAATAGCCTAACTGTACACATTGCTAACTTGGAGAATTCTTACCATTCAGCTATTTCTGCCAGCAATGTACAATGCCCTGATGAGATCATAACAATTTCATGATTTAATGAATAACTCTGCCTGTCTAGATATTTCTTGCATGTACATTACATCAGATTCAACACCCAGGAGGCAATTGTTTTTTTTCTTATCCTTTTCATGCTGCAACAATTTGTGCTTTGACTGGCTCAACAGTTTCTTCTACCACAGCTAGTTTAAGCATAGTACCTTCTTGGTGCCCCTTCAAGAGGCAACAAAAGGAGAGCACAACGTAATCTATGTTGTGAGGATCACCAGAGCCGTGCTTTAGTGAAGATTACTATTAATATCAACTGTACAGGCACCATCAACATTTCTATTCACATTAATCAACCAGTGATAGCTTTCACTGCCATCAATGCAAATCCACCTGCATCCTCAGCAGCTGCAAAGCAATATATTGCACTATTAAATCAAAGTTTGAGATCATTTTGAATGTCTCCAAGAAAATCGACTTGCAAAGTGTAAATTGTGCAGCAAGGAATTGAGGAGGGGGTCAAGAGAAAGGTCACCTCGCTTGTGTCGATCTGAAATAACATCTGAAAAGATACCTCCTGTCTGTATTATTGAGGGGGAAAACAGAACAAGAAAGTATTAGGACAGGGAGTAGGTTCACTGCTGCTGTATCAGATTTTTTGTAGATTTCACCACATATCAGCGCCATCTACGTTACCACTACTACCATTATCATTTGGCAGAGCAGGTGGGGTGTGGGGATAAAACCAGTTGTCAGCAGAGGCAGGTTGGACAGGAACAATCAAACCCTTCATCATCTGGTGAATTAAAAAAACAAAAAACAAGCAAACAGCATACAAATAGAAAATAATAAATAAAAAGTTCCTCTTGCATAGCAAATACTGCCAATGCCATGTTCACTCACTTTGATTCACTGTGTGCTTCTGTACAACTGTTTGTGCTTAGGAAATTTGAAGCTTCTTCCCTCAGTAATATCCACAGTATGTGGCTGCAGATTACTGCCCAAGTGAACCCTGCCTCCATTGATTATTTTTTTTAACTCTTTGTATAAAAAAAGTATTCTAAAATGTGGTGGCCATGATGGTGCTGGTAGTTATATCCTTGTATACCCACCTTAAAAAATATGTTAAAATGAGATTACTCTTGCTGCTGCTCACCCTTTGTCAAATGCCTTTTATAATAGTGGTTTTTGCCCTGTCTGAATTTGTCTTGAGGAACCTGTTGCCTCTGTAAATGCAGTTTGGATTAATTGATAGGGCCCTGTTCGTTAGACAATGAAGGACAGTCACTGATACTAAAGACTGGATGTGTGGGAAAGCTTTGCTCATGTGAGGGGGAAGTGGGTGCTAAACTGCCCAGGTATTTTCTTTTCACAAATCCCCTATTTTGATAGAAGGGTGTGACGAATGTAACCTCATTTCTGGTTCTTGGAGGATCCTGCTGGCCAGCCTCTTACCCTGTGACTATGGCCCTGCAATAGACCTGGCTAAAATACTTTAAAAGGCTCTGTTCATGTGAAGTACTCCAGACAGAGAGACCACCTGCTGGCACTAATTCTCTGGAACTGTTTTGGGCATGGGACCATGTGCACGGTCGGTCAAAAATAAGACTTCCAGGAAATTCCTGAACCCCTGAACTGATCTGGGTGATTTTTGGATATGTTGGTCACCCAGATCAGGGCTATCACAGGATGTAACATTTGTGGGTATTTATGTATTTATGTATTTTTAGGGTACTTTTGGTGTGTTTTAAAAAAGTGTGTTTTTTTCTGTGCTTGGAGATAATAATGGATTAGAATTAGTACAGTTACTGATTCAATTATCTCCCAAGCAGAGTGTGCTGTGTGTGGGAGTGTCATACACTTAATCACTGTTCTGATTGGTTTGTAAGCTTTGTGTCCCTGTCAAGGTCCATGTGTGATTTATCTACATTAATAAGGTCCATGTGTGCATACACCTTGCTTGGGGACTTGCATAAAAGGCCAGCTGTGGCTTCCATTAAACAGAATGCTTTACCCCTTCATGAAGTATTGGCTCATGTTTGGGGGATTGGAGAACTACATACACTCTGGGGATTGCTATATCACAATACTCCCATGAGTATAATCACTAGCTCTTCTAAGAGCTGTCCCTGCTACGCTCTCTGGATTAGGAGAGGTCTACCCCCTGGAAGCTGGATCCTGGTCTTGGGTCCAGGGTGGGTGGAGGATGGCGAGACTCCAACCAAGCTGTGGTGGTTTGTGGGGTTTACGGTGGTTATGGTGTTCCAGTGCAGTGCCTATGGTACTCGCAAGTACTAGGAAGCAGCGATTGACGGAGGTAACCAGTCGGGGTGCAAAGCAGTCCATCACAGGGAGTATATGTGTACAGCACAACTGGGCTGGAGGAGATGGCTGACAGGCACTGAAAGGTAGGGTCCTGAAAAACATCTAATCTAATTTTGGCACTATTTCATTGTTAGCCCCATGTTGTTAGCCCCTTGTAATTCTGACAGGATTATTCAATGCAGATAATTTAATGTGAATTCACAGTGAATTTCAAATTTGAGCTCAAAACAGCCAAACTGAAAAACATATCTAATTCAATTTTGCTTCCAATTCAGCTACTTAGTACATCATTTTAATTAATTTAGAACTCTTCTTTTACTGAATAACCCTCTAAAACACACTGCAAGAAATTAAATTCATGCATTCGACAGGATTTGTCAGAGCTGGCATTACAGTGTTTCAGCCAATCCAAAAGGTTAAACAATACCTTTTAGCTAGAATCCAATATGTACTTTAACAACAGAACACAGGCCATCAACTAACTGCATAGAGAGAATCTATCTTAGAAGTAAAGGAAATAAATATACTCCAAAAAGTTTAGGTGATTTATGCAATGTTTATAAATTCTTACAAATGTACATCTTACACATTTGATAAGCTAATCTATTTTCTAGTACGTATTCTTTTTTTAAAATTTTAGATCCTGGAAATTCGATTTTCCTCATATTCCAGTAATGACCTTGATTAAAATTTTCAGATACGCTTTATACATTTTTTTATATTTTTGGAGAAAGTTCTAAAATTATTTCAAAATATTAAAATATCAAAAAATACACTGTATCATATAGAAAAAATGAATGAATATAAGACATTTCAAATTTTTTTTTTAAATATTAAAACATTCAAACATATTAAATCTTTTGAAAAGTTTTTCCAAAAATATTAAATCGAGACCAACGTCCTCTGAATTTCCATATCAAAAAGCTTTAATGATTAGAGGGTCTTCTTAACCCACACACTACTTTCCTACCTGTTGGCATCATTTGGTAACTGCTGTACTCTTACACGTGCGCAAAAGTGCTTCATTGAGGTCTATGGAGCATCCCTAGATAAAGTCAATTCCATGATGCTATCACCGGTGATGACTGGGGGGATTGATAGCTCTAGATGGCCAAGTATCTAGTCTCAGGTGAAGGACATATACATAGTTAATGCTTTGTCTCACTAAATCTTTTGACTGTATAGTAATTTTAGTGAAATTTACAATGAGTTTATTATAAAGATTATACCTTCATGATATATTACTTTTTCAGGAGGAGGGTGTCAGTACCACTTTAAATTGAAGCCATAGGCCTTGATTTAAGTATTTTAAATCAGAAATTATTGCAATCTACAAAAATTTCCATAGACATTAATGTAGATAAATCATTTGAAATTTTTTTTTTATCTAAAAGATTGAAATAAATTCTGATTCTGATTTAAAATAATTAAATAAAGTCTATGATGTCCTTTAAATTAAGATTAAAAAGCAAAAAGCAACTAGGCATTAGCTGTACAAAAATGCATAATTAAGTTAGGTAATGTAAAGGTCTATGATGACAGGGAGTTATAAGGAAAGAGTCACAAGGGGGTTAGCGCTAATGCCCTAAAAGGGGGTAAGGTAGACGCGTAACTAGAAACCACTGGGCCCTGGTGCGAAATCTGTCCTGGCCCACCCCCCCCAGCCTCTCGATGTTTCTCATTCCCAGCCCATCCATGTGTATTATGCCCTCAGCTCCTCCATGTGTCTCATTCCAAGCCCCTTCATGTGTCTCAGGCACTCAGCCCCTCCATGTGTCTCATTCCCCATGTGTCTCATTCCCTCCCCCAAGCCTTGGAGGCATGTGTTTCATCCTCCCAAGTGCCTTGTTTCCTCCCCACAGCCCCCCATGTGTCTCATTCTCCCCAAGCTCTTTACTGTGTCTTATCCTTCCCACAGCCCCTCTATGTGTCTCATTACCTCCAGGCACCTCCATGTGTTTTTCTCCCCCTCCACTCTTGCCCCTCTATGTGTCTCATTTCCCCCCATGTGTCTCATTCCAACCCTTATGTGTCTCATTTGCTCACCCTAGACCCTCCATGTGTCTCGTTTCACCTACAAGCCACCTCCTTGTGTCTCTATCGCCTTCCCTGCATTTCTCTCTCCCCCTACAGCCCATCTATTTCTCTCTCCCACATTTCTATCTCTCCCCTCCCTTCCCCTGCAGCCATTCCATTTCTCTTTGCCCTCCCCTCCTCTGCAGCTCCTCAGTTTCTCTCTTTCCCACCTTTTACCTGCAGCCCTTCATTTCTCCCCCCTTGCAATGCCTCCACCTCTCTCTCTCCCCTCCCCTGCAGCCCCTCCATTTCTCCCCCCTACCCCTTCAGCCCCTCTATTCCCACCTCACTTCCCCTGCAACCCCTCCATTTCTTTCCACCCTCACCTCCCCTCCCCTCCATTTATCTCTCCCCCTTCCCCTGCAATCCCTCTATTTCTCTCCCCTTCCCCTGCAATCCCTCTATTTCTCTCCCCTTCCCCTGCAGACCCGCCATTTCTCTCCCCCTTACCCTGCAGCCCTGTCATTTCTCCCACCTTCCCCTGCAAACGCAACATTTCTTTCCTCCCTCCCCTGCAGACCTTCCATTTCTCCCCCTTCCCCTGCAAACCCTCTATTTCCCCCCCCTTCCCTGCAAACAATCCATTTCTCTACACCTTTCACCCCTACAACTCTCCATTTTTCCCCCCTTCCCCAGAGGCCTTACATTTCTCTCCCCCCTTGCCCTGCAGACCTTCAATTTCTCACCCCCTTCCCCTGCAGACCCTCTATTACTCCCCCCTTCCCCTGCAGACCGTCCATTTCTCAACCCCTTCCCCCCCAGACCCTCCATTTCTCCCCCCTTCCCCTGGAGACCCTTCATTTTTCCATCCTTCCTCTGCAGACTCCTCCTTGTGTCTCAGTGCCCCCAGGCACCTCCAAGTGTTTTTCTTCTCCTCCTTCCCATGCAGACCCTCCATATCCCCCCCACCTTCCCCTGCAGACCCTCCCGTTCTCTCCCCCCCCTGTACCTGTTGGCTGCGGTCACGGTTCCCATCTGAGTCTGACAGGATGTGCTCTAAAGGTGGGTTAGCGGTCAAACAGACACAACAGAGGACTAGGTGGAATGACAGTGACACAGAGCTAGGAGGATTAGAAGGGCCAAGTGACATAAAGCGAGAAGGACAGGAGAAAAGTGGCAAAAGGCCAGGTGAATTGGGAAACAGAGGACTAATTTGAATGACAGAGACACAGACCTAGTGGAGATACCAAGTGACATAAAGCAAGAGGATAGGAGGAGAGTGGCAAAAGTCTAGGGGAATAGGGAAACAGAGGATTAGGTGATTAGAGTGACCATGACACAGAACTATGGAAACAGGGGATTAGGGGGATCAGTTGAGAAAGGGTGTGAGGAACAGAGTGACAAGAGGCTAGATGATTATGGGAAAAGGGTGACACAAAGAGGGACAAGAGATTAATGGATGAGAGAAAAGACAAGGGTGACGGGGTTCAGAAGGAAAGTGATACAAAACCAGGGGGTAGGGGGATAATAGCATCTGACCCCATGTCACTCTGTTGCTCTAGCTCTTTGTCACTCTGTCCACCTAATGCCCAGAAAGGATATGGGGTGGTCAGAGGGTATATCTTACATAGTCCCTTACAGCCTTGCTGGTGGTGTCTTCTAGTGTTGGAGAGCGGCACACTTGGTCTTGGTGCCTAAGAATCCTCTCCAGAGAGTTCCTGGTCCTCTAAGGCAAGCTGCCTGATCTGCTGAGGAGTCTGGGAGGATGGTGGCAGACGTTGCATCCTCCTGACATCATAGATGGGCCGGACAATACTACTGTCATATTGGAGCCCATTTAGAAGGGCTCTGTGGAGGTTGTAACAGGAGCCTAAAGGTAGCAAGAAAGTAAGTACTGACCCCGCTGCCCAGGATATTGTTAACACGTGTGCGCGATTTAGTATAACTATTTCGTTACCATGACTTACCTATGTTGTGCCCACGAGATATTAAAAAAAAATTGTGGATGTTACCTGTGCAGCTCCGTACTCTAATGTCACTATTTATTAATATATACAAAGACATATAGCTCATTTATTAATGTACAAAAAAATATTTTATCTACAGCAGAGGAAAATGTTTAAAGAATCCATACTTTAAATGTAGCAGATGCTTCTAAAAACGGTGGTTTTAGCAAAAATAAAATAAAGAATTATGGTGCAATAGAGATATAAAACTTGTTAATAATAGCTCATTGAACCAATGAGACAAGTGACTGTCATTTTAAAGCTAAGAATGATTTTTTCATATCTTGAGGCATATTGTAATTGTCTTCACTATAGGTTTCTTTCTTACTTTGGATTATCAGCAGCAAAATGGATATTCAAAGGTTGATATTTTTTTTTTGCCTGATTTATAATGGTGCTGTGTCAATAATTGACTGGATTCATAGTCTAATAATCATAGTATTCCTGGTATTAAAATGATTGCCTCTGTTTTCTTAAAAAAACTTGTAAAACAAAACTTGCTAAACTATTTTTTTTATAACAATCTATAATTGTATGCTAAGCTTGACTGCCAAGTAACATCATGATTTGTTTTATTAGCTATTAATACATGTTTTTGAAGATCTGATTGATCAGTTAGCAGAGAGTAAAGAATATCATATTTATCAATATCAGAATAAATAAATAAATAAATATGCAATTGTCAAGATTTCAACAGTCTTTCAGATATACATACTCACATACTGACAAACAAAGATACACATGCATAGTGACACAGGGTCAGAAGAAACTGGAAAGATGAGCCTTATTACTCAATCTGATGAAAGTGGCATGACTTTGATTGTAATGGTATGAGATCAGAGGCTGTCAAGATGTCAGCATACCATTTCATTTTTTATTTTGGGGCTATTCATGAGCTGTGAAATCCCTGTAATGCTGTTTCTAAAAAAATATCACAAGCTGACAAGAGTGTTGCAACAAAATGTAGATTAGCTGCCAATGGGGTTTTCTGGAGTGAACGGGTTGCATTCCCTTTTATGCCCTAGCTATAGCCACCTACACATCTAATATAAGTCACTTTTGCATATGAGTGTCAATATGTAATCATAACAATTACATACAAAAACCCAACAAGTTACACAGTACATCTTCAGCAACCTCTTTTGCCACCATGTGTAAAACATGTTCACAAAGGAGTACTAGAAGTCTAGTTTTACTGGTTAATACTCCTGAAAAAAATAGTAAAATAAAACATTAAAATTTGTTGACATAAAAATGATAGAATGGGATATTTCAAATGATAAACAAGCAAAAAATAAAACGTAATCACTACTCCTTCGATATGTGAAATAATCTAGGAGCAAGTCAGCAGGCAGTAAAATAGAATAATAGAAAAATATAAGTAAAAGAATATAATTAAAATGAATCCAAACTATAGTACTCCTATCAGTGATTCTTTAGACTGTAAACACCAGAGTAATCGAATAAATTGGCATGGACATAGTTACATAGAAAATGCAGCCAGACAAACCTATTAAATACCCCATTATTAAGGATTCCAAGAAATCACAAGTAATTGATTTGTAAGCATGGAAAGGCATGGAGAGATTAGATAATGTATAGGAGCAAACAGGCCCAGCCATAGGACAGAAACCCAAGATGCAGGGAATGGCTTAATGGACTTAGTTTGCAGTGTAATCATGCATCACAGAGAGCTGGACAAAATTATGTGATGACTGCATTGCCAAGTGTTTTTTTTTTCAGAAAGGTTAAAATGTGATATAAGACAAAAACAATCTAGGGTCAACAAGAAGAAGTCAATCTGGACAAAACACAGATTTTCAATCTCAATCAAAAACTAAGAATTCCAGTCAAATGCTTACTTTACCTCTGTCTTTAATCATTACTTAATGGCGATTTCATTAAGTTACAAAATAGAGTATAAATAAATAAAATCACAAGAGGATGTGTCACTATGTCAGTGTGGAAAAGAGGTTGCAAGGTATCATGATTGTATTTAGTTAATCATATTAGAGAAGACATTACGTGTGAAGGAATGTTGTAGAGTGGAAAACAGGAGGCTAAAATGCATATTGAACCACTAGTTAAATTTGAAAAGACAGGGGCAGTCAGGTAAAGAAGAAGATATAGTTTCTATTTATTCAAGAGATGGGTTTTGAGGGGCATTACAAAGGACTGTTGATGAGGAGAATGCCAGATAAGAATAGTTAATACAAAGAGATCTCAGGCACTCACTGTGACAGGAACCAAGCAGATTTATTGGATCAAAATAGAACCAGTTGTTTTTTTGATCCAATAAATCTGCTTGGTTCCTGTCACAGTGAGTGCCTGAGATCTCTTTGTATTATACTGGATTTATAGGGTATGCTGATCCATACCCAGTAGCACCCTGTGATTGTATGACTGCGTGCAGTCCCCTTTTTTCTTGATAAGAATAGTTAGCCTTCCATAGGTTGGGCATTGTCCTAGAAAAGGTTTCCAGATGAGAATTAGTGATGTAGGTTTGAAGAGAGGACAGGCAAAGATGAAAGATGGAATAGAATGGCCTAGAATGGGTGTACTTGATAAAGCTTCTGTACTAGTAGAAAATGCTAATGTTTACTGTACACAAGATCCAGTGCACTCACTTATCTACTAAACAGAAACTTTAAAGCTCACATATTTTATTATTTTTTTTAAAACACCTAATCTAGGCAAAGATAATGGGGGTTTAGTTACAGTATATGATCATACATTGCATAAGCCTGCCACAACGTCAATGTACCCCATCTTTTTCTAGATTTAATGTCTAAATGAGGATGGGCCTTGGGTGTTAATACTATGTCATCCAAACTAATGTCACAACAGCTTCTACTTCTTATATCCCTGATTTAGGAGAACATACATATTTAAACCCAAGCACTGCTTGATTCAGAGATAGATAAAATAGAAAGGTGAACAGCGCTAAAAATCAGAAAATGTACATACGTTTTGTAGAAATACTTGCCAGCAGAGTAACTTAAAAAAAGAGAGAAACAAAAATACAAATAATGGTACAGTATGTATGAATGATATAATTCCACAAGAACAAAGGTGTTATATTCACACTCACACTTTGAGGAGCTATATCAGCTCGGTGTTAAGAGCCTGGACGGAATAATCCCCGTCTATGGATTTCTTGAGGTTCAAGACCGTTGGTGAATTTATAGGTGTAAATATTCGTTACATGAAAAACAAGAGTAAAATACACCACATGGTATAGTACGTAAATATAAAATATTGTGAAAAAAAAAAAGTGGATGATCCTACTTACATATACTAGAGCAACGACCTGCTCTAGTTTGGAGAATTTCAGGTGGAATAATCCCCACCTTGGGATATAGTAGACCCAGGTATAGCAGCAAAGCAGTATTGGATAGGAAGGAGGACAAAAGGAATGACTGGATAGTTTAAAAAATATATATACTTTAATACAATAAGTGAAAAGTGAATAATAAACTATAAAACCAGTCCTGTATAAAAGTCCAAAATTCTTCCTCACTTGACGCGTTTCGCCGATGCTTTCTCAAAAGTGATTCACTAGTATATGTAAGTAGGATCATCCACTTTTTTTTTTCACAATATTTTATATTTACGTACTATACCATGTGGTGTATTTTACTCTTGTTTTTCATGTAACGAATATTTACACCTATAAATTCACCAACGGTCTTGAACCTCAAGAAATCCATAGACGGGGATTATTCCGTCCAGGCTCTTAACACCGAGCTGATATAGCTCCTCAAAGTGTGAGTGTGAATATAACACCTTTGTTCTTGTGGAATTATATCGTTCATACATACTGTACCATTATTTGTATTTTTGTTTCTCTCTTTTTTTAAGTTACTCTGCTGGCCAGTATTTCTACAAAACGTATGTACATTTTCTGATTTTTAGCGCTGTTCACCTTTCTATTTTATCTGTCCATTTATCACAAGGTAGAGGAACACCTTGTTGGTGAACTGCAGCTCACCCCTGAGAAGAGAGCGCTTATTATTCTTTTGCATTTGATTCAGAGATAGTTGAAATGTGTGTATCTCCTGTCCTTGGATAACTCTGTCTATTCTTTTGTCTTTTGTGAGTTATATCTGACCAGCTCTAAGAACTATTAATACACTTCCAATCCCAGTATAGGTTCAGTGTTGGTTCAGGTTGTTTGTGTTGGGTTAGCACCCATCATGACATTGTTTAGCTAATTGATTTAGTTTCAAAAACACTGTGTTGCTTATTTATCCAATAATATTTTGGGATGACTACGTTTCAGGGAAATGTATGGTCACTATTTCCCAAGCACTCACTTACCAGCAGTTTCTAGATATCTCCAGAAAAAAAATATATACTAGGTGGCACTTTCCCTGAGATATGATGATGTTATTTAGCAAAACATGCTATCTTTTGCTAAACTATTAGTCTCAATCAATTTCTGGGTAAATACGATCTCCAATGATGAAAATCTGAACCAGACTTGCAGTTCTCTAAGTTCAGAATAACATCTGATCTTCTCCATATTAATTTGGTGTTTTGCTCCTTTTCTCTAATGAAATAAAACATCACTCATCTATCCCAATATCAGTGAATTGGTTAAGATATTTCTTCAGAAATATGATTTATTTCAACAATTAATGTCATATTTCTATATTTTAAACAGTGAGAGAAATATACACCTGTAGATAAGGAAAACAGAATGTAATGATTTACTAATGGATTTCTAAATGTATTCTGCAAGAGTAAATATGAACATAAGGCCAACAGAAGTCAAATTAAATATTGTTTTAAATTACAAAACTAAAATTATCTTAAAGAAAAGCTTTTATGCACACAAATTAAGCTGTATTACAGTTAAAATAAATCAAATTAGATTTATTGTCTAGTCTTGTTTCGATTTCCAATGTTTGCTCAGGTGTTAAGTGTAATCTTTTTGCAAATAATTATGCAACATTTAATTTAAGGCTACTGTGGGTTATAAATTATGTGTTATTGTTGGTATTATCAGAATCTTATCTTTTGTATTTTTGCACCAAGCATAACCTCAAAGACAACAGTTGATAATAGAAATGTATTTTGTTTATTTTGCATGTAAGCACCTGTTAAATGGCCAGTGTCATTTTCATCATTAGGATAAAGAAATACAGGATTCTGTTGAATGAAGTAAAAGAAAGCAGCCATCAATCTTTCTGCCCCTTATTTGACAGAAAAGTACTTTCTTTTACTCCTCTTTTTTCCACCTCTCTAAATTTGGCAGTCTTTTGAAATGGTAATGTCTGCAAACTGGTGGAATTTATTGTGAAACTTAACCATTACTTTTTAAAATGCATTAATAACTATCTTCTTTGTTAAAAGCCAAATATTTAGAAAAACAAAAAGAAGCATTTTAGGGCAAATGCACCATCTGGTGCAGTAAAAATGTAAAATTGTGTTCCAGAATTAGCTCAGTTGTGATTTTTTACCTCTTACACATTTACTTGGTTTAAAAATGATCAAGGTTATTCACTGAATGGCTGCCCAGTGTCTAGCGTATTTTAACAGTCACTGTTTAATAGATATGCACTCACCAACAGCATGGCATGTGGGAAATAAGGGAGGTTAAAAACCTAAAGGCTAATATGAATATTTTTTGACCCCCATATGCTTTATTTTATTTTTTTCATCCACTAATTTTAATTTTGTCCACAGACAAATAATAGTACTATTATTTGTTCACTTACAAAAAGCAAGTGAATGATCATTTGTGAATATGCATCATAAATTATGCATTGTGTGCCTATTTAGTTTAATAATTGGTACTTTCTACATATCTTGAATACTTTGTTTTGTATAGGGTTTGGATGAAAACATATTTTAAACATGACCTCTAATTCTTCCGACACAGATGTTAGTAAATATGAAAATTGCCATTCCAATTAGAATTTGGCCATTTTCATCAAAGTTTGTCCATTCAGACAAAATTCCATGTTAAGTGAATAATTCTGTTAGTGATGTATTAACAGAGTTGGGCTTCTGAGACAGATGTATTGTCTGTTTAGTTGATAAAAGTAAAGCCTGATATAAATTGTATTTAGGAAAATCTACACATGTCTATCTATAACTTCCAAAATAACTTACATGTATTCCCACAGGGTTGCCTTAACACAGCTGAATTTTTATGTAATGCATAACTTTTAAGTCAAAGAAAGTGACTATTTTAGTACTATAGAACCCTAGGTAGAAAATTCAGTTCTGTATTTAGGGCATGTTGCTTATTCATATAATCACAATTAAGAATTTATTGCACGGTATGTGTGGCAATGGCTGCAGTTACAATTAATAGAGCTAAAAATACAAATTGACAGAGAGAAATTACCAATGAATTTTATGTTTTAAGCCAAAATAGTCAAACTGGAAAAAAAATCCTTTCAACTATGTTTCTACTAAAATGTGAAATGATCTGGTTGATTCCTGAAATTCATGATCTAGTTACCAGAAGCAGAGGGGAGGTCGGCCACATGTCACAGATGGCATGGGAGGGCACGGAGCACCCCCTCCCACAAGAACAGGCACCTGCTGACCAGCGCATTGCTGAAGGGAGTGCTGCCAGGACCCACAAAGTGCAGAGACTGGACCATACTAGAAGAACATCTGGTAGAAAGAAGCATCACATAACACCAAGGCCCAGTGGATACTAGACTTCAAAGCAGAACACTGCATGCTTCAGTCAACAGGCTGTGGGAGATATCCAACAAGTAGCCAACATGAAGAATTGGTAAGCCCCAGGTTCTGATATGATACAGACCTACTGGATAAAGAAGTTAACAACATGAACGCACAGCAGCACAAATGAAACAGCTGCTAGCAACAGGCTTCCACCCTGACTGGCTAACATAAGGCAGAACAATGCTTGTAATGAAGGGCTCTCACAAAGGAACAACACCATCTAACTACGTCCCAATAACCTGTAACCACACAAAATAAAAAGGTCCTGTCAGACATCATAGCCTCCAAGAATAATGGGCATATGAGTCAGTACATAGGCAATACTCAAAAGGGGATTTAAAAACAAAACTAGAGGATCAACACACCAACTTCTGGTAGACCAAGCAGTCACACAGGATTATAAGACCAGACAGTCCAATCTGTGCTCAGCCTGGATTGACTACAGGAAAGTCTGTGACACATTGACACACACATGGATACTGGAATGCTTAGTCCTATATGATCAAGAACTCAGTAGGAAAGTAGAAAACAACTCTAGAAGAACTGTAGAGAACAGCTTGAAGTACCTGGGGAGAGAGAGGGGGAGGAGTGTGTGCAAACACATGGCAACAATTAGGAAGAGGCAAGGAGAATAGCAACATCCAAGTACCTCAAGAGAGTCACACATGTCCTAAAGTCCCAGCTCAAAGAACACATATGCCCTAATTGTCATCAGGTACCAAGATGTAATAATGACGTGGCCAAGAGAAGATTTGGTTACCATGAATGTCAAGACCTGGAAACTACTCTCTATGAATGTAGTAATCCACCTGAAATCCTGCACCCAGTGACTGTACACTAGCTGGAAGGAAGGAGGTGGGGGCCTGACGAGTGTCAAGTCCTGGATGAAACACAGAGCATCTAAAACTATATGATGAAGATAACTCCAAAAGATGAACTGCTAAGGGAATTCATGAGAACACAACAGATAGAAGATGCAGAAAAGGAGGAGGTTCCATGGAAAGCCAAACCTCTCCATGGGGTGTACCGCTGGCAGATAGTGGCTGTAGCATACATTGTAAAAGTCCTTGGAAAATAATAGCACTTATGTACCAATCCTAGCAGCACAGGAATAGGCACTCAGCACCAGATCAACAGAAGAGAGAGTCTACCACACCAGATAAGACCAAAGATGCAGACTGTGCAAAGAGGCCTCTAAGATAATCCAGCACATAGTAACAGGGTGCAAGATGTTAACAGGCACAGCATATATTTACAGGTACAACCAAGTTGCTGGGATGGTGAACCAAAATATCTGCACAGAAAATGGGGAGGAATTGCCTATGTCTAAATGGAAGATACTACAAGGGTAGTTGAGAATGATAGGGCTAAGGTCCTGTGGGCCTATCAGATCAAGACAGACAAACAAGTAGTGGTCAAACAACCTAACATCATGGTGGCAGACAAGGAACCAAAACACCGCAGTGGTGGTGGATGTGGTAATACCCAGTGACCATAACATCAGGAAAAAGAAACATGGGAATATGGACAAATGCTAAGGACTGAAAGAGGAACAAGAAAGGATTTGTAAAGTGACGGCAAGTAGTAGTCCCAGTTGTGACAGGAACACTTGGGTCTGTGACTGCCATGTTGAGGTAATGGCTTCAGCAGATTACAGGTAAAACATCTAAGATCTCTGTCCAGAAGAGTGATATACAATCTCGGATCCAGTTCATCCAATAGGTTTTCAATGGGGTTAAGGTCAGGGCTCTGTGCAAGCCAGTCAATTTCCTCCACACCAAACTCATCTAACCATGTCTTTATGGTCCTTTCTTTGTGCAATGAAGCACAGTCATGCTGGAATAGAAAAGGGCTTTCCCCAAACTGCTTCCACAAAGTTGGAAGCATATCATTGTGCAAAAGGTCTTGGTATGCTGAAGATTTCCCTTCACTGTAAGCAAGGGGCCCAATTAGACATGTGCAATTCGTTTAGTTCCAAATGTATATTCAAATAAATTTCGTGCAATTCAGACATTCAGATGCTTACGAATGTCCGTAGTGCCAAAGTTCGGAAGTGCCAAATAGGCGAAGTTCCGAATTGCCAAAGTGCTTCAGATTTTTGAAAAGTGGCAAAACAAGAGAGAGGGAGAGAAAATTATGTGAATGGTGACAGGAATCTTGACCAAAAAGCTAATTCCTGGCACTGGGTGCACTATAGATATGTAAGTGGTTGTGGTGGCAGTCCGTCACTGAGAGGTGGGAGCCCTATAGATGTGTAAGTGATTCTGGTGGCAGTCCAGGCACTGGGAGGCTGGAGCTCTATAGATGTGTAAGTGGCTGTTGTATCAATCATGGCACTGGGAGCCCTACAGATGTAAAAGTTGTTGTGATGGCAGTCCGGGCACTGGGAGCATGGGCGTCCGCAGGAAATTTTCTAGGGGGTGGGGTCATAATTGTAATGACAAACCTGATGCAAAAGCTTAATAAAAAAATCAAGTTGCCAATGTCTGATTTGAGTGTTTAGTCTGCTTTAATGTTAACACTATTCAATGCACCACATTAGTCCTATATCCATGATCAAAGCACAATAACTGAATTATAAAAAAATAAATGACTGCACACAAAGCTAGCTCTCAGCACTCACAGCACTAGCTACAACACTAGAATGTGCCCACAGTGCCAGATTGCACCCACAACACTTCCACACCTTATAAATGCCAGTAATAATAATAATAATAATAAATGGCCCTGGAGGGGTGGCCCTCTAACAGAGGCTGCCTCAGCATCCATTAGAGAGTCTGTAAGAAAAAATAAATTTTCACCTGTGCGTCTCTTAACCCCCATTTTGTGTTTCTTATTCCATCTTTTGAATGTCTTACACCTCCTAGTGTATCTACCCCTTTAAATTACTTTATCCTACATTTTTGCCATTTCTGTCTTACACCGCCCTTGTGTGTCTCTTACCTTCCCCTTTGTGTGTTTTACTTCCCTCCAGTCCCTTTGTGTGTCATTGCCCCCTTCCCCAGTCCGTCTGCTTGTCTCCTGATCTTCTTCCCAGCCCATCTGTGTCACTATCACTTTCTCCAGCTCCTCTTTGTGTGTCATTGTCCCCTTCCTCAGCCCCTTTGGGTGTCCCTATCCCCATCCCCTGCTCCCCTGTGTATTACTGTCTTCTTCTCCAGCTCCTTTGTGTGTCCCTGTCCCGTTCCTGGCCCCTAGGTGTGTGTCATTATCACATTCCCAGCCCCTCAGTGTGTGTCATTGACCCCTTCCTCTTCCCCTCCGTGTGTCCCTGCCCCCATCCCCATCTCCTCTGTGTGTCATTGTCCTCTACTCGATCCCCTCTGTGTGTTCCTATCCTTTTCCCAGCCCCTCAGTGTGTCATTGTCCCTTTCCCCAGCCCCTTTCTTTGTAATTGACTTCTTCTCCATTCCCTCTGTGTTTCTGCTCCCCACCCCTAGACTACTAAATACATACACACAGACTGCTGAATACATGCATACACAGGCTGCTGAGTACACAGACTGCTAAATACACACACACAGGCTGCTAAAATACACACACACAGACTGCTAAATACACACACACAGACTGCTAAATATAGACACGCAGATTGCTGAATACATACACTTAAAATTGAATACACACACACAGACTGCTAACCATATACACACACAGACTGCTGAATACACACACAGACTACTGAATACACACACATATATTGCGGAATACACGCACAGACTGCTGAGTACATACACTCACTGCTGAGTGACATGTTGGACATTATGGAAGGGTATACTGTCCCCAAACACACTGTGGGCAGCAGTAATGCACCCAGTTAACTCTTTCATGACTGTAGCAATTTCCTTTTCTTTAATGTATCATGGTCCACATACGTGGTAATAGTGAATCTGACTACATGGGACATACAGCAGAGATGGGACTTTAAAAATTAAATAAATTCATTTTAGGAACTACATCCTCCTGAATTATTTTCTATAACCCCAATGCCTCACTTACCTGAACTATAGGCTGTCCCCCATGCCTCACTTACCTAATCTGTAGGTTGCCCCCCCAATGCCACACTTACCTGATCTGTAGGCTAACCCCCATGCCTTACTTACCTAAACTACCTAAACTATAGGCTGCAACCACAACCACTTACACATCTATAGGGCTCCCACCTCCCAGTGCCAGGACTGCCACCACAACCACTTACACATCTGTAGGGCTCCGGCCTCCCAGTGCAGGACTGCCACCACAACCACTTACACATCTATAGGGCTCCCGCCTCCCAGTGCTAGGACTGCCACCACAAATTCCGAAGTGCAAAAGTTCCAAAGTTTCGAAGAGCCAAACCGAACCGAGTGCCATTGGTCCGAATTGGATAAGCAGATGAATATTTTTACTTACCTGAATTTCCGAACCAAATTTTTTCCCATGCATCCCTAGGCCCAACCACTGAAAAACATACATTAATATCATTATCCCTCCACCACCAAACTTTAAAGTTGGCACAATGTAGACAGTTAGGTACTGTTCTCCTGGCATTTGCCAATCCAAGGCTCATCCATTAGACTGCCAAACAGATAAGCATTATTCATCACTACACAAAACACATTTACACTGCTCCTGTCTAGTGGTGGCATACTTTACACTACTTGGCATTGCACTTGGTGACGTGAGGCTTGCATGCATCTGCTCAGCCATGGAAACCCATTCCATAAAGCTTCCACTGCACAGTGTTTGTGCTGATATTAATGCCAGTAAAAATTTGGAACTCTTCAGCTATCGAACTAGCAGAGCATTGACGAATTACTCACCATGTGCCTTAGCACTCAGTGACCCTTCTCTGCAAGTTTATATCTATAAAGTCTATATAGTCTATAAAGTCTTCCGCTTTGTGGCTGAGTTACTAATGTTCCTAAATGTTTCCACTTTCCAATCTTATCACCTATAGCTGATCATGGAATATCTAGCAAGGATGAACTTTCACAAACTGATTTATTGCAAAGATGGCATCCTATCACAGTATCATGCTTGAATTCACTGAGCTCTTCAGAATTACCTATTTTTTTCACAAACTGTTTCAAAATGCAGACTGCACAGCTAGATGCTTCATTTTATACACCTGAAGTGTGTCCTAATACTTTTGTCCATATAGTGTATGTGAGTGTCATTTAACTTACAAAAAGTGATTAGGGGTTGCAGAGTGAGATAAATTGTAGTTTACGGTCCTAAAATATATTGGGGAGTTTCATAATATTCTGCTAGTGACTATTCCTGTTGGTCTCTTATTTCACTGGTACTTGCAAGAGATTATTTTTCTACCAAAGTCAAAATGTTATTTTACTGAGAATTAGGAGGATCTTACTTTCTACATGTTTTCCTATATATTGTGTACTGTGTGCGCAAAATAAAGGCTACTAAATCCTCTCCCAAATTCAAAATCACCAGGTCCTTCAAAAAATGTAATCTTGAATCCTTTCTAAATGACATCAAGAACCTCCCATGGCACAGATTAGACTTTATCCCAGACCTAGACTGTGCAGTTGAATTCTTTCAGTTTGAACTCCTACAAGTTTGGAATTTACATGCCCCGCTGCATAAGGTGAGAGTAAAAAGGGCACATATGAATTGAATCACAGCTGACCTCATCCAAATGTACCAGTTTCGGGGTTCATTGTGGTCAGAGTCCAATGTACTGGCTCTATTAACGATCACTGTATATTTCTATGAAAATCTGAACAATAACATTTCAAACCTTAGAAACCTTTGGAAAGTCATCAGTAAATTAGAAACTTCCCCAATCCACTCCCAACCCTCTACTGTCAAAGTGGATAAGCAAACCATGCAACTTCCCTTAGATGTAGCAAATGCCTTTAACAATTATTTTGTCGGATGCTCCACCACCCTGATTGCCAAGCTAATAAATTACACACATCCTGAAACTACAAATATGGATCAGGCACCACTAAATTAGAAAAGACCCAATATAGACAAGATTAATTTTAGACCTGTACTTATTACTGTCATTAAGAAACACCTTAATAATCTAAAAATGAAAAACCAGTCTGGACCTGATCAAATCCCAGCAATGCTGTTGAAGTTCAGTGTGCTGGCAATTGCTAAACCTGTCACAACCCTAATTAACGAATCCTTGGTGTCTGGATACATACCCAAACTTTAGAAGAGTAGTGCCTATCCATAAAAGTTGTGACACTACTTTGGTTTCTAACTATCGCCCAATATCATTCCCCCCGTTATTGTCAAAAATCTTCAAAAAATGCATCCAGACGCAACTATGTGAATGTTACCAACAATCTAACTATCTGACCCCTGATCAATCGGGTTTTCGCCCAAATCACTCCACTACAACTGCCCTCTTAAATGATGCAATGACATCCAAACTGGCATGGAACAAGGAGACCTAACTGGAGTTATTTTCCTTGATTTTGGAAAGGCCTTTAACACAGTAGACCACAACATTCTACTGCACAAACTAAAAAAACTGATGTATTGGTGATTGTCAGCTAACCTGGTTTTGATCATATGTATCAGATCGCTCACAATATGTGTCCATTTCTGACAGCGACTCCCTCCCTCTCCCAGTCACGTGTGGTTTTCCCCAAGGTAACATTCTCGTCCCCCTACTATTCACATTATTTATAAATGATATGCCTAATGTATGTAAATCCTCAAATGTACACATGTACGCAGAAGAACACAGTAATCTTTGCAAGCAAATCCAATCTACCACAACTTGAGGCTGTGCTCCAAGATCAGTTTACAGAGGTAGAAAAGTGGACCACAAAAAACAAACTCTTCCTAAATACTGACAAAACTTTCACAATGATCTTTGGAACAGTACATAAATTACACAAATTACACAATTCCCACCTATTAATCAAAACAAAATCGAATAGCACACTGACCGCAGTCCACTCTTTCAAATACTTGGGTATGTTGTTAGGCCCCAATCTATCTTTTGTCCTCCACGTAGAAAAACTTGCATCTAAACTTTATCTAAAACTAGGTGCCCTGTACAGAAACAAATCCTGCCTAAGCCCTACAGTAAAGGAAACGATTGTACAGCACATGCTGATGCCAATCATTGATTATGGGGATGTAGTATATGCACCTGCACCGCAAACCCACCTTAATAAACTTAATACATTGTATAACTCGTTCTGCCGATTTGTGCTACAATGTAATTACAGGACCCACCATTGTGACATGCTAAAAGACCTAAACTGTTTGTCGCTGGATTCCAGTTGCACCCTTCATCTTTCCAGCCTTGTTTTTAAGAGCCTTTCTGGGAAGCTCCCTTCCTACCTGAGCAGAATGCTCTCCCTGGCTATTCCCACCTTATATAACCTCCGATCTAGTACCAGCACTTTATTTAGTCTACCTCATTACAAACAGAAAGCAGCCTGATCCTCCTTTGCCCACAGAGCACCGCAATTATGGAACGACCTCCCACACACTTTCAAATCTTCCCCAAGCCTAAAGTCCTTTAAGAGATCCCTCTCTACATATCTCAAAACAGAATGCACCTGTCATGGTTGAATATATATTTTCAACCTGTTCTATATTAAATTGTGTATATATTGTGTATTAATATTGTTTTTGTATTTTATTGTACCCTATTGTATCAATACAATGTTTTGTGGACCCAGGACATACTTGAAAACTAGAGAAATCTCAATGCATCTTTCCTGGTAATTTTTTTTTATAAATAAATAAATAATGTATTATTTTTATTCTATGAAAAAGATTGTTTTGAAATTCTTAGTTCACTGCAGTTTAATATATCTGTTAATCGAGAAGGGTTTGTTTTCCTAATCACTGTCTGTAGTAAGTTGTGTGACCTTGAGCTGTCTGTAGTAAGTTGTGTGACCTTGTGATCTTGTGTGCATGTCAGTGAGCTATTGTGCAGTGAGGTGTGTTATGTTGTGTTTGTGTATCATACAGCTTGTGTGTGGTGAACATTCTGTAGTGATCTGTGTATAATGAGCTTGTGTGTGTGTGTGTGTGTGTGTCAGTAAGATTTGTGTAGTGAGCTGTAAGTAGTGTCTTGTTATGTTTGTAGTGAGTTGTGTGTAGTGAGATTTCTGTAGTGAGCTTGTGCGTGTGTCAGCTACCTTGTTTGCAAGCTTTCTGTAGTGAGCATCAGCTCTATTAAGACAGTAATATACATTTATGGCAGTAGAGGCATGAGTTATCTATATTAATTTGTTTTGATGTATACTTGATTTTTATACTTTAATAGTCTGTTTTCATTTCAGCAGAATTCAGAGAACACCTACTATCTTCATAATAATCAACTTTTTATTTTTATTTTAAATGCATGAATTACGGTCTTTATTAACCCTTGTGGGGTTAACCCGTAATAGGCCAGAAGACTGGACATCTACAGAGATTTACAGGAATTAGCCATTAAAGGGGCAGATGCTTGAGCACACTCTAGTATCTTAACCTATTGTGCTAAATCCCACCGAGTGGAGGAAGAGGGCAAGTTGTACACTGGTCCTCCCCTGATATGAATGAATTCAAACTACCTCACAATATTTTTAATTGGATTATTTACTTGTAATAGAGACATCCAGTTGACTTGATTGGCTCATTCTATTTCTATAATGGGGTTTCACAAACTCCAGCTTATAGCCATATATTCATTTCAGTTTTCTGTTCAGTGATATAGTGAAGAACGCTAACTAAAAAAAGGTTAATGTCAAGATTTTAATTTATGGTGTTTCTTACTTTGCAATATTTCAAACAGAGGGACTAGATTCTAGTAGATAAGTTCATTTCTTGTAATTAAATAGCATTTTTTTCCCTAGAAAGTAATGTGAAACTGCTGTACAGTTGTTTGAAATACATATATTCACTTACACTGTTACGTAACATCATAGGACGCAGAAATATAATGTTGTCACATACAGTAGGAATGAATTAACTATAGTCCCATACTTCTCTTATCCGGCTGAAAATAATGTGGGCTTTAAAGTCTCACCCACAAAAGTAATTGTAATCTGAGAGAAGGTAATTGAAAAGAGAGCTGATATTTTCAGTCACTCTGCAAAAGTGCAGAGAAGCATAATCATGTTAGAAGAGCAATCATTTTCTTTTTTTAGATGAAAAGCATCACTGTAGCAGAGGGGAAAGCAAATGAAGCTTTATGGGCTTGATTTGTGTTTTGCTTTTTTTGTGAATAAACACCAGTGAATGGATACTGCTTGTTGCCACTATTACTAAAATTATTTTTCCCTAAATGTGTTCATTTCATTTTTCATTCGCTGAAAGATAACAGATTTTCTGCTGTAAAACATTTTGTAAAGAATTTAGATTAGGAGAAATAAAAATGAATAGTTTGAACACAATTTCAATAAGATTATCTATTGCAACACAGTGCATTTTGTATTTAGCACACCAAGCAAGTTATAAATAATAAATCATCTTGTTTTTCAGACAACAGTATCTTACATCACATTGCGTTACATCATTTGTTATTTCATGCATTATATAATAGATGATTTTTGCTTAACATTCTTTGTCATAGCTTGTCACACCACACCATCATTACACTGACATACGATCTCTCAGTAAATGGGAGTTATTGGAGCAACTCAAGTACCCCCTGCACGATAGCCCTTTGGCTACAGTGTAGGGGGTATATAGATCCATGCATTAAGCCTGAACAATCATTTTTCACATATCCTCTCTGCTGTGAGAAATCGTCTTTTGTATGCCTTTTGTTATTTTGTTATTTTGAATGTATGGCAGCTTGCTACGATTTGATTTAGTATCCTATGATAACTATTTTGATGAGAAGAAGAGTGTGGGTATCAGCTAACAACTCTTGATGTGGTAAGTACTAATTATTTTACAGGTAGATACACACAAAAACACAAGGATGAGGAAAGGTGTGTTCTAGTCTCCAGTAGTTATTAGTGGGATAGCAGAATAATTGCTACCTATAATTTAACTACTGCCTTTTTGGGATGAGGCGGGTTGGGGGGGTGATGTGGGATCCATTGAACAATGACTGTTTGTAATTTAAACAGTCAACCATCATGGTTTTGTAAGTGGTTACTGCCCAATTACAATATTGCCATGTACCTGTTTCCATAACCCATTAGAAGTGATTTGCCTTTAATAGATAACCAAATTGTTTTTTAAATGCAATTTATCAGAATTCTGCAAATGTTTCAATTTAATACCAATTGCACCCTAAGCCAATAGTGCTAATTTCCTTGAAACTAATATCATATTCAAAATGTGCTTTTTACCATACTAAGTAAAAATTTCCATTTAAATCTATATATCTAATTAGAGTTAAATCAATTTTTATTTGAGCTATATTTGTTTGCAATATGTAGTGGTTATGACAAATATTTTATTTGGGTATTTTCAAATAGAGTTATAAATGTTATTTGAGATATCACAACAGACACTGTTTGAAAATGTTCAATCTGGAGCGATTTTGCTTTGAGCAAACGTGAAAGGATTGTTGCTAAGTGACTGCAAAGCTGAGATAATTTCTGAAGGTTATTTAAATATCTCTCTAATATACTTCAAGCAAAGTAGTACACAGGTACAGTACATTATAATGACTGTGAAATAAAGGGCAGCACATGTGCAATAAAAGTATGACTGGTATTTAAAATATGTCACCACAATACACGTACATTGCTGTTTGTGATGTATCACATGCATTAATAACCTTTATGACATAATGCCAAGTAAACAGATATATAAAGGAAAATAGTCATGGTATTGTTCACTTCAAAGTTAAATCAAATAAGTGTATTAAGCTAATTAGCATAACAATCTAACAGCAAGTAATTACAGGTATTGTGTCAATAATTGCATACCTCCCAAAGTGTCTCTGTATAGGAGGGTCCATTCATCTTTAGAATCCAAATTCCTTTGCACCTATTTTCTGACCTAGAATCTATCTCTTTTTGCCTGCAGAATATATGGTCTGCATGAGTGAATTCAAACGTTCTACAGCAATAGCATTGACTGTACTGTGCTATAATAAAATATTTAAAATTGTGTAACTAAAATCATAATAAAAAATAGTTAGAGCACAAAAGTACAAAAGTATACAGTTTCACCAAAACCAAAATGGGTAAAATTCCTAGACCTAAAAGACAAAAATGAAAATAATCAAAGGGCAGTACTATAAATACAAAATAAATCAAAATGAACAAAGAGCTCCACTCACATATTACTAAGCCACTCAAACAGCTGGCTCAGACGTAATTGCCTTGAATGAGATGCAACGGTGGTTGTCCCCTGAGATCAGCTTTATGCCTTGAGTCCCATATTGCCTTTAGAGTAGTTCCCCAAAAGAGATCCAGGATATTGGATAGAGGGTTAAAAAAACTGAAATGTATTAAGCTACGGACAAAAACAAAGCAAACGAATAATCTCTAGAAAAAGAAACAAAAAAAATACAGCTGCACTTAAAGTACAAGTGATTTTTTTTGTTTCTTTTTATAGAGATTATTCTTTTGCTCTGTTCCTTTTTTTATTTTGTATTTACAGTACTACCCTATGCTTGCTTTTATTTTTGTCTTTTAGGTATAGGAATTCCATCAATTTCTTTGGTAAAACAATACTTTTGTGTGTGCTCTCACTATTGTTAATTTCTATTTGCCCATTTCTCTGTGTTGTGGAGTGACCCACATAAGTGATTAAAGCACCTGTTTGTTTTATATTCATCTTTATACCTTTTCTAAATATGTTGTACATAAGTAAAATCATGCTGTTTATTTTAACTTAAATTTTCAGTAATTCATGTGGCTATCACTTTATCATGCAGCTGCCTAAAATATCTTGGAATAAAATCACAACATTAACCACAAAATTAACCGCAACAAATGTTTTTTGTTTGTTTGTTTTTTGTTTTTTTATAAAAGGTGGCTATAACTTTCAGAAAAAAAGCTCACTGCTTATTGCAATGAAATTATATCTGAAAGTTGAATGGCTAATTGCGAATTTCAGGTTATTCAGTGATAATGAATGAAAAAATGAATGTGCGAAGAGGGAAGTAGTGTTAAATTATGGACTGTCTTCAAAGAGCCATGTGTTTGGATATCTACTGTTCTAAAATATTGCAGACATAAATATCTACACAGTGTTTTAGTAATCACAACCAACTTCTATATTAGAAAATACTGAACTTCAAAAACTTTGTTCTCAGAAATCCCAATATATATCCCCAAACAGACACACACACATGCACATACCCATATTCAAAGATACAAAAATCACAGGCACACGTACTATTTTTTTGATGTGCAATGTATTTATTTGTATTATTTTAGCTATCCTCCTGTATGTCCCATATTTCGGTGCAGTATTGCATGTACTGACATTTAATGTGGATAAGTGCAAGATAATGCATCTTGGGCGTAAAAACCCAAGGGCAGAGTATAGAATATTTGATAACCTACTAACCTCAACATCTGAGGAAAGGGATTTAGGAGTAATTATTTCAGTTGCTAGCAGAATGCTTGCTTGTATAGGGAGAGGCATTAGCAGTAGAAGAGAGAAGTGCTCATGCCATCGTACAGAACACTGGTGAGACCTCACTTGGAGTATTGTATGCAGTACTGGAGACCGTATCTTCAGAAAGATATTGATACTTTAGAAAAAGTTCAGAGAATTGCTACTAAACTGGTTCATGGATTGCAGGATAAAATTTACCTGGAAAGGTTAAAGAATCTTAACATGTATAGCTTGGTTGAAAGATGAAACATTCTATGTTTCTATATTTCTATGTACACTATCTTGCAACAAGTGTAAACAATAAAGCACCCACTCATGCAGTCTGCATTTACAAGATAGGATGCCACCATTTCAATAAGATGGTTATCCCTGTTAGATATTCCACGGTAAACTATAAGTGGTATTATTTCTTTAGAAACAGCAGCAACACAGCCATTAAACGGAGGACCACATAAAGTCAAGAAGCAGGCTCCTCAAGTGCTGAGGTGCTCTGCTGATTCCATATCTGAAGAGTTCCAAACATTCACTTGCATTAATATAAGCACAAAAACTATGTGCTACTGAATGAGTCTGGGGTTGGTGGATGCCAGGAGAATGTCACCTGCATTGTGACTGCATTGTGCCAGATGTAAAGTTTGGTGGAGTAGGGATAATGGCATGGGCCTGTTTTTCAAGGGTTGGGCTAGGCCATGTACTTCCAGTAAAGATAAATCTTACTACTTCACCATACCAAGACATTTTGGACAATTATATACTTCCAACTTTGTGGGAAAAGTTTTGGGTATGCCCTTTTCTATTCCAGCCTGACTGTGCACCAGTGCAACAAAGAAAGATCTTTAAAGATTTGGTTTGATGAGTTTTGTGTGGAAGAACTTGAACTTAACTGTTCCCTGACTTCAACCCCATCGATTGCCTGTGGGATGAACTGGAATGAGCCAGGCCTTCTTAACCAACATCAGTGACTGACCTCACAAATGCTCTACTGGATGAATGGGCACAAATTCCCACATAAACACTCCAAAATCTTGTGGAAAGCCTTACCAGAACAGTAGAAGCTGTTATAGCTGCAAAAGGGAAACCATCTAAATATGTGTATGTATTTAGAATGCAATGTCATAAATGTCCTTGTTGTGTAATGGTCAGACGTCCCGATACTTTTGTGTATATAGTTTATGTTAAAGGAACACTATAGTCACCAGAACAACTACAGCTTATTGCATTTGTTCTGGTGAGTAGAATCATTACCTTCAGAGAAATTGCAGTGTTTATATTACAGCCTAGTGATAACTTCACTGGCCACTCCTCAGATGTCTGTTAGAGGAATACATGTTTGTGTTCCTGACCCTATAGTGCTCCTTTAAAGAAATCCCTTAATATATTGGTTTCTGTTTAGTGATAACTCTGCAATGCAGTGGAGCAAGAAGCTCAATAGCACAGCACAGGTATACGCAATCTTTACCACTCCAGATGTTGTAGACTACATTCCCCATAACACTATCACAACCATAATGCAGGCAAAGCATGGGAGATGCAGTCCACATCTGCAATGCTGTAGGCTGCCTAACCTTGGTATAGCATTACCATTCAGGAAAGAACCATGCGGCTCAGTCTAACCCATAAAATATGTAATGGTTACACAGTCTTTGTATCAGCAAAGACTTGAAAGGTTGTTATTAAACTTGTATATACGCAGCAGACTGGTGGAGAGGTTGGACAGCATAAAATATATACATTAAGCCACAAGGTTAAGCAATCTTCAGTATTCTAGATGTTGTAGACTACATATCTCCTGATGCATTGCCAACATCTTAACAAGATCATTGTGGGAGATGTAGTCCACAACATCTGGAGTGCCAAAGATTGCCTACCCTGCATGATAAAGAGAATAAAGGTAATACATCTAACATAACATAGTTCTTAAAATTTGTTTATATAACTTAAGTTAATACTTAGTTTCTCTTAATCTAACTTAATTTAGTGCTTAGTTTTACTTAGTCTAATCCAAATGAATACTTACTACTTAACCCCTTAACGCCGCTACAGTGTTCTAATCCGTCCCGCATTAAAAGGGCTTAAAAGCCGTTGCGGCAGCATAGAACGCCGTAACGGCTTTCTATCCCTGGAGGTGAAATTTACTTACCTCCACCGCGATCCTCTTCTGGAGGGCTGCCTGACAGCACAGGCAGCCCTCCCCCAGCAAATGAGGCCCCCTATAGCTGGCTGTGGATCTGCCAGCAGGGGGACTGTCTGAAATGTCAGACAGTCCCCCTGCTGGTGGCAAAGTAAAAAAAAAAAAAAGAATTAAACATGTGTAAAATTAAAATAGAAATTTATTTATATATATATATATATATAATAGATATGTATATCTATTATATATATGTAATGTCATACAAAGTGTATTTTAATATTAATATAAGTACATATATTAATATTAAAATACACTTAGAATGATGTTACATATATATAATATGTATATATATTATATGTAATAGATATATACACATATATTATATATATATATATATATATATATATATACGTATAATTACAATAATAAATAAATAAAATAATAAAATAAATAAAATATTGAAACAAAATTTTATATAAATTATATATTCATATGTAATTTCATTCTAACTGTATTTTGTTATTAATATATATATATATATATATTTATATATATATATATGTAACAAAATACACTTAGAATGACTTTCTATATATCTATCTATATATAAAATACAAATAACAAATATATATACATAGATAAATACATATAATTACATAAAAGATTACATTAGTATACACGGAGAATTTAAATACCTATAAATGCATATATATTAAAATTCAATGTATATATTTAAGTAATCTTTTAACATAATTATGTGATTTGATTAATTAAAATTTGATTGACATGCCTGACAAAACAAGGAGAAAGTGCAGAGAATTAAATTTGCAAGCACTATATTTGACCCTGGAACTCTCCAAGACCCCATAAAACCTGTACATATAGGGTACTGTTTTACTCGGGAGACTTCGCTGAACTCATATATTAGTGTTTCAAACTGGTAAATTGTATTACAATGATGATATTTTAAGTAAAAGTGAAGTTTTTTGCATTTTTTACAAACGAACGGCACTTTTATGGACTATATTATTGTTGTAATATGTTTTACTGTTTTAAAACACTAATATTTGTGTTTAGTGAAGTCTCCCAAGAATAACACTACCCCCCATGTACAGGTTTTATGGTGGTTTGGAAAGTTAGAGAGTCATATACAAGGCTTGAATTTCATTATTTTGACATTGAAATTTGCCAGATTGGTTATGTTGCCTTTGAGAGCGTATGGTAGCCCAGGAATGAGAATTACCCCATGATGGCATACCATTTGCAAAAGTAGACAACCCAAGGTATTGCAAGTGGGGTATGTCCACTCTTTCTTAGTAGCCACTTAATCACAAACACTGGCCAAATATTTGTTTTTTGCTTTTTTCACACAAAGACAAATATGAACGCTAACTTTGGCCAGTGTTTGTGACTAAGAAGCTACTAAAAAAGACTAAACATACCCCACTTTCAAAACCTTGGGTTGTCTACTTTTTCAAATGGTATGCCATTATGGGGGTAATTCTCATTCCTGGGCTACCAAACCGTCTCAAAGGTAACATTACTAATCTGGCACATTTCAATGTGAAAATGGAACGTTCTATTTAACCCTGTAACTTTCGAAAACACCATAAAACCTGTTAATGGGGGGTACTGTTGTACCCGTGAGACATCGCTGATTACAAATATGTGCATTTTTCTGCAGTAAAACCTAACAGTATTATGATATTCACAGCTAAAATGTCAGACGGAAATACAAATTTAAATAAAAATCTTATTTTCTCACATTTTTTTTAATTTTATTCATAATAAATTATGTTCCATATATGAATAGTTAATGATAAATGAAAGCCCTGTTTCTCCTGAACAAAATGATATATAATAAGTATGGGTGCACTTAATGTGACAGCGGTGAATTACGGTTGAACAGACATATAGTGCAAATTCCAGTTTTTATTTACGTTTTGTTTTGATCAGAACGTGCACTATCCTGAAGGGGTTAAGTATATAATATCTAAACATATAAATATAGATTTTCTTTTAGTTTAGGCTATTTATACCTTCTATTGGCCACTTCTCAATTGATCTGTGAATAAAATGTTTCATGAATCAATGTTTCATGATTTATCCATATAGCAGTTGTGTTATGGAATTTGGACAAACTGTTGATTGCCCAAAATGTGTAAAATTACAGTGTGTTTGAAGCCAAATGCAGAAGTCAACTAAGCAATAATATGCAATCATATTACTATGTTATTCAGGCTATTGCCAATAAAGACCCCCAGCAGTGCAAAGTTTAAATATATGTAAAAACCTAAAAGCATTTGTTTTTTGCATTTATTGCTCTAGAAAGTATGCATTCCAGTCTCACATTCTGACATTGTCCATTTTTTATCACTAATCTAGATTTATATTCCAGATACATATTTTGATTTGGTAAAAACCCAAAGCAGCAAGTCTTAATACAGCTTAATTTTGTATCCTTCAATCTCTTTGACAATATGTTAAAGGAATTTAAAAATTGAACAATTTCTTTCACTTGAACTTTTGCCACTAGAGTAAAGCTGCTAAGATTGCAAGGTGATGTCAGAAATAATGTTACATCAGTAGATAAGAGAAGAAAGCAATATACAAAACTAGACTAGAAATTACTATAAAATAGTCATTATTTGTGGAGATTGTTGCAAAAGCAAATCGTTAAGAAAAAACGTGTTATGTTCCACGTAAGCCTTGAAGTGATAAGAGACACTGTGTGTCTCCAGTTCTTTCCTTATGTTTCTTATATGTTTTGAAATCCTAACATTAATGTTCCTAATGGTGCTTCCTATATACAATACATTTCAGGGGCATTTCAATACATATATAACCCCTTTTGAAAAATATGTCAGGTGGTCCCATATTTAAAAATCTTTATTAACCAATTGTTTCAGGTCTACTATATCTCTCTTGCTGCTTATAGTAGTCCTACATGTGAGACATATTTCACAGCCAAAAAAGTCTATACTCTGGTTTAAAAAGTGATTAGATGTGGGGGTTTAGGATTGCTTTCCAATAATGTCTGTTTCAAATTTCTTGCTCCTCTGTAAACAAACTTCAGTTGTCGAGGTACAATTTCCCTTAAAATTGGGTCATCTCATAAGCTGTACCATTTGTGTTTACCTCCTTATAGAAGTTTCTGGTCTTAATACTGGTGCCTTGAATGTATATATTGAGATCTACAAATTAACTTCTAAAGTGCTTACAGTGGAGGCTAAAATTATTCCCCAATTGTTGCAATTTAAAAATGTAAAAAAAATTTTTTTTAGTATGTACGGTATGTGATCTTGACCATATAAAAACTATATCATCTATAAATCTGCGATCACCAAACTTTTCCTCCTAATATGTCATAAACAATTTGCCATTATTGGATACGAAGTTGGTGCCCATCGAAGTTCCACTGATTTGCAAATAAAATGTATTCTGGAACCAGAAATAATTATTGGTCAAAATTAAATGAATATCTTCTAAAATAAAATCAATTTGGTTCTCTTTAAAATTCAATTTTGTTAAAACATATCTAAATGCTTCTGAACCTATCTGATAGGGTATAATACTATACAGAGAGATGATGTCACTGGTCGCTAGGATATAGTTTTCTATTTATGTAGTTTCTTCCAAAAGCTGGAGAATATGTATAGTACCGTTTAAGTAAGCCAGATTTTTTGTCACTACTGGTTGAAGTAAAGTAACCGGGTACTCACAAATCTTAGATGAAACAGAATCTGTTCCCGATAAAATCGTTTTCCCTGGTGGATTGTTCCTATTTTTGTGTACTTTGGGTAACTGGTAAAAAAAATAAAAATCTTAATTTTGGATTGAATAAATATTTCGCTTCATTCTCAGTTAAAATTCCTTTTCCTAATCTTTTCTCTATATATCTATTAAATTTCTCTTTTACTTTTTCTGTAAAATTGGTATGCAGTTTTTCACATGTTAACTGGTGGAGTATCCTCTCTTCTTCTAATATATATTTGTCTTTCAGGAGGACTACAATACCCCCTTATCTGCAGGTTTTATAAACATCATTTTTTTTTCTCATATTTTTTATTGCTTTCTTTTTCCCTATCTGACAAATTCTACTGGAACTTATTTAGCTGTTTTAAGTTGTTCATTTCTCTCATTACCATAAGCTCAAATGTTTTAATTTCATTCGAGATCATATTTTTAGGGGAAAAAAAGAGACTTATCCTTAAAACTAGTGTGAATAAATTCTGTAGTTTCTTCTATTTGAGTGTTTTCTTTCTTATTCTTATGGAAGAATTTTTTAAGGCATAATCTCCTAACAAACTTATTTATATCTACAAAGTTTGTGGGGGCAAACTTTAGTCCTTTCTGTAAGACCTCTATTTCTCCTATAGGTAAAGGTTTCCCTGTCAAGTTAAAAATCCCATCATTATCTACTTTTTCCCTCTGTTTTCTCTGTTTCTTATTTCTGCTTCTTCTATTTCTCCCTCTCCCCTCAATAATATTGGCACACTTGGTAAATATGAGCATTTCTTGCTTAACCCTTTGATCTTTTGTTCAAAAACACATTTATAAAAATAAATCTTTGTGATACATTTGTGTGGTACAGATATTGTCAATCTTTTAGTCAACCCTTTGTGCTACCTCCCTTTACCAAGAAAACAGCTCCAAGTTTTCTCCTGTAATGCCTGATGAGGTTAGAGGATACGTGGCAAGGGATCTGAGATCATTCCTCCATACAGAATCTCTTGAGATCCTTCAACTTTCAAGATCAACACTTGTGGACTCTCCTCTTCAGTTCCCCCTCAGGTTTGCTATGGGGTACAAGTCAGGGGACTGGGATGGCCATAGCTGGACCTTGATTGTGTTGTCAGTAAACCATTTTTGTGTTGATTTTGATGTATGTTTTGGATAATTGTCCTGCTGGAAAATCCAACCACAATCCATTTTAAGCTTTCATGCAAAGGCAGTTAGGTGTTCATTTAATATCTGTTGTAATCTGTTGTCATTTAATATATGTAGTATAGTGAAGTTGGATTGTAATGTTGGAGACTTTCTGACCCGAAGATGCAACTAACTCCAGCTGTGATCCTTGGAGATTTTTTGACCACTCAAACCATCCTCTTTAGAGACAATATAGACGCAAGTCAACTTCCAGGTTGATTCATAACATTTGCAGTTCATGGTAATTTCTTAATTATTGCCCCGACGGTAGAAATGGGTTTTTAATAATTTTGACATTTTCTAATAGCCTTTTCTTATTTTGTGAGGCTCAACAACTTATTGCTGCACATCACCGCTGTATTCCTTGGTCTTACCTATTGTTGAATGACTAAGGGAGTTTGGCCTATGTGTTACCTTATATTTATACCTCAGCAAAACAGGAAGTCACTTAACAATTTCCTGTTCCTAGACACCCAGGTGTTCTAAAAATGATAAATTATCAATGGGAATATACTTCAAATATATTTTTCCCACATGAATTCATAGGGGTGCCAATAACTGTGCCACACATATATTTAACAAAATATTTATTTTTTGGATAAACCAGTTTGCAATTGTTTGACATCCATGAGAGCAGATTATATTTGCATTTTTTTTTTTAACAAATGATCAAAAGTTTAAACACTAAAGGTCATTTTCACAGCCTTCTTTGATATATTTTCCAAGGGAGCGAATATTAGAGGAGGGTCTAATATTCAAATCACATGTACCTAGTGCATAAATAGCACAGAACCAGAGTCAGTTTTACAGTCCCATAGATTGAATATCACATATGTAGATCAGAGAATTTGCATCAGAGAGTAAAAGGTCCAACTGACGAGAGATAAAAGGTGAAGCCCTACAAAGTGTTCTCTGGTCCTTACATGTTCATGTGATTGTCACTTGTTTATTTTCATTTAACATAATTGTTTCTTTACTTTATTCATTAGGAAACCAAATAAATATAATATCAGTTTAAGGCATAAAAAAATTATTTGTTTTACATACAGTTTCACTTTGAGATAACTAGAATTTGATGAAAATTAATGATTCCATTATTTGCTTAATCTTTTACAGCACTACTTAAACAAGTTTTTATTTATGTATTTTGTTTTATAATTTTAATCTCCAAGTCATTACTAATGGAAAGTCTGCATACAGCTGTGAAACGTTAATTACTTTTCTCATTTCATTAATTTCCCTATTGATTCAGAGAAATTTTAATGACAATTGCCATGTAAATTAATATCAAGAATGAAAAAATAACTCTAGGCCAGACCACTGAAAGGCACCAGAGGACTTATGGGATGAAGGTCTAATGTCACTAATAAAATGAAACTTTTATTAAATAAATGAAAATAGTCAAAGATAGTCAGGATATAAATATACATGTGAAACCAAAGATATGTCAGGAATGGTTAAATTGTGTTGTATAAAGTAATAAGGACCCTGTAAACATAAAAAAATTAACAATATTCAATAATGAGGGTTAAGAGACTAGTCCTTTGAATCAATAACACCAACAGTCAGCTGGTGTATGTATAATATTTGTGTGGAAGGTCCTCAGAAGACCTACAATCTAAAGAACCTTTGTGAATCTTCATAAAAATGGTAACATAATATACAAATAATGCCTTTATGTAGGAATACAGCAGGCACAGGTACTAGATATTTATACTTATTTTTATGCTTTATGCTTAAAGGATCACTAAAGATCCAAGAACACTTCATCTCAATAGTGGTCTGGGTGCAGTGGTCCTGTCATTTTAACACTGCAATCTACAATATAGCATTTTTGTACTGCAATGTTTACGATGAAGGGCTAATACACCTCTTGTTGCTGTCTTCCTGACAGCCACTAGAGGCACTCCCTCCTCCAGAACCAAGAAAAACTTGGTCCTAGAATCAAATACTGCCGATTAGCATGAATGCCTATTTCCAATCCATTGCTTCTCTTTGAAGGTGTAGCTGGTGCCTGCAGGTGGTGAGTCATAGAGCTGGAATCTAGGTAAGTAATCTCTATTAGTGTAATTTTTGTTTCATACGAAAGCGGGTGCATAAAGTGGACTAGACAAATGGAAACCTATTGTTCAAAAAATGATTTACAAGCTGCTATGGCATCCCTAGGTAATCCTTGTCACAAAATGCCTTGTTACTTTGTAAAATTTTCATTAAGAAATTTGGTTTTATTATACATTTACATAGTGTATATTTCTCTTTAGTGTCAGTGCAGCATTTAGTTTCTGACGAGCAGGGAAACTTGGTCTTCTGGAGTTGAGCAACATTTCTTGGATTCAATATTTTTATTTATACAGATAATGACAGTTTCTTTTCTGTTGTGCTATTTTATTCCTTCCTACATTCATGATTATACCTGTTAATTTCCAACTAGCAACTTCCAGTAGCTTAAAGGATGGTAATTTGCTCTACTGTGATCATGTTCATTGCAAAGTAAATTCATCTATTAATTATGCAATCTAAATGAATTACAATTCATTCAATATACCGCTAAACAATTTAAGAGGTAAACCATTGGCATAAACATTGACATGGTGACTGCTTTTTTTAAATTTGTTTACTGTTTTTAAAAGTATATGCTCAAATTTATAGTGTCATTACAATTTTGTAGCTATCTGGATTAAAATATGATTTGTTCTATCAATTATATCATTTATTTAGGAATAAATATAATCAACTAGTGGCTAAATTTGAATTTTATGATTAAACTGATTGATTCATTTTCAATTCTGTAATTTAAATGTGTTAATTACTCTCTTTTTATTGATATTAGGACAGCAAAATGGATTTGGAAACAAACAATCTAATCAACAGAACTGTTGCCAAAGATGAAAACAGCACATTTGCAACAACACAGCCTGATTTTCCAGCATGGGAGGACTATAACAGCAGTGTTGATGACATACGATATTTTCTGATTGGCTTGTATACCTTTGTAAGTCTCCTGGGATTTATGGGAAATCTTCTTATTCTTTTGGCCATTTTCAAAAAACGCAAGCAGAAGACAATAATAAACTATCTTATTGGAAACCTAGCTTTCTCTGATATTTTAGTAGTACTTTTCTGTTCCCCTTTTACACTTACATGTGTCTTGCTAGACCAATGGATCTTTGGAGAAATCATGTGTCATGTTGTGCCTTTCCTCCAGTGTGTATCTGTTCTTATATCTACCTTAATGCTCATGTCTATTGCTTTGGTTAGATATCATATGATAAAACACCCACTCTCTGCAAATTTAACTGCAAACCATGGTTACTTTCTAATTGCCACTGTCTGGACTCTTGGATTCACCATATGTTCTCCTTTGCCTGTGTTTCATAAAATTATTAATTTAAGGGAAGCATTTAATCTGGAATCACTTATGAACAGTTATTTGTGCATAGAATCATGGCCATCTGATTCATACAGAATTGCCTTCACCATATCATTATTGCTTGTGCAATATATATTACCATTATCTTGCTTAACCATAAGTCACACAAGCGTTTGTAGAAGTATAGGATCAAGGCTGCCCAACAAAGACACTAAAGTTGAAGAAAATGAAATGATAAATCTCACACTTCAGCAACCAAAAACTAATCATTCTGATGTCGAAATTTCCAGCAGTCGAAGATGGAGCTATTCATGTGTTCGAAAGCACAGAAGAAGGTACAGTAAGAAAACAGCTAGTGTTGTTCCAGCCATTCTAAGACGACATCAAGAAAGTAATACTGGAGATATTCCAGAAACATCGACAACAGAACGGAGCCACACACTTCCATCTAGTGCATATTTGCCAGGAGTACCCATATGTTTTGAAATGAAACCAGACGAAAATTCTGAACTGAACAACATGATTTCTGTATCTAAATCTATAACTCGTATAAAAAAAAGATCTAGGAAGGTTTTCTGCAGACTAACTGTATTGATCTTGGCTTTTGCTGTCAGCTGGATGCCACTTCATCTCTTTCACCTTGTAACTGATTTTAATGCCAATCTAATTTCCAATCGACATTTTAAATTAGTGTACTGCATCTGTCATTTGCTTGGCATGGTGTCCTGTTGTCTAAATCCGATACTTTATGGATTTTTAAATGATGGAATCAAAGCTGATTTGATGTCATTCATACAATGTTTCCAGATATCCTAAGTTCAGATATGTCTAGAATACATTACAGATTGTAAATTCTTAGTTTACATAAAAGCAAACACACACAAAAAACTTTTTAACACATATCCCCCCAAATAGGGTATACTGTAGCAATTTATAATACAGCATTGTTATCAATTCTTGCTTAAAGATGTATATAGAGTCAATTTCTTAAATTGGGTGTTATTTTTCATTTTTTATGATCTATTGGGAAATATGTAGATGCAATCAATTACATATACATGCCAGGAAATACATTTTATGATAGTTCTAGGATATGCCCCATTAGATATTTGTAAAGCAACATTTGTACAATTATATCTTTATATAAGAAATATGTATATATCATTATATAGACAATATTCATGCATATGATCTCTACGAGGTCCTAAAAAATATATGTTGACTTCAAAGTATAAATGAATAAGAAATTATATTTCCTTAACGTATCATTTTACTGTAAATTTGTCATTGATTTAACTCTGTAATTCTGTATATATATGTTTTGCATAATAAAAAGTACAAAGTGATATTAACAGACTGATAAAGGTTATCTGACATATCTTGCAAGCTTTCACAACATAAATATACCTTCATAAGGCATGTTAGCATATAAAGTTAGGCTGTAATTCTATTTATCAGGCTTTCTCTCCCGTCTATATTACATATACTTTCTTCAAAAAGTTTGATTCATAGATGTTTGAGAAAAATATGGGTATCATTTTTAAAAAAGAAAACACAATTAAATGCAATAATTCTATCTGTTCTTACAAAAAATAATTATCCAAAGATGGTTTTGTCAATGGGTAGTCTCTATCTGATGCTAAAAACCTTGGGGTTTATTCACTAAATACCAAAACATCAAACTAATAGAAGCCAAATGCTGTTGTCACAATTAAGGTGTTTTCTGCTAAGTACACAAGAAAAATTGAATTATTTAAACTGAATTTTCACTTTCATTTATCTGCAGTTCAGTTGTTGGTTGAAATGAGCTTAACCTCTATATGACATAGCTGATTCGATTGTTTACAAACAGCGGAATAGCAACCAAATTACTATAATTTAGTTGTACCTGTTCAAGGCTACTCAGCAAACTGAATTTTCACAAATTAAACCAAAGTGGAAAAACAAAGGCAAAAATACGTTGTAAGTATGGTTTAGGTGGAGTGTTTTTCAGATCAGGTGTTTTTGCCTCTTTTTTTCCATTCAAAATTAATTTAGGAAAATTCTGAGTTTACTGAATAACTTTGTAACTACCTACCTTATCATGTCATTGTAATGCGATCCAAAACCCTGTTAACCTATAGAGATGGCACAACCCTGAATCCACCTCAAAACCTACTCTAATTTTATTTGTATTTTATTTTCTTATTAGCAGGGAAATTCTGCTACAATTCAGCTGCAATTTAGTTGGAATTCTCTTGAGCTATTTTCAATTGAAACACACTGCAGCAATAAGATCCATTTAAAAATAAAAGGCATACAGTAGACTCAGTTCGACTATCATACAGTTATTTGGGAATACAGAGGAATTTTAACAACCAAATGGAGAAGGACTGAGCTGAATGAAATCAGTTGAATTTAGCAAAATCGTGTATGGCTGTTAGTAAATAGATCTTCATATGTTCCTGCTACACCTTTACTGACCAAAAGCTTTCTGAGAATCACGAGAGTTATGGCTCAAAATGGTATTTGCTTACCCTGTCCCAAGATGTCTTCTGTGATCCATATTCTAAATACCACCTGTGATGCCAAAAAAAGAGATGATAAATGGGAAAAAAAGATGACTAATGCCCAGGGGAAAGCCACTAAGTGAGAAGTTAGCTACAGAGGGTGAAACAGCTAGAACAGTATAAAATATCTATATTTAAATATCTAGATATTATAATATATATATTTAATAAATATAGATTATTATTTTACTAGTCTTCCTATTTTTCCCTCTCTTGGTTACTTTTTCTCAGTTAATTTGGACCAGATGGTGTGAAAATTCTCCTATTAGTGTACGGACGGTGAACATATGCGGTAAACTTTGACCTCGCTCCCAGACCCTCCCACCTCCTGGACAGCATCCATTTTACATTCATTGTGAAGCTGCATTCTTAGTGAGCTGTCCAGGAGGTGGGAGGGTCTGCTGCTGATTGGCTGGAATGTGTCTGCTGACTGTGAGGTACAGGGTCAAAGTTTACCGCATATGTTCGCCATCCATGGCGAACCGTTCGGCGAACAGTTCGGGACATCACTAGTGCCTATTTTGCTTCACATTGATTGGCCCATTTACATGCCTTTTTGGTTTATTCTTTAAAGTTTGTTCCCAAATAGGTGTTTGGCAGTGCAAATTGACCATGTGTGGGATGTCCCGAGAGATCTCCAGAAAAAAACATTTGGCAGTAACAAAATCTCTCTATTAATTGCTTTGTTTAGAATTCATGGCTTTTAAATATTCCTATATAGATTATGTGAATGTGTTAAATACCATAATTATATTTAATCTACACTGCCAAATTATTTTTGCTTCAAAACACATTTTACGTGTGGGATGCATAGCCAGCATAAAATGTAAAATTTCAAAGCAATTTAAATATTTATTTTTAAACATAGCAAGCAAGTATAATCATTCAGATTTGCAAAACATTTTTACATTTACATTACATTTACAATTGCAATATTCCAAATATACATTTTAACACAGAAATGCAATTCTAAGAAAAAATTATAATCAGAAATTAGAAAATAACTAAAGCAAAAATATATTTATAATATGCCAAAATACCAGAGTATTGCAGTGTGCAATGATACCTTTTTTATTGGATTAACAATATTTTTAAGACAATGTTTCAATATACATACATATATATATATATATATATATATATATACTCAAATCAATGTGTCCCACACTCACAGTTCCCGGTCATTTTGTTGCCTTGGTGCAATCCCTGGCTTGAATATGTACGATATCTTGATGGAGAGCGCTCAAAGGACTCAAAATGTATTTCAAATAGTGCTTTTTATTTTAGCATCAAATCTTTGGATACAGAGTGTCGACATTTCAGTCCAACTGGACTTTTATCAAGACAATTAAACCGTGTAAAACATCTTATTTAAATATGCATTGCTTCAAAATCATTGGTGGGTGAAAAATGAAAACGAGATTGAGTGATGTCATCCATGACGTGTCTCATTTCAAAAAACATCATCAGTGTGATTAATCTAATACCCCACAGACCCTATACTGGCAACCAACCAATTGGAACAGATGTATCAGAAATTTCTGGAAAGGGGATACACAAAACTCACGTTGAATCGTGCATTGAAACGGCATATAAATTGCTAACAGATCAACCGAAGAGAACAGAGATAGGTAATCGATTGATCTTCCCACAGGCACTACACACCAAATCATCTCGCATTGCCTCTATTATTCGTGAAAATTGGGAGACACTTAAGAAGGATGATTCCTTATCACATTTGTTTAAACAAACCCCAATTATGAGCCACAGAAGAGGGAAGAGTTAAGGAATTACCTGGTTCACACCGAACATATCACTAAGATGCAGCAACAATCTGAAAGTACTAACCTAGGATGTTATAGATGCCTCAAGTACTGTACATGTACTGCTTGCAACTTTATGACACTGGGGAAAGAGTTTTCCCATTCAGACAAGAAATATAAGATCAGGTACAGAATTAACTGCATCACAACATTTGATATATATCAGATTGTGTGCCCCTGTGGACTGGTGTATGTGGGCAAGACATCAAACGATTTGAGGGAGAGCTTGAGAGGCCACAGATCTGCCATACGCTTAGTTATTCAAAACAATTGTGCAAATACTCCGGTAGCCCGACACTTCTTGGAAGCCGGTCACACTTTACCTACTTTGAGATTCATGGGCATAGATCATGCCCCTGAACCTACAAGAGGAGGAAATAGAGGCATGATTATTACAAAGGGAGGCGTTCTGGATTCATACCCTAAATGTGCTGTCTCCCCATGGACTAAATGAGAAGAATCCACTATATTGCTATTTTACCTAAAATATGAAGACATATGAAATGGGATATTGGGAGATTTCTATATGTCCTACTTATAGAGCCCAATATGTAATTGAATGATATTAGTACAAAATAAATTTTTTGTTTAAAAAATTGTTTTTGAAAACATTTTTGTTTAGTGGATATACGAGTCTCACTATTTTTTCGAATTTTTCTATTCTTCTTCTTATTCTCTTTGATGTGGAGTATGTTTTTATTTATATTAGGATCTCTTCCATACAGCAATAAGATTTAAGTTTCGGTGTAGCGGGTTTATATATTTACATCATACTTTGTATGCAGAGATTAATAATAATGACTGCTGAATATGCTACAAAAGTTACAAACAGGCTGTCTATCTTCATATTCTGAAAAATTACATCATATATTTATGCTTGCAGTTCATATTTATAAATCTCAGTATTATACTAACTTATAATGTGACATATCCCCAATGTTATGTGCTGAGTAGATCTGGCTGTTGTGGTGATGTTTCTCAATAGACATTTATTATTTAGACCATCTTATATATAGCTATTTACAGTCATTTATCTAAGATTCATTTTCTTAGCATGCCTTGATTACTTCACCATAACGATCCTGATACTCTGTAAATAATTGTATATATGTATATAATATACTTGCACTTTAAATTCTTTTTGTGTTCACTTTCTAATTACCCACTCCTGTGGGGTATTAGATTAATCAAACTGATGATGTTTTTTGAAATGAGACACGTCATAGATGACATCACTCAATCTCGTTTTAATTTTTCACCCTCCAATGATTTTGTAGCAATGCATATTTAAATAATATGTTTTACATGGTTTAATTGTCTTGATAAAAGTCCAGTGGGACTGAAGCGTCGACACTCTGTATCCAAAGATTTGATACTAAAATAAAAAGCACTATTTGAAAGACATTTTGAGTCTTTTGAGCGCTCTCCATCAAGATATCGTATATATATATATATATATATATATATTTACATTGCCTGGCCAGCACAACAATGGATATCCCTAATTAAACAGGAACCTAAATAAAACAAATGGTATAAGTAACCCCTACAACTCTTCCCACCCTGTAACAAACCACTGGGGTCGTGTTCAGTCCTGGAACTCAGTTACAGTAACAGCTCTCCCTTACAAGCATGATCCACAGAGATCTTGAGGTTGAGAACATGATTCTGTTGGTTCAGTGATGGCACAGGGACTTTAATAAAAATAACAGAAAAAAATCCAAGGCA